ATGCTCTGCACAGTGCTGCCCGGTGCTCTGCTGACAGCAGATCTGAGTGGATGGAGGCATATTATGCCTCCATCAACTCCAAAGTCCCTCTGAGTGACTGCAACTGGAGGTATTCCTAGCTTTCAATGTTAACACTGTATTTTCTCAGAAAATACAGTGTTTACATGAAAAAGGCTGCAAGGAGCTATAGTTTTCACCTGGACAACCTCATTAAGCTGAAGTTGTTCAGGTGACTATAGTGTCCCTTTAAGTTTGCTGGTTATTTCATTAGTCCTGCACAGATTACATATTGTGACCACTCAGGAGATGCAGTTCTTGTCCTTCACACACTGTTTTTTGAGGGGTCTACGTTAAGACTGCTTCCTGTTAAGTCCTGTGTCCTTCGTGCTTGCTTGATTCACAAGTCTTCTTTCTTTCTCTAGAATCAGGGCAATCACTGGACCTCGGGGCCGCCTCGTTCTGGACAGAGCCTGCAGGTTCTTCAGACTCGTGGGGAGACTTTACCAAAGCTGCTGGGTAAATTTGAAGTATTTTTAATCAAATGATCATTCACAGTAACTCTCATGATGTTCAGCCAGCGACTGATCCGTTGTCTGACGTTTTAAATCACAAGTTCACCCAGTAGATTATCCCCAAAGTCTGACTGGGCATCAGGAGAGCATCATAAAAAACACACTGTGCAATTAAGGTTCTATTTCTATGTGTAGTTGGGGGACTTAATAATAATTAATGATTTTCACTGTGGGTCCAGGAACAAAATTACAATCCATTGTAGTGCCAGGGGCTGCTCTACAACCATTGCTCTGTTCTCAGATGCTCAAACTACAAATAAAATGAAGATTATTAATGTATATTCCATGTTTTATTTCTTTAGTGCTCCTGCCGGACAGCAAAGCACAGGATGGGTGCAGTTCTGATTCAGTCAGAGAACTGAAAGGGTCTCTCATCTTCCCAGAAAAATGAATAAACAAAGTCACATCAGCTGTGGACGGCATCCCTTGGACTCATTTTAAAACGCTAGTACTTCAGGTCTCATTTAATCTTCATCCATTACTGGAAGAAGCAGCAGATCAGGTCTCAGATCTCTCCTGTATCTTGCAAATCCAGGGTTAGAGGCGACCCTAATGTTGACGATTTTCAGATCTCTCTGCACTGCTTAAACCCTGAAGGTTTTCAGAGCAGGGACTGGTGCTCTGTGGAACTGCTACAGGATAAGAGAATCAGGTGAAGGTTCACTTCCTTGTATCCAAGTGAATCCAATTTCCTGGAGTTGTGTTGGCAGTTTGATACTGAAAACACAAGTTTGATTCTAGGCGGTGCACTCTAATTCCAGGAAGAATCATGGAGGAGACATACCACCACCTCTTTATTCGCTGCTTTTATCAGCTCTATTATACCATCTATACCAGTTTCTATCCTTTTATCAAGCAGAAATCAAGAGTGCAATATATTGATCATTTCTAAATCTGAGTAACACAGGGACCAAAACATGGAAAGCTGAGAGGGGCGTTTAAGAATGTCATATTTTATTCTTTATTCTTTTTCACTCCTACCTTGATACCTTGCCTTATCCTCTAGCGAGTTTGGGAGTTTCGTATTTGGCTATTTATAAGCTGCTGCAGGAGTTAAAGGTCTTATTCAGCCCACAAAGGTCGAGGGTTTGTTATCTGCAAGATTTTTTTGAGGGGGGGGGGGAGGTTATTTGTAATTCTTTCAAAAGGTTGTTTGTTTTTTTAATTACTGATAAGTTTTTTTTCGTTGATATATCCATTTTCATTGCCCAACACAATTTTGTTTGTCTACTTCACACAGCATTTTTTAGCGCTGAGATTTTCAGATCCATCCAGCAATCTAAGCAGAGTGTAGTTTAAAAAGTCAATGAAGCGTATCTCTTTAAAATGTGTGTAATGTGGCTTTCTTGCCTAGTATTAAGTGTTGGAATATAGAAACGTCTGAGTAATACGTGCCTCTATCCAGCAGAGGGCTTTGCTTCATACAGAGTATATAATGCTACTTTTTGTCACAGATTACTTCTGCCTGCTAAATCACCAGCATAATCCAAGTGAAACCAAATTAAAATCTTCTCTGGAATACCAAAGATGAACTGATACCATTTTAATGTACAAATAGCATTGGCTATTTTTGGTTTTGTGTGTAATTTTTTTCCCTTTAAGCAATTTATTTTTAACTCCTGGAAAGAGATTTACAGGAAACTAGAACATAAATTTTGAAGGATTTGTCACTTGGTACATTTTTGGTCTTTGGAATTCATTGGCATTTTATAGTAAAGTTCACAATTTGAGTGTCTGCCCCCTCCGACCCCCCTGTCATTTGGAGTAATTACATTCTTCTACTTAGAAGGACCTCATATGACCAACTCCTGCATCAGTCACCCAGAACCTTCCATTCTTATATCATTCCTATTGTTTTCATAGTTTTAAATTGAAGAATTAAAATCAGCAAAGAATATTTTGACTTTTACCAGCTAAGAATTTTATATTTTCCAATGTTTACGTTTCTCTTTTTGTAAAGGATCTATTTATAAATAGCATAAGTATTTTTACTAATAACCTATGCATATTCTTAAATCTATACTTTTGTCGATTCACAAATTTTTTTTTCTCTTTTACCCACTGACAAATTTTGTGAGATGTTTAAAAAAAAAAAAAAAATTACAAATATATATAAAAATAAACTATTTCTCAAATTTGATATAGGCAGATTTATGCTTTTTTGAAGGTGTATGTTTAAAAAAAAAAAAAAAAATGAAATAAAGTTGTCTGGGAGATTCTGATTATTAAGTAAAATGTTTTTTTGGCTTTTATTTAATTAGAATTGCTTGGCAATGTTTGTGTTTGTGCATGGTACACAGTAAATTGATTACCACAGCAATAAATTGCCCAATGTGGATTTTTTTTTTATGAATAGGTCCCGATAAACCGTTATCACAAGCCTTTGTTGAAGAAGAAAAAAAACAATCTGCATGTTTTAGAATTAATCTTTATCTATATCAGAGCTAGGGTTTGTCCTTCCAAGTCATGATGTCCAATTTTAAAGGAACACATGAGCTTGGCATTACCTGATGAGAATTATGATCTAATGTAAAACTTGAGCTGACAAAGTTGATTTTCAATTATGTAACTGGGAAATAATTCTGTCACTCTTTGTGAGTTGCTGCATGTTTAAACTGCTTGCTGCTCGGTAATGAATGTGGTTGTGTGTTCCACAATATCAGGACACCTACCACTGATCTATAGATTAATAGTTTTTTGATCCAAGGGCTTCTCCAAGCATCATAACCACCATAGCCTGCTGTAATGGTGATGATGGTAGAAGTCCTCTTGTCACCATTTTGTACCTGTTTGCCATCTTACCAGCGTCCTGTTGTCTCCTGCTGTTCTTGGAAGCCAGATTCACAGCTAATGCAGAACAGCAGAAGCCGATCCTCCTGCTCATTGGCTAATAGCACCCGCTGACCATTCTATAATAATTGAGCGACTCTGCACAAACAATGAACAGAATCGACGTTAACCAGCCCAGAACATTGGTTCCAGACTGACTAGTAAAGCCACAGTGATGCTGCTGGGGGAGGAGTTACACCTCTGACAGCAATGGGGATAAACTCTGTAGGTGCAGCGTTTCCAAGCGAAACACTGAAATGGTCGTGGTGTCCGACCACTTTAATCAATGCATGCAACCCTAATAAAGTCTATGGTTGGTCTTCAAAATTGGGAAAATAAACATGTAGTCTGCATTTTTGAGTAATGTAGGTTTGTGTGAAGTATCTTGCATATTTAAAAATGCTGGGGTTTTCTCCCTGGGATGTACGAGAGGTATCTCACAACTAATGTCTGTTATATGACTACCCAGATTGCTGATAATTGTATGGAAACCTGTTCGCTTTCTTTTACTACTTTTTGAGCCCGTTTTGTATTGTCAGTGGATTTTGCTCTAACACTTCCAATTCTATTTTGCTCTTCTGTAATGCGGAATCTTCTAAAATCAATAAACACAGAATTAATCAAAATGCTGGGGGGTTTTAAACTGGGATTTGTGGAGCATTGGAAATATATTGTATGACAAACATAGACAAAGTGTAGGAGTTGTCATGTATTTTGGCTAACATTGTAATTCCCTCTTTAATTCTCCACAATTCCTAGTTTGGTGAATAGACCTATTATGGTGTATTCACTATACATTTATTTGTAAAATCTAGGATAAAATACCATGGCAACGCCTATCACTTGGATACTTTCCAAATCCATGATTGTCGCCTAAGATTTGCCATTGGGTTTCAATTCACTAACGTTTGGAGTTTAATGGATAAACCGCTTAAAGTATTTGCTACATGATAAACAGCTGCACCATATGTATAAACAACTTTATGGGAATTTTGGCCAGAATAGTACATTTTAGGGGGAAATGTCCCATGAGGACATGTGGAAGTTTTCTTTTAAACACCAGTTTTGAACAAAATTGTAGAAGTCTGACTGATCATACTCCCTGCATGCCGTCATCAGCTTGTGAAATGTAAGCCGTTTATTCTGAATGTATGCTCTAATATAGCGGGATTATTCTAGAATTGTCTCCTCTGTTGGATCCTACAAATGCTGCACTTACTGTAACTGCTCCACAATCCCTACAAGCTATGTTTATATACCCTGTGGCACACACAGGGTTAAATCAGACCTCATTTATCTTTATTTCCAAATGAAATATGAAAGGACAGTCACTAGATTGGGACATTCCTTAGCAACAGTGCCTATCTCCATGCTAACATTCTTTGTATGCTGATATTGTTGTGTTTACCAGCTAATGACAGCTACATGTTAATAAGCTTAACTATAGGAAGTGAGGCCCTAACCACAGATTATTGTACAGTTTCTAGCGTACACTCGTTGGCCTTTAGTACCTGGTTACTAGGGCAGAGAACAAAAGATATTTAATTCAAACTGAAGGGGGCGGGGATCAAAATCACCTTGTTTAAAAAAAGTCACCCAGCCTGATCTTCAGAAGACACATTGAGGAGGGATTGGGACGGTCCCCTGGGTGCTTTGACTGATTGCTGAATTCAAATCCTGCACAGAGGTAAGCCATCTCTAGCTGGTAATGCTAAATGGAAGTTAAGGGGACCTTCCTGGCAAAAACATCCTTACATTTTATTAAATGGGCAGCTGGGACTTGTGCAAATGCCGTGTACTCTGCTAGGCTGCAATGGCTTAACTTACTAGGAAATTTTATATCACCTTTAGATTACTACATGAGTTCATACTTCTGATTGGTAAGGGGTTTATTAATATTTGGGGGGTTCCCCCAGGATCTCGCTTTAGTGCTACATTTGTAATCGCAGGTCTGTATATTGCATGTAATTAGTAGTATGCACAGTGCCATTTTACAGGTGTTTAACCCAATTCTCTGACAGCTGGTACAGCCTTCTGCTCTTTATAACCATGGAGCAGTGACACCCCGAAAAGTCAATATGATTTATTCACGCCTTTTCACTATTCCACATAATGTGCTTTATATGGAAGGTGACCAGATATCTGCTGTTACTAGGTCTGATTATATAAAGAGATACACTATGGATGTACAGCTGTTAGAAGCATCCTTTCTTAAAGACACAGTATCTGTACCTTGCAGATATTGTTAGTTTCTATATGTGAGTAAGACTTACAGGCGATTAATTAAAGTGGGAAGTGTTAGAAATTCTAAGTGAATTTCAGAATTTAGAAAAACAAAAATAGCATAGCTCACTATTTTGACCTTAAATTTCAATTTCTGACAGTTCTAACAGAGAATAACCCATTCAGTTTGCAGACATATTAGGACCATGAGATGCATTAACCTTTTATCATACAGAATTAAAGTGATCCATCGATGCAGCCTATTCAAATTGTTATTTCTACTTAAAATTCTAACTTCATAATAAACTCACCATTTACCAAATAAAATCCCATGGCTTTTTGTAGTCCAATTCCAAAGTAATTGCAAATTGCGCTAAATGTAAATGATACACACTCTGGATTCCATAAGCTCACAAAATCATGTTTACATATCACTTTACAAATAATATTATGTTATACAGCGATTAACTGAATTCCTTGAAATCTGAGCTGTGCTCAGATTCAGTCTGCCATAACAGCAAGATGGCCGCTTATAGGCAACTAAGCTGGCTGTTCCTGGATCTATCACAGGATAGCTACTGTGTTCAATATAAAGGTTGGTAACCAAAGACTATATGCAATAAATGCTGAGCATTATGGGAAATCTTGTTCACAAACAGGTTCGCCAAGCATTTGTTAAGTATAAAGTGTTTTTTTTTCAGGGTTGATTAACTAAGAAGGGGATTACACATTTAGACCACACAAGCAGAGAAAGGTGCCGACTACAATACATTTTTCAGTTTGGCTATTTTCCTAAAGTTCGGAGAATAATTCATTTCTAACGCCAGTGTCTGATCTGAGAACAAAACTTACCTAATAAAATGTATACATACAATAGAAATATGGAACAGTGTAGAATTAAAGCAACATTTTAGTTTTTTTAGGATATTTACAAATATAGTTGTAGCTGAAAATATGTATTAAAGAATACTTTCAGCTTTAGTTTAGAATTAGACTCTAAACGCCATAAACACAACAGTTTAATATCACAGTGACATTTCGTATTGCCCTTACAATCTTTGCAGAATATATTGCATTCACTCAAATAACTGTGACATGGAAAACCTGAAGGGATCCTTTATCTTTGATCAGATTAGGCCATTCACATTTTATTTTCTGTCTGTAGACATGAATCCAAGAGGGGGTAGTACACAAAACACCTTAATCACTATCACAAGGTGGTGTCACTTTGTGCTGTGTATATTGATGTTACCACGGCAACATGTACAATTCTAGTGACTGATTGTAACTAGGCCAAGATTTCTCAACCTGTTGTACTTTTAAGCAACTTCCCATTCTTTATTATTGTAATGCACAGAGTCTGTTAGGAGGTAGAGGTCATCTCTCTGCCCTCTCCAGCACTGAGCAACATAACACTAAATGCAGGTGTTTAGCATAAATAACAAATAGTAAATTAGTTTTAATTCCAACTGCAAGCAGGCAATGATTGACAATTAAAGCTGAATTCTGAGAAAAGTCAGAATTTTATTGTAAATGGAGCTATGGTCAAACAATAGTCACATATATTATTATTATCGCCATTTATATAGCGCCAACAGATTCCGTAGCGCTTTACAGTATTATGAGAGGGGGGATTTAACTATAAATAGGACAATTACAAGAAAACTTACAGGAACAATAGGTTGAAGAGGACCCTGCTACAGCCTATAGAAGGGTCCCTTACATGCATCGTATAAGCGTACAACGCACACTCCACCCATATTGATATTTAACATCGGTTCAAGTGTTTGACTGGTATGCCTAAATCTCCGTCAGTTGTATTTACTAAAGTTAGAATTCAGGTAAATTTCACATATAAAGGAACACTATAGGGTTAATAATGCAAACATGTATTCCGGACATATAGTGCTAAAACACTATTTAGCCTCCCCTTCTTAAATATAGTTAAAAAACACACATTATTTCCAGCACCAGCAAGTCTGCAGAGACTCACTATACTTACCAGAACAACTACAAATAAGATGTATACTATATAATAAGATGTATACTATATACTGTGAAGAAATCCCCTCTTTTATGTGCAATATTTCTTCCCTATTCATTCGGTAAATATAACTACCGAACAGAGACCACCTCCCTGGCTCGTTAAAACTTCAAAGAATGCCTCAATTGAACCCTCTATCTGTGCAGCCGGCGTTCGTACTACCGAACGCCACGTGGCTGAGAAAACGGCGGCCATCTTTTTTCATGCGAACAAAGGCAGCGGGACTTGGTCGTCAAATGTCTGGAACTAAAATGGGATACTCGACTTCCCGAACACCGTTCTCAACAAAAACGAACGCTGGATCTTTATTTCCCAAACAGTTAGAAGAGCGCTCTTCGGTACTTTTGTGCATTCGAATGAGGGGAACAAGAGCCAGGGGAATCCATTCGTGGAATTATTCGTTTTTTGCCACTTAACTGAACAGACCAGCAAAACCACTCAAACTCCTGGAACTATTTTGGGCAGCCACCTCGCGGTTAGCCGGTCACAAAAGACTTCCATACTTTTTGAGAACCCCTGAACCGATCTGGGTGAAATTTGAATATGTTGGTCACCCAGATATCTATCAGGGGACATATTGTTTGTGGGGATACCCCATGCCTAAAGGGGTGTTCTGAATATTGGGAACATTTTTAATTTTTCTGCCTGGAGATAATCAAGTTCTAACTTTATCAGACTTGATTATCTCCAGGACTAGGAGAGGGAATTGTATGTTTGTGCTGGGTGTGTTTTACAGTTTTCCTGTAAATGATTGGTTATACTGTGTCCCTCCCTGTGGGATGTCCCCTTGCATGGGGACTTGCATAAAAGCCAGTGTGTGGTCATTAAAAGCCAGTTCTGTTGTCCCCTTCTTCTTGACTTCGGCTGATGTTTGGGGATTTGTATGCTTTATTAAGGAAATCATCTTGTAAAGCTATTGTGTTCGTGTGGATTTAGTTTATTTCATCTTCCGAACGGAGAGCTATAATCACTCATGCTCTGGCTATGAGTATGAGTGAATGAGGATTGGATATACTAGGTTTCCTTACATATACTATATAATAAGCTGTATACTATATATTAAGATGTATACTATATAATAAGATTGCATACTATATAATAAGCTGTATACTGTATACTATATAATAGGATGTATACTACATACTATACTTTGTAATAAGCTGTATAATTTATAGTAAGATTGTATACTATATACCCCCCTGTTCTCTATCTGTCTCTATAACTGACCCCCCTGTTCTTTATTTGGGGCCCTATAACTGACCCCCCTGTTCTGTGTCTTTATAACTGACCCCCTGTCCTGTATTTGGGGCCCTATAACTGACCCCCCTGTCCTGTATTTGGGGCCCTATAACTGACCCCCCTGTCCTGTATTTGGGGCCCTATAACTGACCCCCCTGTTCTCTATCTGTGTCTTTATAACTGACCCCCTTTCCTGTATTTGGGGCCCTATAACTGACCCCCTGTCCTTTATTTGGGGCCCTATAACTGACCCCCCTGTTCTCTATCTGTGTCTTTATAACTGACCACCCTGTCCTGTATTTGGGGCCCTATAACTGACCCCCCTGTTCTCTATCTGTGTCTTTATAACTGACCCCCCTGTCCTGTATTTGGGGCCCTATAACTGACCCCCCTGTCCTGTATTTGGGGCCCTATAACTGACCCCCCTGTTCTCTATCTGTGTCTTTATAACTGACCCCTGTTTCCTGTATTTGGGGCCCTATAACTGACCCCCCTGTCCTGTATTTGGGGATCTATAACTGACCCTGTCCTGTGTTGGGACTCTCTTGACCCCCGTCCTGTATTTGGGGCCTATAGCAGCCCCCTAATACCAGCCGGGGATCTATAGCTGACCCTGTCCTGTGGGGCCCTAGCTGGCCGTCCTGTATTTGGGGCCTATATTTGACCCCCCTGTCCTGTATTTGGGGATCTATAGCTTTGACCCCCTGTCCCTTGTATTTGGGGCCCTATATTTGACCCCTGTCCTGTATTTGGGGGACTAGCTGACTTAGTCCTTTCATGTTGGGGCCTATAACTGGTGTCCTGTATTTGGGATCTATAACCCCCCTGTCCTGTATTTGGGGCCCTATGGCAGCCCCCCACAATGTCTGTGTTGGGGCCCCTCTCTTGGCCCCCTCTCCCCCCCTCTGTATTTGGGGCCCTGTAACCCCTGACCCCCTGTCCTGTATTTGAGGTCCTATGTGGCCCCCCCTGTGTCCTGTATTTGGGATCCTATATAACTGACCCCCTGTCCTGTGTTGGGGATCTTCTCTTGACCCCCTGTCCTGTGTTGGGGCCCTATAACTTGTCCCCTGTCCTGTATTTGGGGCCTCTTGTCCCTGTCCTGTGTTGGGGCCCTATAACTGTCCTGTATTTGGGGGCCTAAACTGACCTGTCCACTGTGTTGGGGTCTATATAACTGACCCCCTGTCCTGTATTTGGGGCCCTATAACTGACCCCCTGTCCTGTATTTGGGGATCTATAACTGACCCCCTGTCCTGTGGGGCCCTATAACTGAGCCCCCTGTCCTGTATTTGGGCCCTATAACCCCCCGTCCTGTATTTGGGCCCTATAACTGACCGTCCTGTATTTGGGGCCCCTATAACCCCCCTGTCCTGTATTTGGGGCCCTATAACTGACCCCCCCTGTCCTGTATTTGGGGTCCTATAACTGACCCCCCTGTCCTGTATTTGGGGCCCTATAACTGACCCCCCCTGTCCTGTATTTGGGGTCCAATAAGTGCCCCCCTCCATCCTCCATCATCCTGTATCTAAACCATTTATCGCTCCCTCCCGTGAGACCCAGTTTGGGGCCCTCCATCTCTCTGGGGCCCATGTGCTCCGGCTCTGCCCACCCATCCCGTGTGGCTCAGCGGCCGGTCCTGCCTGCGGGGTGGGCGGTACAGGCCGAATCCCCGGGTTGGAGTAGATTTTGCCGCCGAGCTCAGTGCCCCGCCCCGGGCTGTGTGTGACGGCGGCACTGGGGGGGTCGGGGAGCTGCCGGTGATGGAGAGAGACCAACCGGATCGGGCAGGAGAATACACGGCGGGTAAACGGAGCCCCTGACCATAATAATAACAATATAATAATAATATAATAATAATAATATAATAATAATAATAATAATATAATAATAATAATTTAATATAATAATAACTGGAGATAATGAAATTTACTGCGCACACTGACTGTATACCGCGCGCACTGACTGTATACCGCGCTCACTGACTGTATACCGAGCGCACTGACTGTATACCGCGCGCACTGACTGTATACCGAGCGCACTGACTGTATACCGAGCGCACTGACTGTATACCGAGCGCACTGACTGTATACCGCGCGCACTGACTGTATGCCGAGCGCACTGACTGTATACCGAGCACGCTGACTGTATACCGAGCGCACTGACTGTATACCGAGCGCACTGACTGTATACTGCTCACACTGACTGTATACCGCTCTCACTGACTGTATACCGCGCGCACTGACTGTATACCGCGCTCACTGACTGTATACCGCGCTCACTGACTGTATACCGCGCGCACTGACTGTATACCGCGCGCACTGACTGTATACCGCGCTCACTGACTGTATACCGAGCGCACTGACTGTATACCGCGCGCACTGACTGTATGCCGAGCGCACTGACTGTATACCGAGCGCGCTGACTGTATACCGAGCGCACTGACTGTATACCGAGCGCACTGACTGTATACTGCTCACACTGACTGTATACCGCTCTCACTGACTGTATACCGCGCGCACTGACTGTATACCGCGCGCACTGACTGTATACCGCGCTCACTGACTGTATACCGAGCGCACTGACTGTATACCGCGCGCACTGACTGTATGCCGCGCGCACTGACTGTATACCGAGCGCACTGACTGTATACCGAGCACGCTGACTGTATACCGCTCACACTGACTGTATACCGAGCGCACTGACTGTATACTGCTCACACTGACTGTATACCGCTCTCACTGACTGTATACCGCTCACACTGACTGTATACCGAGCGCACTGACTGTATACCGAGCGCACTGACTGTATACCGCTCTCACTGACTGTATACCGAGCGCACTGACTGTATACCGCTCACACTGACTGTATGCCGAGCGCACTGACTGTATACTGCTCACACTGACTGTATACCGAGCGCACTGACTGTGTATACCGCTCACACTGACTGTATACCGAGCGCACTGACTGTATACCGCTCACACTGACTGTATACCGAGCGCACTGACTATATACCGAGCGCACTGGCTGTATACCGGGCGCACTGACTGTATACTGCACACACTGACTGTATGCCGAGCGCACTTACTGTATGCTGAGCGCACTGACTGTATGCCGAGCGCACTGACTGTATACCGCGCGCACTGACTGTATACCGCGCGCACTGACTGTATACCGAGCGCACTGACTGTATACCGCGCGCACTGGCTGTATACCGAGCGCACTGACTGTATGCCGCTCGCACTGACTGTATACTGCACACACTGACTGTATACCGAGCGCACTGACTGTATGCCGCGCACACTGACTGTAGGCCGCACACACTGACTGTATCCTTTACACACTGATTGTGTACCTCACCCAGTGATTTTATACTTTGCACAGAGCTTGTATACCTCACCCAGGGATTGTATCCTTCACCCAGGGATTTTGTACCTCAAACAGGGTTTGTGTGCTTCACATAGAGATTGTATAACCCATGTACTGATTGGATACTTCATACACTGGAAAGACAATCTGTGTATATGTATGTATAAGTTGTATATTATAATCCTGTACAGAAAACTGCCATATAGGCCCAGGATTTGTTTTGTGCATCAGTACTCATACACAACGATATCTTTTCAAGGTTTTCACACATCACTATTATACTATAGTATCACTACTGTGTGGCAGGCTACCGGTGCGTGTACTACCGCATTATATGTGAACCAGCACACGCATCTTCTGGGTGCGCAAGAATAAGTGGAGTCAATAGCAAAATAGACACAGACTATAAATATTAACCTCTTGCTCATTCAGGTGCCTTGTTGTGCTATCTTGTAATCCCAGTAGTATTATAATGTATCTTTGGTATTTTGACACGGCTTTGACTTTGCTTGTTCTGCTTTCTTTAACTTTGACTCAGCTTGTTGTCTCCAATACCCGATATCTTGTTTCGTTCCTCGATCGTCATATTTGCCTTTCTATACGATACAGTACATGCTTTCTAGTATATATAGTTATAATAATAACTCAAACTCTGTGTGTTGGGTGTAAGTGGTTACAGATGGATTCTAGAGCCCACTATCGATCCATTGCCCCTATAACACCTTATTGCAAAACACTAAGTGCCCTCTAATATTCAGAACGTTTGAGCACCCAGAACACGTTTCTGAACTGGTTTGCTGCTGCAGATAATATGACCTGGATGAGAATATAATTCTCAGAAAGCATCAAATGGCATATGCAAATTGTTTTCCCGGACCTGCGTCACCCCAGAGCCGATACCTTAAGTCAAGTTTTGCCTATTCTTCGTCATCAATACTGAACTATTTTATTGAATTCCCAGTGGCTGCTATCCTTATGCCAGGGCCCAGGAGTGAGATGCCCTATAGCCGGTTAAGTCAATAGACGCTGGCCGCGTACCTACCCTCATCATGCTTGTCATGTCAGCTGCCTTGGATACCGTTAGCTGTAATATGTTTGTGAGCCAATTGGAACGTGTGGGAGAGGTAAAGGAATGTGCTATGCAATGGCTCCAATTCTTTTTGGAAGGTTGTAGCCAATGGGTGGTGAGTGGCCATTTTTCACCAGAGTGTAAGCTTCTGGGGCATCCTGCATTCATAAACTGGATCCAGCTGACCTCACTACCAGCTCTGTATGTTCTGCTTTGACAGCAGTCTAAACCTGCACGCTGTGGTCTCTTTAATGTTTAAAGTTAAATAATACTGTCTAAGCTCCCTTAGAGATCTACAGCCATTACTATCTGTGCCAGTCTCGGAATGAATGATCCACGCATTCATCTTCACACACCTTGACTGTTCAAGTGCCCTATGCACATCTCTGAGACTCTTTACAGGGAATGAAGAAATGTACAGTAAATCAACCCCTTAAGGACACATGACATGTGTGACATGTCATGATTCCCTTTTATTCCAGAAGTTTGGTCCTTAATTGGTTAAGAAAATGTACAGAATCCTGTGATGTTCGCAGTAACTGTGTCAGTGCTGGTACAATGCAATGACTACCTGGAAATGATCACGTTGGGCTGTGTCACTAAGCAGAGAGTACCATTCACCCCTAAACTTCCTATGATTTGACATGGGTGTGCAGTGAGTCCGTGTCCAGTCACATTCTCCCAATCGGCCATTTTTCTCTTTCTCATGTGCCAGAGTATAAAACGGAGTCTGTGGAAGATCAGTTGAGACCACGGTTCTTCCATAGATAATATTGTGCATGCGCGATACGGCAATACGATCTGATTGTGAGATAATACCTGATCCCATTAGCCATCGCCACGATTTTGTGAATGATTGCCAAAGGTTTCCAATTTAATGAGACAATATACTCGCTATGTATATCTGATGATTGCACAGACATAAAGAAGTTTGGATGAAGATTGTGTCTTCCTGAAAATCCCAGTAGTGACAGTACCACTGTGGTTTATATAAGCACACACTATCTGACATGCTTTGTTTATGTACATAATTAACTGTTTCACTGCTGGAGGGTTGTCCAGGCATTCCACAAAATGTCATAAACTGAAATGGTCTGAAGGCAGATTCTTGAAGTTTAGGGTCGCCATGGTTACAGTAACACATCCCCTGCTGTGCACGTCCCCAGCCACAGGGTCCTAGAGCCCTCCCGTGCTTTGTCAACAGATCCTCCTTACAGTGTGTAGTGTTTAAATCTGCATCTGCATTACAGCTCTCATCAGTCTGTGCCGAAAATATGGGCAGTTTTAGTTTTCTTTACTTACCTCCTTTAATCAAGACATTATTTAGTTTTATTGTAGATACAGAGGTATCTGGTGCTCTATTGTACTGCGCTGTGGAATTTGTTGGCGCTATATAAATAATAATAATAATATATGTAGTTCTGAATCTTTATACAAGTTATAATACATTAGTTCTATCCTGTTTATACTATTATTATTATTATTATTATTACATACACAATGCCTCGAACGGGTTATTCAAAGTGAGAATTCAAGGTGAGTTTCAAATTTAAGGTCGAAATTGCCAAACAGGAAAAATCAGGAATCAGCTATGCTTTCCGTTCGGCTACTCTGGCCTTAAATCTGAAATTCACTTTGAATTCTGACTTTAGTGAATAATCCTGTTAGTGTTTTATTCTATTATTCTGATTGTTTTAGTTTTATTTTAATTAGTAAATCTAGGGAGATGCAGAGTGTGCAGGTGGGTTCTGGGGACAGGAGGTGAATTAATAGAAGGTTATATTGTGTCAGTTCAGTGCTTTCTCAGGCAGGGGGCGTTTGCCCTGTTTGATGGGAATTGATCAGATATTTGAATGAAGTACCATGGGGGGGAGAGACACTTGCTGCTGGTCTCTAAGGGAGGAGGAGAAAAGGAGATTTAATGGTAATCTGGGTGCTCTGTCTGCTGGTTCACAGTTACCGAGGGAGGAGACCTGTTGCCCATGAATTGCTAGGAAATCTGGGTGTATGATTCTCATCATTCATTTTCTGAGGCTCCTAGTGTGGGGTCTCCTGTACCCATGAACCCCCGAGAGGAGACCCTAGACTCCACTGAGCAGAGGCTGGAGGCAGTCATAGAGGTTGGTGATTTTCTTTGGGGGGTGGGAACGTCTATATGCTGAGACTCTATAAGTACACAGCAGTGGGAAAGTATAGGAGCTTTCGTTTTCAATCTGAGGTCCATAAAGTCCTGTTTTTAATTGTGTTCAGAAAGAGAAATGTAGGATTGAAGGGGACTTGTACACACCCCCTTTGTAGGTCTAGGAAAAGCATGTGCACCATTCACACAAAAGTACCCCCATATCTTCAATACCCAGCTTCCAAAAAATATCCCAGCCTCTGAAAAATAGCCACGACATAGCTTGATAAGGAATATATCATTTTTTCGACTGATAGTTTATTTTTTATTGTTTTGTATATTTTTCTTTAACCTTTAAGCACTAACAGTTTTAAAAAATGTACTTAGTTTTAGGATCTAGTTTAGAATATATTGTTCTCCGTCGTGTAGGATTCTTAATGCTCTGATTGCATCTTACATTGCTATAATATCATTTACAGTGTCTGCATGTTTCAGACAATGTTTTTTGTTTTTATTTTTTATTTTTTTAACCTATTAACCCCTTGAGTGCCAGTCCGCAGCTACAGCTCAGGCAGTTAATAGAAAAATAAAGCATAATTTCCCAATTACAAATTACAAATCTTTTATCAACTCAAACTTTTAAGAATCCTGCTCAAGAAAATCCCATTTTGCAGCAGGGTCGTCCGGTATTCTGGATCGAGTTACAGAAAAATAATAAACCTATGAATTTTGTGTGATTCATTATACGTGTAAGAGTTTTCATGCAGTTGTAGATTGCGAATGGTATTTTCTGGGATTTGGGACAGTCATTCCACTCTGTAGCTGAGCTAATTTTCCAATGCAGCAAAACGCTTAAATAATTAAGGGAAATTATTGCACATAGCCATTTAGGTGTTAAATCACTTTGTTAATGCAGCCCTAGTCACACCTCCCCTACACGTGATTCACAGAATCTCCATACACTTCCTGTAAAGAGAGATCTAATGTTTACACTTTCTTTATTATACAGTGTGTTTAATTTAAAATTTAATATCTGCTGCTCTGGTTATAGCCTGCTAGAGGCTCCTGAGTGTGATTAAAGTTCAATCAACAGAAGATAAAAAACAACTTTTAAGTTAAACACACTGTGCTATCACATCTGATTGAAAATTAAACAATTTTTTCATGTTGGCTTTGTGAGTTACAGCCACGGGAGGCATGATCTACCATGACACCTATACCAAAACTTTATTCATTCATTGCTTCATTGAGTTAAAGTTGTTTTGGTGCTCAGTGTAAGATATGAATGATGCCTTTCCTTTCTATGTGTTTCTATTTATATGAATTAGTGTGCTACCATTTGACACTAGTGAGAGAGTGGCCACAGGTCTTCTTATTTATTAACAAGAGGTCTGAAGTACGAGCCCTAGTGTTGTTCTCTATACATTCATTGGCTTACTCATTGCATGTTTCCCTCCTGTTACAGAAACTGTCCCTCCGGGTCCTGAGCTCTCCAGAACAGAAGGGACTTACTATCCGTGGAGACTCGACCAACCCACTTCCTGCCCGTCTGCCGGCTCGAATACGAGAGATTGTCACCAGGAACCTTAGCCTGCCGCAAGGCCCAGGTGAGTCTGTCTTAATGTCACGGCTGGTCAGTGACTGATATACCAGTTTGCACAAGGATTTAGGATACCTGTGTGTCTCCCTAGAGTACTGACAACTTAATTTGAATAGAGTTCCAGCTGCTAGGTCTAAGTCTCTTAGCTCAGCATCCACAGCCTATAATTGCCATCCAGGGTCAGAATATTCAGATAGAAAATATATTATTTGGACTGACGCTAGAGACCGTTTTTTCTGTGGGTGCCATTCTTTTAGCCACACTTTTTGTCATACCACTCGAAATTGATTTGGTAGACAACACAGGGAGGACAGCATCCATACACTTTATCTCTTTAACAGAAACCGTGAGTTGTAGTGGTTGTGGTGATTAGAATGCTCTTATTATTAGATATGTTCTTGGTCTGCCATGGGCAGATAGCGCAGTAGGCTGTATGTATATTAGGTGGGATTGTAACTCCCAAAGTAAAATGTGGCCAAACTACACTTCCATGGATGGCAGCAACATTTACCTACAAATTCTAAATGATTTGTCTGCAATATTATCTTGTGTGAACTATCTGTATCTTTTAGTCTGTTATCCTCGATGGGCTTATGTCACTACCCAGGCTTGTCATTAAAATGCATGGCCCATGGAGTATATCCTGAAGGGACATGTTCATCCTTATGTGCTTTGATCAAGGACCTCCTGAGTCAGTAGTGAACATTTTCACACATTTCAGTAAAAGGTGGGACGAAATCTGGAGAAAATGTTTTGTTTTTTTTCAAAAGCCTTTCTGAAATCAAGTCGCTTACCTTACAAATTCTTGGCTGGATGTGGTGTCAGTGGCTGTCTGGACTGGTCTTTCTGTAAATCTATTGTACAACATGTAAGGGTATAATTGACCAGACACTTTCTAAACGTTACCTTGCAGGTCACCCTGAAGACATGTCTTCTCTTCTGTCCCTTCAAGAAGAAAATCGCATCCTACAGCAAGAGCTCTCGCGGGTGGAAGATCTGCTGGCTCAGAGCCGCGCTGAGAGAGATGAACTGGCCATCAAATACAATGCAATCAGTGAGAGGGTATGTCTGTCATACAGAAAGCAGCAAAGCACTTAGGGTTCATTCTTTAATAAAGCGAATTAAAAATCTAAGGTCATAGTAGCCGAACTAGAAAAAAATCTCTAAGTCAGCTATTCTTTCAGTTTGGCTACTCTGGCCTTAAATATGAAATTCACTTTGAAATCTCACTTCAGTAAATAAACCTGTTAGTTTTAGTTTGTTGGAAGCCTGGCGAGCAGATCGTCGCTCAGCTTTACTATAGCAACCTTTATCCGTGTAACTTCTGATTGTTAAGGGGTGCAAACCATCCTGGCATTCCAATGGTTAAATATGCAATAAAAATGGCATTGGTTTTCCACTGTGTACTTTAACAGCCATTGTTTACATTTACCCTCTGGGAGCCTTCCTAGTTGTTGGAGCTGGTTCCTTGTATTGGATTGCACAGCATTTCTGAACACTATTTCCTGCTAATTGTGTCCATGCTGCAGAAAGCAGTGATTTGAAATTGAAAACAGAATTGTTAACTTTTGGCTGAATTTGCAGAGTTGTGAGAAATCTCTGATCGTTCTCACACGTGGCCTAAAATTTGCAAGACAGTTGAGAATAGTAAGAGTTACCACTGATGGATTGCTCCAATTACAGGCCGCTGGAGTAGGGTTTTCTAATTAACATTTGTATTTGACGGGTGATTAAGGCACATCTCACTTCGTTCCTCACCCAGCACATCTCTTTTATCCCTGTGAATCCCATGTGGGCCCAGTCAAGTCCAGGCATGCTGTGGGCAGTGAGCTGCGCTGTGCAGGCTCAGACCTGCCTCTGTTAATATGTCCTGTCTATGGAGTGGGTCACCACTGACCTGGGGTTAGGGATGGAATATAATGAGTTTGCACACCCTGTGCCAAGCGCATTATGACTCTGACAGAATAGTCCCATTTGAAATCTAAGCCACATCTGAACACTCTTCACAAACATATCCAGTGCTACATTCTCTTACAGCAGTGTATGCAAGCATTGTCTCTTTTCACAGCACGTTGCAAAATATTATCTCTCAGTAAACTTTCAATACCATTACCTCCTTTCCAGTGAGAGCAGTCATTCTTCCTTTTCCAACACTGACCAAGAGCCTGCAGTGCTCTCTGTGCACAGTGATACTGAATAGCAGGAGGAAATGGGGAGACTCTGGGCACACATTGGGGTATATGTGCAGCCTGGGGGGAGCTGTGAAATACAGACACATCGTTTTAGCCAGGCAACACCGTTTACTCTGTCTGTATTCAGTTGGCACTTGGGGCATTTAAGAGCTTTTGGCCATTTTTAATAATGTCATTTTCTCTGTGTTCTTAAACTGTATATGTGCGCATACACTTATTTTTAGGAACGTGCATTGTAATATCATTAAAACCATATATTCTCTAGCTCTTTATTAACCCCCGTATTTGTTCAAGGATAAAACCGCTCCATTTGACCTAATTCAACCAATACAGTCCCTGGTTGCAAAACATGGCAGCAATTTCAAAATCCAGTTAGAAAAAGCAACGTTTGGATTTTCAGTTCCAAGAGACTTGTTTTCTTATTGGAGCTGAAACTTTAAACTTGCGTTTTCAGTGACTTGGCATAATTAATCACTGCATTCACAATGAATGCTGGCAGATCATATGCATTGATGCAATGTCGCTGTCCTAGAGAATCCTGGGAATTCTAATGTACACGGACTCTCCTGTCTGTGCTGTGTCCACTGGCATGCTGTGTGTGAGTTTTATTGAATAAAGAATAAATCACAGATAATCGTCACTACTGTAAAAATGGTAATATCTCACTGTCCATGTCCAGAAAGGATTGCATTAATGTAAAGTGTTTTTATCTGTACAGGTAACATGCTACTTTAATCTGTGAATGCAGCTCAGTCTGTGTCATACAGGACTATTTACCAAAGTAAATGTCAATTGTAAGGCCAAAGTAGCCAAACTGGGAGTGTAGCCGTCTTAAGACTCACGTTGAATTCTCACTTTAGTGAGTTATCCTGCTAGTGTATTATCCTGCCCCCCTGTTTGTCCTCTTTTTGTCTCTGCCAGGGACCAGGAAAATGGTTTGAATGGATGGTCACCATGGTGACAGTTGTCTGGGATATGGTAAACTTTGGTTATTCGGAGCCTGTGTGTCCTATACTAAGGGACAATAGGAATTCATTCATGAGATCCCAAAGCCTTTGTAGCAGCAGCTGCTCTAAAAAGCTGGACTGGGGCTGGGGTGTCCCGAATCAGCCTGCAGCTCTCAGAATAGCGCACCTATTGATTATAAGCTCTTAGGGGCAATTTCTTCCATTAGTCTTCTGTTATTGGCTGCGGTTTATTGTCGTGGCTGAGTTTCATTATGTGTTGCGTACTCTGCAAGGTGTACAGTTGAGGACATACTTGAAAACGAGAGAAATCTCAATGTATCTTTCCTGGTAAAATATTTTATAAATAAATAAAATCAGAACGGACTGTAATATGGAGATACAAGGGTGGAATATTACCTGGGGCTCACAATGTATTTGTTATAAAATATTAATTTAGTCTGAATTCCTGTTGCCCTTCTTTGGTAAAACCTTATTCAAGGTGCACATTAAGGGAGGGTATAGCCAAACCATTCATCACATTCCCCCGTTTGAAGCTGGATTTGAGTTGATTAGTTTGCACTTTATTGCTGTATGCGGTTTCCTACACTCTGTCCTGGTATTTGAATTAACCCATTCACTGCTAGCCATAGAGTGCGAATAGTTCACAGTGAACTGGGGAAAACGTATTTAGGCACATCATTGATGTTACATGGCACTGCAGATCAATAAATATATTTTAACCCCTCATCTTCTGTACATGAAGAGAAGGAATCTGGAGCATGTCCTAGCTCAGTTCTCTCCTTCAATCTCTTTCTCTCGCCTTATGTATTGCTGTCTCTTTGTCTGTCTAGTTGTCTCTATCTGTATGTTTCTCTCTTTTTGTGTTTTGCTATTTCTCTCCCTGACTCTCTCTGGCTGTCTCTTTATGTCTTGCTGTCTCTGTGCCGCTGTCTGTCTGTTTTACCCCCTCTCTGTGAGGGTGAGCGAGCCAGCAGGTGGTTGTGGTGAGAGAGGGCCAATCTTGCTCCATGATGATTAGTTTGGCGGCTACAGCAGGAGAAGAGTGGGTCGGGCAAGCAGTCACGTGCTGAGGCCTGGCATAAGCAAAGCGCAAACTGGAAGCTGCTATAGAAACCCCACTAACCAAAGCCCTGCTGAGAGCAAATCTTTCTACATAATGGCCACTTGCAGAGTGTCTGCTTTGATTGTAATATTAACCCTTTCACAGCAGGGTTCGACCATGTTCAGGGGAAGAGGTTTATTAGTGGTTTGAATGCAAGAAGGAGTTGGCAGTCACTGGGTTAATGCATTGTGTCCTCCATCTTTTCATTATCTGTTTGTTTAAGGATCAGTCTCTGTTGGTTACATGTAATCATAAAGTATCACAATGCATTATCTCACACTGTATCTAACAGACTATTCCTGCACTGACCCTATTATAGTCATCTGGTCCCATAATACAGCGTGGTGCCACCTAGTGGACAGATCTGTAATTCATTCATTCATTCTGGCTACTGTTGCCTAATTAAATAAAATCTATATTAATTTTCGGATCAGATGGAAGAGTCAGTCTGTTATAGGAAAGAGCTCTTGCGTTGCTGTGATTATTATTTTAAGATCCCGGATTCCTCGTGTTTTTTGTGTCTTTATTATAAACAGACACAGAGTTTTTTTTCTTGGTTAATATCCTGAATGATTCAGATTGTACTAATGCTGGGTAAATGCTGATCTCTGTCACATAACTATTAAATTAATAATAATCATAACACTTGGTTCCTTTCTGTACAGCCACATGCTCATTGTGAGTGAGTATTTTCAGATTATTTCTTTTTCTTGTCTAGCTGGAACAGACTCTGCGCCTGGAGACAGGAGAGCGAGAGAGGGATTCCCTGGAAACGAGGAGCTTGGCGCAGCAGAATGTGGAACTCCGACGGCGGCTGGAGGAGGAGCAAGCTGCATATAAACGCAAGCTACAGGCTTACCAAGAAGGGCAACAACGGCAAGCGCAGCTAGTGCAGAAACTACAAGCCAAGGTGACAGTTCTATCTTTCCTTGTTTGTAATGTTACACACATTCTACAATTCATGTCCTTTGTTCATTTGTTTTTAATTGAGTATTTGGGTCATCTTACACCCTAAATCTGTTAGTGATCTCATTTAGGCTCTGTTAAAACCAGGAAATATCTCAGCCATTCAGAAGGCTCTCACTGTGTTCAGTGGTTCCAGAACAAATCCCATAAACCCCTGACCAGCGGCAGTTAATGTGATATGTAGATACGTGTCCCTTTAACATGTGAATGATCCTTAATAATTCATATGAATGACACACTGGGTCAGATCATTGCAAGCAAGGTGAATATGTTCTAGAAAGTGTATTTGATATGATCTGCGTGATTGGTAACTTTACAGAACCAGGTTACTATAGGTCTTCATTGCTTGCACTGGGGTGTATTTAAATCTGCCATGCCTCTCGTAGGTCCTGCAGTATAAGAAGAAGTGTGGAGAGGTGGAACAGCAGCTTTTGGAAAGATCATCTGAGCTAGAACAAGAACGTCTAAGTGTAAGTCTGGAGTCTCCAAAATGTAATAGGTGCGAACATAAATTTATATTACCAGAGCTAGAACAGGAAATCCAGAATGTACAGCTATACTAACAGTGCTAGAACAGGAAATCCAGAATGTACAGCTATACTAACAGTGCTAGAACAGGAAATCCAGAATGTACAGCTATACTAACAGTGCTAGAACAGGAAATCCAGAATGTACGGCTATACTAACAGTGCTAGAACAGGAAATCCAGAATGTACAGCTATACTAACAGTGCTAGAACAGGAAATCCAGAATGTACAGCTATACTAACAGTGTTAGAATGGGAAATCCAGAATGTACAGCTATATTAACAGTGCTAGAACAGGAAATCCAGAATGTACAGCTATACTAACAGTGCTAGAACAGGAAATCCAGAATGTACAGCTATACTAACAGTGCTAGAACAGGAAATCCAGAATGTACAGCTATACTAACAGTGTTAGAATGGGAAATCCAGAATGTACAGCTATATTAACAGTGCTAGAACAGGAAATCCAGAATGTACAGCTATACTAACAGTGTTAGAATGGGAAATCCAGAATGTACAGCTATATTAACAGTGCTAGAACAGGAAATCCAGAATGTACAGCTATACTAACAGTGCTAGAACAGGAAATCCAGAATGTACGGCTATACTAACAGTGCTAGAACAGGAAATCCAGAATGTACAGCTATACTAACAGTGTTAGAATGGGAAATCCAGAATGTACAGCTATATTAACAGTGCTAGAACAGGAAATCCAGAATGTACAGCTATACTAACAGTGCTAGAATGGGAAATCCAGAATGTACAGCTATATTAACAGTGCTAGAACAGGAAATCCAGAATGTACAGCTATACTAACAGTGCTAGAACAGGAAATCCAGAATGTACAGCTATACTAACAGTGCTAGAACAGGAAATCCAGAATGTACAGCTATACTAACAGTGCTAGAACAGGAAATCCAGAATGTACAGCTATACTAACAGTGCTAGAACAGGAAATCCAGAATGTACAGCTATACTAACAGTGCTAGAACAGGAAATCCAGAATGTACAGCTATACTAACAGTGTTAGAATGGGAAATCCAGAATGTACAGCTATATTAACAGTGCTAGAACAGGAAATCCAGAATGTACAGCTATATTAACAGTGCTAGAACAGGAAATCCAGAATGTACAGCTATACTAACAGTGCTAGAACAGGAAATCCAGAATGTACAGCTATACTAACAGTGCTAGAACAGGAAATCCAGAATGTACAGCTATACTAACAGTGTTAGAATGGAAATCCAGAATGTACAGCTATATTAACAGTGCTAGAACAGGAAATCCAGAATGTACAGCTATACTAACAGTGCTAGAACAGGAAATCCAGAATGTACGGCTATACTAACAGTGCTAGAACAGGAAATCCAGAATGTACAGCTATACTAACAGTGCTAGAACAGGAAATCCAGAATGTACAGCTATACTAACAGTGTTAGAATGGGAAATCCAGAATGTACAGCTATATTAACAGTGTTAGAATGGGAAATCCAGAATGTACAGCTATACTAACAGTGCTAGAACAGGAAATCCAGAATGTACAGCTATATTAACAGTGTTATAAGTTTTAAATGTTGACAGATCTAGAATGGAATATAAATCTGCTTTCATTGAGCTAAAATATGAATTCATATTAAAACTCTCTGGCCTAGATTAAAAACATATCAGTGTAATTCTGGATCCACTACACTAGAACAGGAACCTATGAATGTATCCACTGCTGAAGCAGCATTCTATATGGTTAGTCTAGTTATATAAATGTACGTTAATGCCTGTTTGTGCAGAGCCGTTTAGAGCTGTCAGACACGCGGCTGCGCCATGAGGAAGAGACTAGCAATGACTTGGAAAACGCCTTGATCAGACTAGAAGAAGAACAGCAGAGGTAGGAAATGTGATGTATGGCCATGGGTTACCTATAGATTTCTCTGAATAGGGGATCTTGTATATGGAGTCTTCTTTCATCAAAAAGGGCATGCTGTTTGTGTTTTGCACAATGTAATGGTTTCCCCAGGGGCACTCACAGTCTGCCTTCACACCCACAGAAGTACCAGTCTGACCCAGGTAAATGCCATGCTAAGGGAGCAGCTGGACCAGGCCAATGCAGCCAATCAGGCCCTGAGTGAGGATCTCCGTAAGCTGACAGCTGATTGGACCAAAGCTCGAGATGAGTTGGAGCAGCGAGAGAGTGAGTGGAGACGAGAGGAGGAGGTGAGTGGAGTTTTGGCTTTTTCATTAATATTCCCCCAAAGACAGACATGAAGAGCAGGAAAAGAGCTATTTTGTTCCATCCCTTAATTTCCCTCCAGACATTTCTCAGTGTTTTCGTGCCAAATCTGTATTCTTACTTTCTCTTTTTTTCCCATTTGGATATTTTTCCTGAATGTTTGTTTTTTTAATGCGTTTCCATCTAAATTTAATTCACTCCTTTATTTTCTCCTCTGTCTGGGCTTTTGTTTTCTTCCTTTGCTTCTGTAAATTTGTCTTGCTTCCCTATTAAACCTTCTCTCTCTCTACCTGCAGTCCTTTAACGCATATTTCAGTAACGAGCACAGCCGTCTGCTGTCTCTATGGCGGCAAGTTGTCGGGTTCCGCAGACACTTCAATGAAATGAAAACTATGACAGAAAGGTGAGTGCGTGGGATAATGTATCTGTCACAATACAGTCTGTACGTGTGAATGGGGTCGAAGCCCAGGGTCTGCTTTGAGGTTAAGAATCAGAGCTTTCATTTTTGTTTACGTTGCGTAATATATAGTATGTAATGCGGCATTTCAGAAATAGTAAAGGAAATAATGTTTAAAAAATGGTAAATAATTAAGGAAGGTTTTACGAGCAGTGAGCTGGGTTGCCCATTTGTTATTGAATGTTAAATATCTCAGAATAGGTGCGCTGGCACGCATAGCTCGGTGTGATAACTCTGCTGAGGCTGCCTGTTTACGTGTTTAGTCAGCACAAACTGGCAGAGTTAGAAGTATTGATTACTGCTTCCATCATGTGTTAGTTGCAGAGTAGAATTACTCTGACTAGGTGGCGTAGTGCACTGGTAACTGATAGAAAGAAACGTCTACCCAGAGCTCGGGATTCTAAAGTGTGTTTCTTGTTTATCTGTTTTTCACACGCAGGGATCTGATGCAGCTGCAGAAGGAGTTGTCACTGTCCAGCCGTTCCATGCACGCTTCCTGCATGACCGTGAGCGGCTCCCATCGGATGTCAGAAAGCAGCGGGATGGCAGTGGTAGAAAGGCAGGCGCTGCAGCTTGTTCAGATGGAGGAGCAGCTGAAGGACAAAGTACGGCAAATGATCCAGCTCCAGGCTGCCTGTGATGGAGAGAAAGCTGAACTTTCTGCCAGGTAACTTCCCAACAGCCTTATCCCCTGTATCCTCTATATCGTTTCTCCAGATCAGCTTCTCCAGTCTCGCTTGATCCTTTAGCCTTCCGGCCACTCCAGGCTCACTCTATCCTATAGCCGTCCGGTCTCTCCAGGCTCACCTGTTCCTATATCCTCCAGTTCTGCCTCTCCAGACTTGCACGACTTTATATCCTCCAGATCTGCCTCTCCAGACTCACTCAATCCTATATCCACCAGATCTGCCTCTCCAGACTCACTGGATCCTATATCCTCCAGATCTGCCTCTCCAGACTCACTTGATCCTATATCCTCCAGATCTGCCTCTCCAGACTCATTCGATCCTATATCCTCTAGATCAGTCTTTCCAGACTCGTTAGATCCTATATCCTCCTGATCTTCCACTCCAGACTCACTCGATCTTATATCCTCCAGATCTGCCTCTACAGACTCATTCGATCATATATCCTCTAGATTGGCCTTTCCAGACTCGGTAGATCCTATATCCTCCAGATCTTCCACTCCAGACTCACTCGATCTTATATCCTCCAGACCTGCCTCTCCAGACTCACTCGATCCTGTATTCTCCAGACTCACTCGATCCTGTATTCTCCTGATTGGCCTCTCCAGACTTGCACAATCCTTTATCCTCCAAATCTGCCTCTCCAGACTCACTCGATCCTGTATCAGCCTTTCCAGGCTTGCTCAATTATATATCTTCTAGATCAGACTGTCCAGGCTGCAGATATCTTGAAATATTATTTACACACATCAGTAATTTAAAATTATGGTGTTTAATAGTTCCACTGTTAGCAAGGGGTACATAGGCATTACCATTCTGCCAAGGCGGGCCACAAAATAACTTTATATACACTGCTGTATTAAACCACACAATAACAGTGCATCCATAACCTATCAAAGCTGGGCATTTTCTCTGATGCAGATCTCACTTTGTCCAACAGGGTTGAGGAGCTGACTAGGAACGTTGAGCGTCTGCAGAATGAGAGCGCACAGAAGGAGCAGAATAGCCAGAGATTGCAGGAGCAGGTATTGAGGCAGAGATGTCCTATTGCAGCCCATGTGATTTTAGGCTGAAATTCCCATGATTGGTGGACACCTTGCTTTAGAAGGTCACTTGGTGAGAGTGAAGGAAGTTTAGATCATATTGTGGTTCTTACAGGAGAAAAACCGAGCAGAAGAGCAGGTGGTCCTCCTGGGAGAGGAACTCGAGACTCTGAAGTCTGAAAAAGAAGTCCTTCAGGAAACTCTACGAGAACTCACACAGGTCTGTGACAATACATAACATATCTCAATTCAAACTGGCCTGGGAAACTTACAATCTAATTCGAAAGCCAGAATAATCCGATATCGGGCCATAACCTAGCTTTGGGGTATGTATTCTTTACACTGGGAATTGATGCCAGTAAAGTTGGATGGGAGAATTTTTCAATTTGGCTATTGTGGCCTAAGACCGTAAATATCTTTGTCAAACAATACCTACACGTGTACTTTTTATAAGCGTTGGGCGTTAATACATTTGTCATCAGTGGGACTGCTCAACGCTTATATAAAAAGTCTTCTGAACGCTTTAACTTATGGATGTACCGTATGCATTGTGGGATTGTTCCAAGTGCATCATGGGAGCACATAGTTCAGGAAAGAAAAATATATTTATTTAATCACCGGCAGCTCTGCTTGTACACAGCAGGGATATTATATTAATTTATTCGCCCTTAGAGTAGCTCTGTTTTACAGGGTATTTAAATGTTATGACCAACAGGCTTGGATGGCAATTTATTATTCGTCAGGAAATTATTTGTTGTTATTGTTATCGAGTTTTTCTTTTGCATAATTCTCAGGTTTCAAAGTAAACTAACCATTTTTAAAATTCAGAATAAGTATTTAAAAGCCGTTTTCTCTTTACAGTATATTTACCAATGTCCCTGAAACATGCAGCTTTACGATTACCAGCCTCCATCCCCCTGCTGACTGTGTGCATGTTCTTTCCTCCAGGTAGTTCTGAGTGAAGCGGACAGTGGCTTTCAGCTTTCCACCAGTGACAGGACGTCTGATTTAATAGACATCGAGGGTCCAGGTCTCAGCCTGCGCGGTCTGTCTAGCAGCCTGCGCACCTCCTCACCACTAAGGCGTTCCTCACCACACCGCAGCTCTTCCCCAAGACGCAGCATGTCCCCCGCGTTCAGAGACTCTGCTCTGTCCACCGTTCAGTCAGCCTTGCAAAGACGACAGCTGCAAGTACAGGTAGGACAAGCTCTCAGCGCTAGAACGGGTCAGGTAGGTAGAATGGGTCAGGTAAGACAAGCTCTCAGCCATAGAATGGGTCAGGTAGAACAAGCTCTCAGCCATAGAATGGGTCGGGTAGAACAAGCTCTCAGCAATAGAATGGGTCAGGTAGAACAAGCTTTCAACCATAGAATGGGTCAGGTAGGACAAGCTCTCAGCCATAGAATGGGTCGGGTAGGACTAGCTCTCAGCCATAGAATGGGTCAGGTAGAACAAGCTCTCAGCCATAGAATGGGTCGGGTAGAACAAGCTCTCAGCAATAGAATGGGTCAGGTAGGACAAGCTCTCAGCCATAGAATGGTTCAGGTAGGACAAGCTCTCAGCCATAGAATGGGTCGGGTAGGACAAGCTCTCAGCCATAGAATGGTTCAGGTAGGACAAGCTCTCAGCCATAGAATGGGTCAGGTAGGACAAGCTTTCAGCCATAGAATGGGTCGGTTAGGTCAACCTCTCAGCCATAGAATGGGTCGGGTAGAAAAAGCTCTCAGCCATAGAATGGGTCAGGTAGGACAAGCTCTCAGCGTTAGAACAGGTCGGGTAGGACAAACTCTCAGAGATAGAATGGGTCAGGTAGGTCAAGATCTTAGTCATTTAATGGGTCAGGTAGAACAAGCTCTCAGCCATAGAATGGGTCATGCAGGACAAGCTCTCAGCCATAGAATGGGTCAGGTAGGACAAGCTCTCAGCCATAGAATGGGTCAGGTAGGACAAGCTCTCAGCCACAGAATGGGTCAGGTAGGACAAGCTCTCAGCCATAGAATGGGTCAGGTAGGACAAGCTCTCAGCAATAGAATGGGTCAGGTAAGACAAGCTCTCAGCCATAGAATGGGTTAGGTAGGACAAGCTTTCAACCATAGCATGGGTCAGGTAGGACAAGCTCTCAGCCATAGAATGGATCAGGTAGGACAAGCTCTCAGCCATAGAATGGATCAGGTAGGACAAGCTCTCAGCCATAGAATGGATCAGGTAATACAAACTCTCAGCCATAGAATGGGTCAGGTAGGACAAGCTCTCAGCCACAGAATGGGTCAGGTAGGACAAGCTCTCAGCCATAGAATGGGTCGGTTAGGTCAACCTCTCAGCCATAGAATGGGTCAGGTAGGACAAGCTCTCAGCCATAGAATGGGTCAGGTAGGACAAGCTCTCAAGCCATAGAATGGGTCAGGTAGGACAAGCTCTCAGCCATAGAATGGGTCAGGTAGGACAAGCTCTCAGCCATAGAATGGGTCAGGTAGGACAAGCTCTCAGCCATAGAATGGGTCAGGTAGGACAAGCTCTCAGCCATAGAATGGGTCAGGTAGGACAAGCTCTCAGCCATAGAATGGGTCAGGCAGAACAAGCTCTCAGCCATAGAATGGGTCAGGCAGAACAAGCTCTCAACCCTAGAATGGGTCAGGTAAGACAAGCTTTCAGCCATAGAATGGGTCAGGTAGGACAAGCTCTCCGCCATATAATGGGTCGGTTAGGTCAACCTCTCAGCCATAGAATGGGTCAGGCAGAACAAGCTCTCAGCCATAGAATGGGTCAGGTAGGACAAGCTCTCAACCCTAGAATGGGTCAGGTAGGACAAGCTCTCAGCCATAGAATGGGTCAGGTAGGACAAGCTTTCAACCATAGAATGGGTCAGGTAGGACAAGCTCTCAGCCATAGAATGGGTCAGGTAGGACAAGCTCTCCGCCATATAATGGGTCGGGTAGGACAAGCTCTCCGCCCTAGAACGGGCCAGGTAAAATTCCTTTAATTTACTTACAGTGATGCAGAGATGAATATTAGATATGTAAAGTCAAGACAATCTTATTTTTCTTAGTGATGTAACTTGCAGTCCCAGTTTCCGGTCTTTTTAAATGCCTGTGTGTCCAGTTCTGATTCTCTGTCAATAGAAAGCGTGTGTTTTATTGGCATTACAGGCATTTTTACAGTTTTGTCTCACCTCCACCTGCAATTCCTGAATGTCAGGGTTCCCTGTCTTCTAGGAGCTGAAAGGGCGACTCGAGGCAGGGCAGGAAGCTCTGGGGTCCCTGCGAAAACAGCTCAGTGACAGCGAGAATGAGCGAAGGAACCTGGAACAGAAAATACTTCAACTCCAGCAAGACCTGGAAAGTTCTCACCTTGCCAAAGAGGACACAGAGCGCAATATAGCCAGACTGCGCAGCAACGCCGGGCAGCTCACTGGGTATGTACAGTAAGAACTGCTTGTTTATAATGACACAATTGGGGAGCGTTATAAAAATTGCACTCAGAGAAAATTACCAGTACATTATATTGGTTTTCACGGTAATTTCTACTCTTTACCTGATGCAACTTTTATAAATCTCACCCGATGGGTCCCTAAAACTGCAGTCAGACACTAGTGTGATCCCCTCTGTGTCTCATATCCCGAGATAGACTTCTCCTTTAAATGCTGTGGGAGACGAATTCTGAGATAGAAAAGGATTGGCCTTTCCTTTCAAAGTCTCGGAGGAGAGCAAAATGTTTCTTAGAATTTATGTCAATGGGTCAGACTACGACCAGAGAGCTGATGTCCTATAAATGGAGGCAAACCGTGCGTTAACGTGTGAGGAACCCGGTTAGGGAAAGTAAATCCTCCCAAACTTCGTTTATAAGGAACAGTTTGAAGGTGAAATGCTGCCTTCATCTACACGGGATCGGTTTGGGGATAAAATATTGTCTTCGTTTCTGGGGATCAGTTTTGACAAAAAAATACACTGGCCAGAAATCTGGGGATCAAATACTGCCCTGGTTTATGGGATATTACTGGGGGTAAAATACTGCCCTGGTTTATGGGATATTACTGGGGGTAAAATACTGCCCTGGTTTATGGGATATTACTAGGGGTAAAATACTGCCCTGGTTTATGGGATATTACTAGGGGGTAAAATACTGCCCTGGTTTATGGGATATTACTAGGGGTAAAATACTGCCCTGGTTTATGGGATATTACTAGGGGGTAAAATACTGCCCTGGTTTATGGGATATTACTAGGGGGTAAAATACTGCCCTGGTTTATGGGATGTTACTAGGGGGTAAAATACTGCCCTGGTTTATGGGATATTACTAGGGGGTAAAATACTGCCCTGGTTTATGGGATATTACTAGGGGGTAAAATACTGCCCTGGTTTATGGGATATTACTAGGGGGTAAAATACTGCCCTGGTTTATGGGATATTACTAGGGGGTAAAATACTGCCCTGGTTTATGGGATATTACTAGGGGGTAAAATACTGCCCTGGTTTATGGGATATTACTAGGGGGTAAAATACTGCCCTGGTTTATGGGATATTACTGGGGGTAAAATACTGCCCTGGTTTATGGGATATTACTGGGGGTAAAATACTGCCCTGGTTTATGGGATATTACTAGGGGTAAAATACTGCCCTGGTTTATGGGATATTACTAGGGGGTAAAATACTGCCCTGGTTTATGGGATATTACTAGGGGGTAAAATACTGCCCTGGTTTATGGGATGTTACTAGGGGGTAAAATACTGCCCTGGTTTATGGAATATTACTGGGGGTAAAATACTGCCCTGGTTTATGGGATATTACTGGGGGTAAAATACTGCCCTGGTTTATGGGATATTACTGGGGGTAAAATACTGCCCTGGTTTATGGAATATTACTGGGGGTAAAATACTGCCCTGGTTTATGGGATATTACTAGGGGGTAAAATACTGCCCTGGTTTATGGGATATTACTAGGGGGTAAAATACTGCCCTGGTTTATGGGATATTACTAGGGGGTAAAATACTGCCCTGGTTTATGGGATATTACTGGGGGTAAAATACTGCCCTGGTTTATGGGATATTACTGGGGGTAAAATACTGCCCTGGTTTATGGGATATTACTAGGGGGTAAAATACTGCCCTGGTTTATGGGATGTTACTGGGGGTAAAATACTGCCCTGGTTTATGGGATATTACTGGGGGTAAAATACTGCCCTGGTTTATGGGATATTACTGGGGGTAAAATACTGCCCTGGTTTATGGGATATTACTAGGGGGTAAAATACTGCCCTGGTTTATGGGATATTACTGGGGGTAAAATACTGCCCTGGTTTATGGGATATTACTAGGGGGTAAAATACTGCCCTGGTTTATGGGATATTACTAGGGGGTAAAATACTGCCCTGGTTTATGGGATATTACTAGGGGGTAAAATACTGCCCTGGTTTATGGGATATTACTGGGGGTAAAATACTGCCCTGGTTTATGGGATATTACTGGGGGTAAAATACTGCCCTGGTTTATGGGATATTACTAGGGGGTAAAATACTGCCCTGGTTTTTGGGATATTACTGGGGGTAAAATACTGCCCTGGTTTTGTAGGATAATACTAGGGGGTAAAATACTGCCCTGGTTTGTATGGGATGTTACTAGGGGGGTAAAATACTGCCCTGGTTGCTGGGGATGGTATTACTAGGGGTAAAATACTTACTGGTTTATAGGATATTACTGGGGGTAAAAATACTGCCCTGGTTTGCTTCTGGGATAATGCACAAAAGGGGTAAAATACTGCCCTAGTTTTATGGGGATAATACTGGGGTAAAATACACTGGTTTATAGGATGTGCAGGGGTGAAATACTGCTGGTTTTATGGGATAATGCAGGGGTAAAATGCACTGGTTTTATGGGGATCAATACTGGGGGTACGAAAAAAATACTGCCCTGGTTTATGGGATATTACTAGGGGGTAAAATACTGCCCTGGTTTATGGGATATTACTAGGGGGTAAAATACTGCCCTGGTTTATGGGATATTACTAGGGGGTAAAATACTGCCCTGGTTTATGGGATATTACTAGGGGGTAAAATACTGCCCTGGTTTATGGGATATTACTAGGGGGTAAAATACTGCCCTGGTTTATGGGATATTACTGGGGGTAAAATACTGCCACTAAGGCTGTTTCTATGTATCAGGTTTGTGGGGACACTACTTTTTCAGAGTAATATACAGATTTATTTTTGTTATTTGAAATATATAATAAAGCAGGGGTAGGCAACCTTTTAGCAGCACTGTGCCGATATAGGATTGTGATGTCCCGTAGCATGCCAGTCCTATTTTTTTTTAAATTGAGGTGTGAATGCTGCCGTATTCTGCTTGTGTTATTTATACTGTAATTGCTTTGTATTGTTGTATTTGTGCGTATATGAGCTATTATATTGTATATGTTCATTAGTAGTTTGTGGTATCGTGTATGATACATATAAATGTGGGCTGTGTATGAGGGCTGCTTGTGGAATTGTGTGTGGATGGATATGTCACATTGTGTGTTTGGTAGTGTGTGGGGGCTGTTTGGGGTATTGCATATGAGAGGCTGCATGTGGGGTTGTGTGCGTGTATGTGGATTGTCAGTGGTGTTCAGTTTTGCGGATTGTGTGTATGTTTGTGTGTGGGCTGTCCATATTATTTGTATGAGGGGAGGGTCTTTCTACATTTCTGTGTATATCTAGCAGTGTGGGTGGCTTCCCTGGGTTCCAGTGGGGACCAGGCCAGCCAGGTACAGGTCAAGGACAGGAGCTGCAACAACTGCGAGCTGCTCTAATACTGTGTGGATTCCCATTCACAAGTGCTGGAATGAAGTGCTCTGAGATTACTACCTCCACGTGCTGCAATGCATAAATTGAGGATTGTCCTTCACCACCTTTTCGTATTAGCAGATATCTGATGTTTTACTGGGACTCCTGATAGGCCAGAGCCTGTTTGGCTCTAGCATCCTTGAGTGCCGTGGAAAGTCCCCTCGAGTGCCGTGCATGGCACTAGTGCCGTAGGTTGCCTACCCCTGTAATAAAGTATAAGATGTTTTATTCTAAAAACGTGGCGTTAATATAAAGAGTGCTGTATTGAGAGATACTCTGTTTTTGAGATTCTCTCTCATCTGTTCTAAATTATTTAACTAGGGGTAACCTCTTACTGACTGCCTTCTTTTCCTTTAAACGTCATTTTAAGGTAAGTTACTAGTTCTCAGTAATGGCTATTCCAGTAACGAACGCACTGCGCCGTGATTTCCACACTCAATCCCAGAACGTGCAGCGCTTGCCGTGAGACACCACGTTGGGTTATTTTGTTGTCTTTCAGGGACAGGGATACTTTGGAGAAGACTGTACAAAACCTGCAGGATCAGCTAGAAACGCAGCGACAGGAGAGTGAGAAATTACAGCTCGCCAACAGCGACCTGCAGCGGCATCGGGAAATACTGCAGGAAGAGAAGGAGGACATCTGCCAGGACCGCGAGAGAGCTCAGCGCGAGGTGGAGAGAGGGTACGTGACAGACCGAGATGGCACTCCTGTATATGGACACCTGTTTTATTGTTCCTTTAAATAAAGCGCCAACATTCTCTGCATCGCAGTACAACGTACAGCTGTTTAATGGGCGATTTTTATTGGACTAATGTAGGGTTATTAATAATCTTTGAAATGTGGAAAATTGGTAGTGGCATTAAAGAATTTGGCTGTTTTGACCTCAAATGTGCAATTAAAATATTAAATTGACAAAACTTCCTGTTTTTTTAAGGGTTAAACCTACACTATTATTATATTAATACCCATACAGACAATACAATGTGATATACAGTATGGGTACATTCAATATAGCTACCTTAATAGCTGCATCACATCCAACCAAAGATGTTGGTAGTAGGCTGGCTGGTATTGTTTTCTGGGATGGGTGGGTAGGTAGTATAACTATTTCAGATTTCCTTTAACTTGGCCACTTTGAAGAGTTACTGTATTACATTGATTCTTGGCTAGTTTATTTTTACACAGTTCTTCGTTAATCTAAGAGGAATCACGGAGAGCCATGCCAGTTTGGATCACAAGACTCATAGCTCTATGTTACTGACCCCGCTCTGTCTCTGTCCACAGTCACAAAGTTCAGGAACAACTGGAGGTGAAGCTTTCAGCCCTGAGGAAGGAACTGGTGCTTGTGAAGGAATCTCTGCACCAGTCCAGCTTGGAGAAAGAGGTGTGTGAGGCTGAGAAAGTGGACATCTCTCAGGCTTTGTCTAAGGTAAGTACCCAATCATTCTCCCCTCATTTCCAATGAACATTGACCTGATCCCCCCTCCTCAATTTACTGCTCCCCTTTCCAGCACCCCCCACCTGGGACACTGACATGGCACCGCAGCTCCCTTTCCCATCAGTCCGCTGCCTGGAGACGGTTGTTAATATTCTCTTGTCTGGTTTAGGCGGAGACGGGCCGTGCAGAGCTGGAGTTTGCACTGAATAGGCAGAGGACAGAGGAAGCGTCACTGCGGGATGCTCTATCAAAAATGAGCGCCCTTAATGAGAGCCTGGCACAGGACAAGACTGAACTCAACCGTATAATAGCCCAGGTACTGCGTGGTGGAGAGTGTGCAGTGAGTGACAGCTTAGTGTTTAGGAATGATGGGCATTGCGTGTTCTATATCACCACTGGATAAATACTGCTATCAAACCCTAACAGTGAGTGTCTAACAAGCCTTACCTATGTATTCTTTATTATACTCCATCGGGTAAATCTGATTCACCAATAGGATGGAGGCAGATCTGATTCACTAGTAGGATGTATAATACCCCCAGGGGGGAAGATCTGATTCACTATTAGGATGTATAATACTCCCATGGAGGCAGATCTGATTCACTATTAGGATGTATAATACTCCCAGGGAGGCAGATCTGATTCACTATTAGGATGAATAATACCCCCAGGGGGGAAGATCTGATTCACTATTAGGATGTATAATACTCCCAGGGAAGCAGATCTGATTCACTATTAGGATGTATAATACTCCCAGGGAGGCAGATCTGATTCACTATTAGGATGTATAATACTCCCAGGGAGGCAGATCTGATTCACTATTAGGATGTATAATACTCCCAGGGGGCCAGATCGGATTCACCAGTAGGATGTATAATACCCTCAGGGGGGAAGATCTGATTTACTATTAGGATGTATAATACCCCCAGGGGGGCAGATCGGATTCACCAGTAGGATGTATAATACCCCCAGGGAGGCAGATCTGATTCACTATTAGGATGTATAATACCCCCAGGGGGGCAGATCTGATTCACCAGTAGGATGTATAATACCCCCAGGGGGGCAGATCTGATTCACTATTAGGATGTATAATACCCCCATGGGGGCAGATCTGATTCACCATTAGGATTTATAATACCCCCAGGGGGGCAGATCTGATTCACTATTAGTATGTTTTATACCCCCATGGGGGCTGATCTGATTCACTATTAGTATGTTTTATACCCCCATGGGGGCAGATCTGATTCACCAGTAGGAGGGGGGCAGATCTGATTCACTATTAGGATGTGTAATACCCCTTCGGTGTAGTTATAGGTTTGATTCAGGATTAGACGATATAGAAAAAGGATGGATCTTTAACCAATAAACTCGCCCTGTCTGTAGCTAGAGGATGAGCGAGCCTCACTGCAGGGACAGAAGCATGAAGTAGAGCAGGAGAAGGCCTCAATCCGGGATGAGCTGGTCCGTCTGGAACAGGAGAAGTTGGAACTGGATACTGAGCGTTTCGGCTTGGATAACTCCTTGCAGGCTATGGAGCAGAGCCGCGAACAGCTTCTTCAGGAGCTTCAGTCTCTACGGAGAGAACGGGTGCAGCTACAGGAACAGCTGGGACAGGTGAGAAAATCTCAGATACTACCGTCAGCAGTGAGGACAGGGGAGAGAATCTCAGATACTACCGTCAGCAGTGAGGACAGGGGAGAGAATCTCAGATACTACCGTCAGCAGTGAAGACAGGGGAGAGAATCTCAGATACTACCGTCAGCAGTGAAGACAGGGGAGAGAATCTCAGATACTACCGCCAGCAGTGAGGACAGGGGAGAGAATCTCAGATACTACCGTCAGCAGTGAAGAGAGGCGAGAGAATCTCAGATACTACCGTCAGCAGTGAAGACAGGGGAGAGAATCTCAGATACTACCGCCAGCAGTGAGGACAGGGGGGATAATCTTAGATACTACCGCCAGCAGTGAGGACAGGGGGGAGAATCTCCGATACTACCGCCAGTAGTGAGGACATGGGAGAGAATCTCAGATACTACCGCCAGCAGTGAGGACAGGGGGGAGAATCTCAGATACTACCACCAGCAGTGAGGACAGGGGGGAGAATCTCAGATACTACCGCCAGTAGTGAGACAGGGAAGAGAATCTCAGATACTACCGCCAGTAGTGAGGACAGGGGAGAGAATCTCAGATACTACCGCCAGTAGTGAGGAAAGGGGAGAGATTCTGGGGGATGTGACTTGCGTAAGCACTAGAGAAAACTTTCTCAGGTCCCACATGCCACTAACACCTTAAATTTGGATTATCTCTACCTAGATCTCACGGCAGAGAAACGCATTGAGTGAGGAGCTGGTCCAGAGCCGGAGAGAGGTTGAACTACAGAGTGAGAGTTTACTCCGAGCCTCCAAGGAGAAGGAAGGGCTGATGAAGGATAAGGGCAGCCTAGTGGTTCAACTGACTGCCTCAGAGCGAGAGAACAGGGCCCAGGCAGAGGAAATAGCTGCTCTCAGGTATGTTGGGAGGGAATTCCTGGTTTTAGTACTCGGGCTCACGTATAGTCCTCTCCTTGTAACTCATTGATTAATGAATCATTTACTCAACTCATATCTGTGCCAACACCAGGCAGATAGTTGCTGGGGACTTGTTACCAGGCAGCCAAGAAGCCAAACACAGAGCAGACTCCTACAGCAACACAGGACTTCCTAGAACCATCAGGGCAAATTACTCCAGAATCTCACTGACCAGTAAAGTGAGTGGATACTCGGTGAGACAGACCAGTACAGGGAGTGGATACTCAGTGAGACAGACCAGTACAGGCAGTGGATACTCAGTGAGACAGACCAGTACAGGGAGTGGATACTCGGTGAGACAGACCAGTACAGGGAGTGGATACTCGGTGAGACAGACCAGTACAGGCAGTGGATACTTGGTGAGAGAGACCAGTACAGGGAATGGATACTCGGTGAGACAGACCAGTACGGGCAGTGGATACTCAGTGAGACAGACCAGTACAGGGAGTGGATACTCGGTGAGACAGACCAGTACAGGCAGTGGATGCTCAGACAGACTAGTACAGGGAGTGGATACTCGGTGAGACAGACCAGTACAGGCAGTGGATGCTCAGACAGACTAGTACAGGGAGTGGATACTCGGTGAGACAGACCAGTACAGGCAGTGGATGCTCAGACAGACTAGTACAGTGATGGAATACTCCATGACCTCATTTCATGGAGTGGATACTCCGTGACACAGAGCAGTACATTGAGTGGTTGCTCAGACTGGCAGGCTAGGGGAAAGTAATCATGGAGTGTTTGGTGACAGTAGATGAAGCCTTCGTGCTGTGCTCACAGGTCTGAGAAGGAATCATTGGAGACGGTCCTGTTTGATGCTCAGCAGCAGATCTCTCACCTCACATCCCAGAAGGAGCAGGTGGAAACGGAGAACCAAAGTCTGCGTCTGACCAAGGAGGCTCTGCAAGGTAGGCCCCAATCACACAGCAGACATGTCCAGAGCCAGACTGCATGCTGCACTGAATACAGTGTGTACACTAAAAGCTCACAGTGGACGTGATCAACCAACAATCAGTTTCACTATTTGGTGTCCGCATCACAGCTGCTTTTTTTTGTCATATAGTAAGAGGGTTTGATCCACAAGCTGTCTGTGCTGGACCGTGGTTATTCTCTGCTTTATTATCCTGTTTTACATTTGGACAAGTTTCGCATGTTTCATGTTTTCTGGAATTAATCAAACGAGGTTTGCTTAACTACCTCTTCCATTTAATGCAGGAGATCTAAGTTTGGTAAATATTGCTGTGTCTTAAATAAAAACGAAATACCCAGAATACCTTGCTCATGGCTGCGCTGAATGGATATTCTTATTAAGCAATTCCCTGTTCACTTACAGTTTTAATAGCTCAGTTAACTTAACCAGACTAACTTTTAATTAGCCCAACTATTTGGTGCATTAGGGGTAGCAGAGGCCTGAAAAAAGCTCACAACGCTGTTAAAAATGTAATTGTTAATATATTTGTTAAATTATAAACCTTAATGCTCACTATCCGGTGTTTCCCTGTAGAATGCACCATCCCTCTTTATTTATGTGTGTATATATAATTGTATTTATTTACTTCATTGAGGCTGGATTGCTTGGCAGTTTGCAGTACCTTTCACTGTGGCTAGGCAGTGATATGGTTTGATTATGTCACCAGTGACGTAGAGTGTTGATGCTGCTTGTTCTCGGATTGACTGTTTGTGTTATTCGCTTGTAGCGGAGGCCGTTGCTCTGCGTAAACAGCTGGAGGCTGAACGGAGCAGGCTGGAGCGGGATAAGGAGTCTCTAGGTCAGCAGCTGAGCCAGGCGGAGAAAGATTCACAGGTCACATTAAGAAACGAAAAGAAAGCCCATGAAGATGATGTGGAACGGCTATGCCAAGAGAAGGCAAGTTCCACTACCTCCTAAGCCATGCATTAGATCTCCGAAAGGAGCTCTGAGTTAACCAGACTCAAAGGATGACTGTACCCTGCAGGAGGAGGGTTTGTTGTGATCTTCCATTGAAAGACTAAATGAAGACTTTTTGGGGTTTGTTTGTATTGTGTTTTTTACATCCTCCAAATGTGAATGATGTTCTAACCTTTTTTATTGGGCTCTGACAAGGGCTATTTTTAAATACATGTTACTCTCTATATTTCTTTCTTCGATGTATTATCTTGCTATTAAACACACCCTAATTTCTACTGCTACATTCTCGTTCTTTTTTTACACTTGGTACAAGATGCCCTATAGTGTATCCTGGTGGATATAGAGTATTGCATGCCCTCAGCCAAGGTGGCATTTTAATAGGGTTCCTGATTGCAGTATTAAAATAAAGCTGAAGGCTGATCGGAAAGTCCAGTTCCTCCCATCTCCTGTATTTACTGTTCTTACGTCCGTTGCGTCCTTAGGAGGCGATACGACTGGAGCTAGAGTCCGAGAAGGAGGATCTGGTTCATCGCCTGACGCAAGAGCGAGAGGAGCTGCTGGCGCGACATGAGATGGAACGCGAGGAAATGGCTGAAGAAATCGCTGCCTTACAGCAGGAGCGAGATGACAGTCTCCTGCAGGCAGAGAGCGAGAAGCAGCAGGTAACCAGAACGCAGGGTCTGTAGGTTCTGTCTGCAATGGAAGCAATGCCTTGGCTTATTGGCCTTCATGATCATGTACCAATGAGCTCTGTTGTGTTCTCTTCCTATTCTCAGGTGCTTTCACTGAAGGAGTCGGAAAAGGCCTCTTTGAGTGAGAAGTTAAACAATGCCCAACACAGCCTGGCAAGCCTCACCCTGGAAATCGAACGGCAGAAACGAGAAAGCCAAATGAGACACGAACAAGAACGGGTACGATCTACCTCCTTGTGTGCTCTGATGGCGACGTCTCTTTTAATCTTGGCAATTATTTGGGATAGGGATTAGGACAATGGACATAAGTAACCACGGGTCCTTTATATTGAAATACCAGCTTCTTGCTTACCTTTGTAAGCATTACCCGCTGCTAAAAGCACCAATGTTCTTGTCACAAGAACAATAACCTTTCCCAAGAAAACAGTGGCAGTAGCATGAAGCCCCATGTCTCTTGTCAATTCAGCGTAACTGTAGTAAAATAGATATTAGCAGGTAAATCACTTCCACTGAATATTATGTGTTTTTATGTGTTAATGTATATAAAGGTTTTTTTTTTTTTTTTTTCTCTCACCATAGAGCACAATCGGTTCCCTAAACGCAGAACTAAAGAATCTACAAGTGCAGTGTGAAGAGTCCTTGTCATCACACGAGAGAGAGTTAAAGAATCTTCATGAGCAGATTAGGGACTTGGGAAAGCAAAGAGAGTCGGCTCTGCGAGAGGTGAGTGCACCGACCTGGGAAATAGAGTTAACTCTGTGAGAGGGTAGCAAATGGACCTTGGAAACAGAGAGAATCAGCTCAATGAGCAGTGAGTGCAGGGATCTGGGAAAGAGAGAGAATTATCTCAAAGAGATGTGAGTGCAGGGATCTGGGACACAGAGAGAATCTGCTCACTGAGCAGTGAGTGCAGGGACCTGGAAAACGGAGAGAAATAGCTCAATGAGAGGTGAGTGCAGGGACCTGGGAAACAGAGTGAATCAGCTCAATGAGCAGTGAGTGCAGGGACCTGGGAAACAGAGAGAATCAGCTCAATGAGCAGTGAGTGTAGGGACCTGGGAAACAGAGAGAAATAGCTCAGTGAGAGGTGAGTGCAAGGACCTGGGAAACAGAGAGAAATAGCTCAATAAAAGGTGAGTGCAGGGACCTGGGAAACAGAGAGAAATGAATTAGTGATGCAGGTAATGACGAGATGCAAAAACATAGAATAATGAGTGAGTTCAGGTCCAGATGGAAAGAGTTGGATGGAAGGGGACAGTTTGGGAAAGATAATGGGAACATTATTAAAAACATCATGTGCTCCATTCTCTTTGCAATAATCTCTCAGGTGGAGGAATTGAAGACCCAGCTGTGTGTTGTTGAAGATGCCAGGGATGCTGTGCGTCGGGAACTAATTGAGGCCCACAGACGCATCCGAGAGAGTCAGGAGGTCATTGAGTTTCATAAGAAAGAAAACTCAGATCTGCGACGCTCCCTTGGAGATGAGGCCAGGGAGAAGGAGGCTGTACAAAAATCCAACGAGGAACTGCGTGGTGCTGTGCGCAGGGCAGAGAGTGAACGCATTAGGTACTGGTACTAATGAAAGGATTCGATGAATGATGCCATAGTTATAGATAAAATGCCCTAGTAATACAATCGCTATCTATGAGCTGATAAGGGATCCTCCCGCTAGGGTAAGCCACATAGGGCTGGATGTGGTATGAATCTAGAAGATATTTGCTGCAGCTCGTGAAGTTCCGAAAATATCTGCAGGTTCTATTAATTCTCTAACTTTACTGAACAGCTGACCTTTTCCACAGCATGAATGGTTATTTTTTTGTTTTATATTAGGAATTCCCAGAGGTTTAGCTTTAGAAAATGTAAGGTTTCTGTTTAGGCTAAATGGCAATCCATTAATTAACACACGAAGGCTTGTTATCACTATCGTCAGATTTGAGCAACATCAACATTATGATAACATTATTGTTATAACCCCCTAATTTACAGTGTTTGGTTTTACATATTTCCTGCATTTTGTAATACTATAAATAACTGCCCCCTTTTCATTAAAGAGCTTTTTGTGCTTTTTTCAGATATTTCCTGCACATGGGGTGGCTGCAAAACAGTAGTACCTAACAGCAGGAGTTAAACACACCTTAACCAATATAGAATGCTGTAGTGGTTATGATGCCAATAATCCTCTGGTGCACTCCCATGATCAGCAGTCAAGCCATTTTTATTTGGTTTAACAATAACCTGGTGGCTCCGGTCTGGCCTCCTCTGCTGATGTTGCTTATGGGGTCCCTGTCCACATCAATCCACTTGTGTTTGGACATAATAAATATAAAATGGACCTCCACATTAGATATATCAGCAGAGGAGGTACGACCAGGAGTGCCTGGGTGACATAGGTAAGTGTCAAACCATTTTAAACCACTTTGTCTACGTACCATCTGACAGCAGCGCTGAAGTGGACTGGAGTGGTTATGGTGCCTAGGTAGCATTTTGAAGTTTAAAGATCGGTGATTACCCGTGTGTGCCACTTATAATCCTTTTGTCTGTCTGCCGTGGTAGTTTCAAACCATTTTAAACCACTTTGTCTACGTACCATGTGACCGCAGCGCTGAAGGGGACTGGAGTGGTTATGGTGCTTAGGTAGCATTTTGAAGTTTAAAGATCGGTGATTACCCGTGTGTGCCACTTATAATCCGTTTGTCTGTCTGCCATGGTAGTTTCAAACGTGCCAATGAAGAAAAGGAACAGAGACTCAGTGTGTTGGAGGAAGCTCGATCTGCTACAGAGAAGGAAGCTGCAGATCTGCGTGGTACACTAAGGGAAGTGGAACGATCGCGCTTGGAGGCAAGAAGAGAACTGCAGGATCTACGCAGACAAGTAAGCAGCAATGTGTTTCTGTGTGATGGTCACATTCAGGCTTACTGCATGTGCCATAATACAGCCACCGGGGCCGGACTCCCACGAGACCTCAGATTGGCTATCTCAGCTGTACATGTTCACTTTGCAGTAAATATATTTATTACATAAATTATTATAATGGGTAATAAATCAAAGGGGAACGGTAACGCCTCTGAAGTGAATAAAACATTTACCTATACCTTGTGTTTACCATTTGTTTCATGAGATTTTTTTATTGAATTTTTGCCTTAATTTATATTGTAGATTTAGCAAAGGACATGATAATACCGTTCAGACAACATTTTTTCATAGTAACAGCCCCAGGACGAGCATGGAAACGAGTTATCTTAACGTACCTTTCTTGCTTAAATACTTTCTTGTTATTTCTTCTTCTCTCTGTATGAAGATAGTGGCGCCCAGTTACAGGATAAAAAGCTGTGGATTTCTACATTGAATCTTATTTGTTGAGATATTTGTAGATTGAATATTTATATGATAAGTAAAGATATTATTAAAAAACATGGAGGTGCCGATTCCTCTTTAATATTGCCGCTCTGTATTTGCACTAACCGTTAATGACACTATGTCTCTGACTTTCAGCTGAAGGTTCTGGATGATGAGAGTGTAAAGCGTGGGCGTGATATGGCGGAGGCGCAGGTGCGTCTGTCTATGTGGGAGCAGCGAGACGAGGAGAGCCGCAAAGACTTATTCGGCCTCAAACAGAAGCTGGCGGAAACTGAGGCGGGCCGAGAGACTGCCAGGAAAGAGGTGAGACCGGTACACAAAGTGTTTTAGGATCAAAATGGAGTTGTTGGTTCCCACTCACTCCAGACATGGATTTTCACCCTTTTATGGGAAGAGTGGACTAATGGACTAATCTTTTTTAATTGTTTTGTTTTTAAAATCTATTTATTTTCCCGTTAAAGCGGCACTGTCATGCCGAACTTACCTTTCCTCAATCTCTTCCTCTTCTCCCCCTCTCTCAGGATCTGTTATTCTTTTCTTCCTGTCTTCTTTAGTTTTCTTTAAAATCATAAGACAAAGTAGGGACTCTTTGCCTTATGGAGGATTCCTCCGCTTGACCAGCTCTGACCAGCGGAGGAGCAAAGTGTGCTTCATTTCCGCTGGTCAAAGCAATTTTCCCATGATTCTCACCTTCCCTCTGTGTTCCCACGATGCTTCCTGTCACTTTACACAAAACTGCCGAATTGCATTCTAACTGAATGAGAACAGTCTGTTCGTTTCTTTTAGAACGCAATTCGCAGGGCCATCTTTAATATTGATTGGACCCTGGGCAAGCATCTGTTTGGGCCCCCTGGGCATGCAATCACTCCCTCCACCCCAACCTAGAGGCAAAACTAATGTAGAGAGTGCCTTGGTGCAACAAAAAAAAATTCAGGCCTGCCCTGTAGCACAAGAGTAAAGAAAAGATAGATCCCCATCTGTCATACAACTCCTGCGATGCTATGCCAGCTGGGGATCTACCATCCTTGCAGGGTTGTATTTTTGAGCAGTGTTTGTGCAAATGAATGTCAGCATGTTATTGTATAGAGTGTATGTGTGCATGTAGGAGTGTATTTGTATGTACTGTTACCATTGGAATGCAGTGGTGTACTTGTGTGTAGTGTTTGCATTCTAATGCAGGGATGTGTGATTGTTTGTAGTGTTGGCTTTTAAATGCAGGTGTACTTTTGTGTGTAGAGTTGGTGTTTGTATATAATTTTAGCATTTTAATACAGGAATGTGTTTGCATGTAATGTTTGTATTTGCATGCAGGGGGGTTGTTTGGATGTAGTGTTGTCTTTTAAATACATGTGTACATTTGTGTGTAGTATTAGTGTTTCAGCAAACTGGTGTGTTTGTAATGTTTGTGTTTGCAGGGTTCTGTTTGCATGTTGTGTGATTTCTTTAACACGCAGATACACACATGCTCACACTGACACATGCTCACACCTTGACACATACTGGCACATACACACACACTCAGATACACACCCTTTGACACACAGATACAAACACTTTGATATACACACACTGGCACATACACACACACACACACACTGACACAGGTATATACACACACACTCAGATACACACATACATAAAGGTATAAATGCAGGGGTGTATATGTGTACAGTGCTAGAGTTGGAATGTAGGAGTGTATTTGTGTTGGCATTAAAATGCTGGGATGTATGCATTACCACACACTCAGATGCACACTTACACACACACCGAAACACACACACAGGTGCACATACAGGTGTATGAGGTATACATACACACAGAAACACTGACACACAGACAAACACAGCCAGATACACACAAGGACATAAACACAGCCAGATACACACACACATATATGTGTACATTTACATATTTTAATCTCTGCCTTCTAGCAGCTCTTGGATAGCAACTCCCAGCAACCTTGGCCAATATAATGTCTCAACTCTGTTCTTACATACCCTGGTCCAGAATTTGGCAAAAGTGACATTTGAAAATGGTATACAGCCTTTGATAACACTTGATGCAATATGTTAAAATAAATACTTTTTAAATTTATATTTAATAGGGAACTGTCAGGTTCTTCTAGGATTTTTAACATGTACTTATTCCCTGTGTGTTACATTACAAACACCAACACTTAAATAAAAGTGATATCAGAAATAAGCAAAACAAAAAAACAAAACATATTTAGCCACCCTCCTGTCTCCTTACCTTTTGGGTACAGAAAGGTGGCTTCCCTGGTGTCCAGTGAGAGCTTGCTGGCCCAGGCTGATGGGAGTCTGCCATCAGCTTTCTCAGTCCCTCTCCCCCACAATGCTTGCATCCTCCTCCGTGTGGTGTGTGCCTCCTCCCCAGCGGCACTGAGGAGGAAGTGATCAGTTCTTACTGGGAGGAAGCAATCTGACCTCACTGCCTCCCAGCATGCCCAGGAAACAAAGAGACTCACAGGGCAGTATGTGAGGGGGCTAGCTGTGAGTATGTAGTCAGCCACCCCCCATACAACAGGGACCCCGGCCGGTATTAAAGGGCTGTGGCCCCTGATTACCTCAGGTGCCGCAGGGGGCCCATGGGGCAGCTGCCTTAGGGCCCCCAGGAGTAACTGGGCCCGGGGCAGCTGCCCCTTTTGCCCCTCCTTAAAGACAGCCCTGGCAATTCGGCACTTTATTCGGATCAGAATTTCATTCGAATGAATGAAACTCCGATCCTATTCTTGCTGTGGCTGCATCTTGCAGCCGCTTAGTAGATAACTTCCTAATTCTCACGGTATCAGGGAGTTATCTACTAAAAGGCTGAAAGACCTAAATTGGTCTTTCAGCCACATTTACTAATACTAAGTAAAGATTACTTAGTATTAGTAAATAATATGCCCCTACTCGCTATATTGCGAGTAGGGGCATGTCTGGTAAACAGTGAGCAGCCTGTGGCTGCTCACTGTAAAACAAAAAAAAAAAACAACAAAAAAAACTAACTAACTAAACGACGGGTGAGGGCCCTAAAGTAAAATAAGGGGGGAGACCTAATGTCCCCCCCCGGCCCCAAAGAACTTTCCCACGCTGTGTAAAATGACAAAGATCACTCTGATTGGCTTAAACCCACCAATCAGAGTGTTTTTAGCCTAATTGCAGAGCGGGGCAAGGCTTTATAAGCCTTCCCCCGCCCTGCGGAGCTCAGTCTGCGCGGAGCCCTCCATGGGTGAAGATGGATTATTTTTTTGCGCTCGGGTTTTTTCTTTTTCGTCGGTTTTTTTTTTGCGCTCAGGATTTTTTTTTTTTTTTTAGTTCGACGGTTATGATGGTTTTTTATTTGGCCTTTTTTGGGGCTGAAAAATGAAGATTTGAGAAAAAAGAAGACGTTGAATGGTAAGTTTAATTTTATTTTACAGGTTAGTTATGTTATTCCCCCCTCACTATTTTTTAGGGTGAGGGGGTAGGTAGGGACTTTTTATTTGGGAATTTTAGGGCCCCACCCAACCCATGGGGTGGGGGCGGGGAGGACAGTAGGTCGTCCCCCCCCTCATTATCTTTATGGCCCCCACCTGCCGCCCAGGGGTGGGGGCCGGAGGGGGAGTGGACAGTAGGTCCCCCCCCCCATTATCATTTGGCCCCCACCCGCCGCCCAGGTCCCTCCCCCCTCATTATCAATATGGCCCACACCCGCCGCGCAGGGGTGGGGGCTGGGGGCTGGGGGGGGCAGTAGGTCCCCCCCCTCATTATCAGTATGGCCCCCACCCACAGCCCGGGGTGGGGGGGGGGGACGACAATAGGTCTCCCCCCTTATTTTACTTTAGGACCCCCACCCGCCGTTTAGGGGTGGGGGCCAATTGTTGTTGTTTTTTTTTTACAGTGAGCAGCCACAGGCTGCTCACTGTTTAGTAGACATGCCCCTACTCACGGTATAGTGAGTAGGGGCATTGGGGAGATTTTAATCTCCCTAGTGCTATTATGGGGGTCATATTGACCCCCATAGAGTGAGAGGGGGTCTGGGGGGGGGCTTATGAAGTGGTGGGGAGCACAGCTCCCTGCCGCTTCTATAGTTACATATTACAAGGAGGGAGCTGCGTGCCGGTAGCTCCCTCCTTGTAATAAACTCATCAAACAAACGAACACTGATACATTGTGTTTGTTTGTTCGGCTGATATTTCTATTCACTCATTCGTCTGTCTGATGAATGAATGAATAGATGAAATTCCCGTTCGCATGTCCAGGTGTTTCACTGGGCATGTGCGGGAATCTCACAGTCTGTCTAGTGTGGGCTGATGACGTGTCCCACAGGGACTTCATCTACCCACACAAAGATGGTGGCGCCCTGAATAAAGATCGGGGTAGAAAACAAGGAATAAAAAATAGGTAATGTGGGGGGCTTAGGGGCATTTGGGGGTGACTAGGGTGTTAGTTAGATGTAGTGGAGGCTGGAGGGGGGTTAAAAAAACAAAACAGGATTCGGCATGACAGTGCTGCTTTAACTTGCTTTATAAGACAGAGACCCACGTTCTTTTCCCACATCATTTAAAACCTGTATTTTCACGTATAAGGTCTGTCTTTATTTTAACATGTCGTCATTTAATAATAGATTGGCTGCTTGTTTTTCTAATGTATTTTTCTATTTATCAAAACAGACATAGTTTGCTGCAAGTTCCCCTCACATTAAAACCTCATTTATTATTCTCTCAGATGTGAATTGATGAGGGAATTTTATTTCTCCAAGTTGTTATTTTTCAATTTTAACTCTATTTGGCCTAAAATGTGAAATTCTCTTGTCAGTTTTACTTTGTATACGTTTAAAGGCAGGAGAAGAATGGAACCAATTCTAGCTCTAAAGCAGGGGTCCTCAAACTCCGCCCCCCCAGATGTTGCTGAACTACAGCTCCCATGATTCTTTGAATTACATAGATAGCCAGAGAATCATGGGAGTTGTAGTTCAGCAACATCTGGGGGGCCGGAGTTTGAGGACCCCTGCTCTAAAGCGATCAGCAAAATATAGCATTTTTACAATGACTTCTTCTAATAAAGGTAAGGTATATGTTTTGATGCCGTAGGTACAGACACTAATTACTGCTTTTGGGTCTATTCTCAAATGTGTTAATTGACAAAGTAACTGCAAAAATACAGCAATATAGCCCCATTGTGGGAAGACAAATGGCTCTGGCTCTGATTGTTTTAAAACTTTGCTATTTTGGTTATTCTCTCCTTTTTGCACCTGGCGGTGATTGCTTTATGACATAGCTCAGTGGACTGCAGCGCAAACTATCTGAGGTGGAGAGCGATTTTGGGCTACGTGAGAAGGAGCTTCAGGGGAGCCTTGAAGAGGCGCGTGGGAATGAGAAAAAGCTGCTGGACAACACCCGCAACTTGGAGATCAAACTGATGGCATCGCAGGAAGAGAAGGCGGAGCTTAGCCTGCGTCTCAGCGCCAGCGAGGGACGTGTACATGGACTAGAAGCGGAGCTGGCAAAGCTGGAAGGTCTGAAACGAGAGGTGGAATTCAGACTGGGCAGTTTACATTCTGCCCTCCGTAGAACACTGGGAATTGGGCGGACAGGGCGGACTCCAAGTCCCTCTACTAGAGGGCGCAGTGTGTCCCCCAGGAGGAATTTCTCACCACAGAAAGGTAAGTGTTGGGTCATTCGTTGTGTGATTTGTAGCAGCTATCCTTATACATTATGTGGGAAGGTACTGAAATTTTGTGCCTTTTTCTTTACTCACTACCATTTTTCCACCTCTCTCTGCCGCTAAAGGATTTGACAATACTTACACAACCACTACAGATGGACGTGGGAGCCCCATCCCCCGCACAGGGAGCCCAGAGCGCAGCAGAACTCCAGAGCGAGCAGTGTCACCTAGCCGAGGGGAACAGTTACTTGCCGAGATTGATCCAGAGGTGGTCAGAAATGCCCTGCGAGACTTCTTGCAGGAGCTAAGGGACACCCAGCGAGAAAGGGTAGGTGATTTAAAGCTGTAATACTACATGGTGGGAAGTTTAACAGTCTGAATTGGGGACTTCAGAAAGAGTTTTGGGGCCTGGGACTCCAGAGAGATTTGAAGAGCCTGATGATCCAGAGATTTGGGGATCCTGGGGATACCAGAGATTTGGGGATCCTGGGGATTCCAGAGATTTGGGGATCCTGGGGATTCCAGAGATTTGGGGATCCTGTGGATTCAAGAGATTTGGGGGGCCTGGGGATTCTAGAGATTTGGGGATCCTGGGTATTCCAGAGATTTGGGGATCCTGGGGATTACAGAGATTTGGGGATCCTGGGGATTCCAGAGATTTGGGGGGCCTGGGGATTCTAGAGATTTGGGGGGCCTGGGGATTCTAGAGATTTGGGAATCCTGGGGATTCTAGAGATTTGGGAATCCTGGGGATTCTAGAGATTTGGGGGGCCTAGGGATTCCAATTTAAAGCTGTAATGCTACATGGTTAGAAGTCTGAATTGTGGACTCCAGAGAGAGTTTGGGGGCCTGGGACTCCAGAAAGATTTGAAGAGCCTGATGATCCAGAGAGTTGGGGAGCCTAGGGATTCCAGAGAGTAGTAAATCAGAGAATCCGATATTGAGAGAGAATGTTTGCTGGGGATCTGGGCAGAAGAGGAGCTGAGGAAGTGCCCAGTGTCTTTGTGTTCTGTGGGATGGGTTGAAGGATTCAGTGAAATGTTAGTAAATCATGGAGCTTGGCTGTGAGCAGGATATTGCAACTGACAGTGACTGTCCACTCTCTTTTCTCTCCCGTTTTCCAGGATGACGTGCGCACGCAGCTGGGAGCTACAAACCGCCAACTGCTCGAGGTGGACGCTGAGCGAAATGGAGTAAACACTCGCATACAGCAGCTGCAAAAAGTGCTGTCTGAGTGTGAAGAGGGTAAGTAACTTGCCGTGTCAGTTCATGCTCCTTGAACAAGGACTAAGGAGCCACAGAAAGTGCCAGGTTGGGAAACTGACTGAGAACACACTTAGAATGAGTTTCCAGTTTTCTGGAAAGAAAGGTTTCTTTCTGAAATCACAAATGTATGTTTTTTCAGAGAAGCGCCAAGTGGACAGGAAGCTGAGCAATGTACAAGGTACACTCAATCTGCAGGAGGAGACGCTACGGCGCTACGAGAGAGAGCGCAAGATGGCAGTGGAGAAGGCAGCTAGTGTGGAACGCAGCCTTCAAGCATCAGAGAACGAGTATCGGTCAGCTCAGGTACTGCGTTAATGCACTCGATGAATGTATGGACTGTTAAACAAGACCACAAGTACTCTGGATTCATCTAAAAACCTCCCATCAATGGAAGAAAATACAAGGTAGCAGCTGGTCCAGCCCCGCTGGGATTCCTAGACAGAAACCAGCTACGGAAAATACTTTAGCATATAAATGTTATCGCTGTGTAAAATGGATCATTGTATGAGACATGAGGGCCTCATCATTGTGATTCTGCTCTCCTTGCACACAGTGTACTGATGTACTGAGAAAGATCCATTCCTTGGTACAATACTCAGATGTATGGGACGTTCTCTGAGTGTCTGTTATTTATATATGTGTATAGTATGGGGATGTTTGATATGACAGGCTGACGCTCATTACTGTTTTAGGACAAACTCAACAAGATAAAAGCAAATGAGGCCAAATACGAAAATGAAAAACGCCGTTTGAAGGAGGCACTGGATGCATCTGAGAATCGCAATACCAAGCTGGAACTGTCTAAACGAGGGCTAGAGGGGGAACTGCAGAGGCTCAAACTGGTGCTGTCAGACAGGGAGTCTGAGATGCACGAAATGAATCAGCGCATGGAGGGGCTGCAGCGACAGGTACTAGATCAACATATGCAATATCTCGGTGTGTTTGGGCTGCAGCGACAGGTACTAGATCAACATATGCAATATCTCGGTGTGTTTGGGCTGCAGCGACTACGTCTAGATCAGCCTGCTCAGTGTCTCTGTGTGTTTGGGCTGCAGCGACTACTTCTAGATCAGCCTGCTCACGGTCTCTGTGTGTTTGGGCTGCAGCGACTACTTCTAGATCAGCAAGCTCAGTGTCTCTGTGTCTTTGGGCTGCAGCGACTACTTCTAGATCTGCATGCTCAGTGTCTCTGTGTGTTTGGGCTGTAGCGACTACTTCTAGATCAGCCTGCTCAGGGTCTCTGTGTGTTTGGGCTGCAGCGACTACTTCTAGATCAGCCTGCTCAGCGTCTCTGTGTGTTTGGGCTGCAGCGACTACTTCTAGATCAGCCTGCTCGGGGTCTCTGTGTGTTTGGGCTGCAGCGACTACTTCTAGATCAGCATGCTCGGGGTCTCTGTGTGTTTGGGCTGCAGCGACTACTTCTAGATCAGCAAGCTCAGGGTCTCTGTGTGTTTGGGCTGCAGTGACTACTTCTAGATCAGCCTGCTCAGCGTCTCTATGTGTTTGGGCTGCTGCAACTACTTCTAGATCAGCCTGCTCAGCATCTCTGTGTGTTTGGGCTTCAGCGACTACTTCTAGATCAGCATGCTCAGGGTCTCTGTGTGTTTGGGCTGCAGCGACTACTTCTAGATCAGCAAGCTCAGGGTCTCTGTGTGTTTGGGCTGCAGTGACTACTTCTAGATCAGCCTGCTCAGCGTCTCTGTGTGTTTGGGCTGCTGCAACTACTTCTAGATCAGCCTGCTCAGCATCTCTGTGTGTTTGGGCTTCAGCGACTACTTCTAGATCAGCATGCTCAGGGTCTCTGTGTGTTTGGGCTGCAGCGACTACTTCTAGATCAGCAAGCTCAGTGTCTCTGTGTGTTTGGGCTGCAGCGACTACTTCTAGATCAGCCTGCTCAGCGTCTCTGTGTGTTTGGGCTTCAGCGACTACTTCTAGATCAGCATGCTCAGGGTCTCTGTGTGTTTGGGCTGCAGCGACTACTTCTAGATCAACCTGCTCAGTGTCTCTGTGTGTTTGGGCTGCAGCGACTACTTCTAGATCAACCTGCTCAGTGTCTCTGTGTGTTTGGGCTGCAGCGACTACTTCTAGATCAGCCTGCTCAGGGTCTCTGTGTGTTTGGGCTGCAGCGACTACTTCTAGATCAGCCTGCTCAGCGTCTCTGTGTGTTTGGGCTGCAGCGACTACTTCTAGATCAGCCTGCTCAGCGTCTCTGTGTGTTTGGGCTGCAGCGACTACTTCTAGATCAGCATGCTCAGGGTCTCTGTGTGTTTGGGCTGCAGCGACTACTTCTAGATCAGCCTGCTCAGGGTCTCTGTGTGTTTGGGCTGCACCGACTACTTCTAGATCAGCCTGCTCAGTGTCTCTGTGTGTTTGGGCTGCAGCGACTACTTCTAGATCAGCAAGCTCAGTGTCTCTGTGTGTTTGGGCTGCAGCGACTACTTCTAGATCAGCATGCTCAGGGTCTCTGTGTGTTTGGGCTGCAGCGACTACTTCTAGATCAGCATGCTCAGGGTCTCTGTGTGTTTGGGCTGCAGCGACTACTTCTAGATCAGCATGCTCAGGGTCTCTGTGTGTTTGGGCTGCAGCGACTACTTCTAGATCAGCCTGCTCACGGTCTCTGTGTGTTTGGGCTGCAGCGACTACTTCTAGATCAGCAAGCTCAGTGTCTCTGTGTGTTTGGGCTGCAGTGACTACTTCTAGATCAGCAAGCTCAGTGTCTCTGTGTGTTTGGGCTGCAGCGACTACTTCTAGATCAGCAAGCTCAGTGTCTCTGTGTGTTTGGGCTGCAGCGACTACTTCTAGATCAGCAAGCTCAGTGTCTCTGTGTGTTTGGGCTGCAGCGACTACTTCTAGATCAGCAAGCTCAGTGTCTCTGTGTCTTTGGGCTGCAGCGACAAGTTGTCGATCATCAGGCAGGGGGTTTGTGTGTGTGTTCAGGCTACAGCAATAGATTTCTGGGTGTTTGTTTTTTTTTAATCCGGTTGGTTTGTTGTTGATTAGCTGCATTATCTGTGTTGCTGGGTACAAGTCTAGTAAATACCACTGAGCTGGTTAAATGTTCTCACAGATGGTGGGATGCCATTGATGAATAGCGTGAGCACTGCAGGATGTGAACAGAATTTTTTTACGCAGAGTGCAAATCTCAGGATACAATCTGGATGACAGTTTACCAATATTATGTCATTCTAATAAACTCCCCCAGCCCCGTTTTTTTTAATATCAGAATGTAGAGCATTTAGTCCTCTAGGCCACCAAAAATGGGCTCAGAAAAGAAGCCTTGGGGAATTCCATGCATAGCTCTTAGACAGTGGGAGACACTGTTTGCAATGACCATAATGGTTTCCATCTGATAAGTAACATCAGAACCGACTTAACTCTCGTCCCGGTGTCTCCAGGCTGCATCATGTCTGCTTTTACCCAGCAGAGAACCCTGCTCCGGACGTTCCTATTTGTTACCGGTGTATCTGCAAACTGAGCTCCCTACGTTGCTGTTATTTAATAATAATCTTTGTGACACTCTGTATTCTCTGCTTTATGATCCTAGCTCTCAGACAGCGAGGCCAAGGTCAATACTCTGCAGCTGTGCGTCGATCGACTGAACACAACTCTCATAAAGGCTCAGGAGAACGAAGCTTCCCTCAAAGACAAGGTGCAGAGTTTATCCAGTGCATTGTCCGATAGTAATTCCAGCTCCGCTTGCTCACACGAAAAAATGAGTCAACTGCAAAAGCTGATAACAAGCAGTGAACACGAACGGCGCATCCTACAGGTCAGTCCCTGGTGTTGGTCTACGTGGATTTTGTGAGCAAAAGAGGAACCATATGCCTAATATGTATTTATGGAGGATTGAGCAGAATCGAAGGTGTAGGTTGGCATGTTGTGTGGAATGTTGCACATGGTGATCAGAACTGAATGGTGAAGCTCTGCATATCGTGTAGGATTTACTATGAATAGAGAACACAGCAGTCCTGCACAATAAGTAATGTACAGTTAAAGGGACAGTAGGTCTTGGCAGGACTGTGCTAACTCTAGATTTCCACACACAGGAGCGTCTGGAAGCGGCCAGACTTGCTGTAGCCGAGGGTAAGAAGCAGAGCTCAGGGCTGATGGAAAGGATTCAGGAACTTCGAGACGAGCTGTCAGAAGGAGAGTTCCAACGTGTCGAGCTGGAAGGACAAGTCCGTCAATTACAGGAGGTGAGGTCATATATTATCTTCCCCATTACTCTGCATACATTTTATCTTCTCTGCATTGTTTGTGGTCTCTCTCTCCTTTCGACTTGTCATCGTCCCTTCCCTGCTCTTTTCTCAGATAATCCGTCAGCGGCAGGAGAATGAAGGTGCCTCCCTGCGAAGCCTACAGAAGCTGCAGGAGGAGAGAGAAGTCCTACAGGAGCGTCTGGGAGGTCTGCAGCGGGCTGTGGCCCAGCTCGAGGGAGAGAAGCGAGAAATGGAGCGATCTTCTCTCCGCCTTGAGAAAGATAAAAACGCTCTAAAGAAAACACTAGATAAGGTAATCATCCGACTAATAGGTCTTGTAGCTTATTCAGCCCATGATGGGGATCATTAAAAATGGATTCTTCTCTGTCTGACAGGTTGAACGCGAGAAGCTAAAAACTGAGGAGGACACGATGCGCCTGTCTGCTGAGAGAGGACGTCTGGATCGATCTCTGACCACAGTGGAACAAGAACTGGCCGATGCACAGAGACAGGTTCAGCTACTGGAGGTAAGAGAGGCGTTAGTTTGAATGTCTGGATGTCTACAGATGGGGCCGGGAGGGAAGGGGATACTGTGATTGTAAACATTTCTTTAGAATTATCTGTGTAACTTTTACATTTATTATCTCACACAGCTCTCTCTTTTTCTATGTACAAAATGTGACCGCTTATTTAAAGGTTCTTTTCAGGATAATTTTCCCACATAATCCTTATCTTTCTTAGAGTTTTTTATTTTATTAAAAAAAAAAAAAATTACTGGGTTCTGTTACCGTTATTAAATATACGTATATTGTATGTATATATCTCAGAAAAACAATAAGAGAACATGAAGATAAAAGCCATAGATACTGTTTAAATCCTAGACCGTAATTAAGTTTGTTATATTGTAATTATAAATACTGACTGTACAAGGCTAGCTGGAGCTCGGACTTTACGTTCCACCAACATAGAGGAGATTATTATCTGACTGTGTTTTAAACAGGTTTACTTCTTGTGTGATTATGTATGGAGAGAATAACCTCTTCTGATTGGTGTCCAAATGTTATTCTATGTTCTGATTGGTGCCTGGAACAGAGACAATAGTAATCTCTCTTCTGGTGGTGTGTGGACAGGAATCCTCTTGATAGACAAGAATCATTCTGGTTGGTGTGTGGACAGGAATCATTCTGGTTGGTGTGTGGACAAGAATCATTCTGGTTGGTGTGTGGACAGGAATCATTCTGGTTGGTGTGTGGACAGGAATCCTTCTGGTTGGTGTGTGGACAGGAATCATTCTGGTTGGTGTGTGGACAGGAATCATCATTCTGGTTGGTGTGTGGATAGGAATCCTTCTGGTTGGTGTGTGGACAGGAATCATTCTGGTTGGTGTGTGGACAGGAATCATCATTCTGGTTGGTGTGTGGATAGGAATCCTTCTGTTGGTGTGTGGACAGGAATCCTTCTGGTTGGTGTGTGGACAGAAATCCTTCTGGTTGGTGTGTGGATAGGAATCATTCTGGTTGGTGTGTGGATAGGAATCATTCTGGTTGGTGTGTGGATAGGAATCATTCTAAATGGCATGTGGACAGGAATCCTTCTGATTGGCCTGTGGATAGGAATCATTCTAAATGGCGTGTGGACAGGAATCATCATTCTGGTTGGTGTGTGGATAGGAATTCTTCTGGTGGTGTGTGGACAGGAATCCTTCTGGTTGGTGTGTGGACAGGAATCATCATTCTGGTTGGTGTGTGGATAGGAATCATTCTAAATGGCGTGTGGACAGGAATCATTCTGATTGGCCTGTGGCTAGGAATCATTCTGGTTGGTGTGTGGACAGGAATAATTCTGATTGGTTTGTGAATGAGGAAGTCGCTTGCGATTGTTCTGTTGATGCACTTCTCTCTTCCTCTTGCTGTCCTGTGAAGGTGCAGTTACACAGGGTTAGGCGCATGATTACCTTCAGCCTGGTGAGTAAAGCCATGTAGCTTTACTCAGGAGCCTCAGTGCTGAGGTGTGTCTGCTTGGTACCCATTAGATAAATCTTCCTTTGTCACCCGTCACTGCATTACGCCCTTTCCAGCCATCTCTCCATAGCACCCATCCTGGCTCTTCCATCCATCCATCCTCACTTGACATCCATTACTGCACCTCATCCATCTCCCCTTGGCATCTATTACAGTGTATTCGCCTGTCTTCCTGGCAACTGTTCCCTCTCTGTACCTTGCTCTAGGTCCATGTCCTGATATCCCAGCTCTCTCGCTGGTTTACCTGCTGATAGCTGGCTGGGAATGAATTGTCATTCATCTAGAGCAGGTTGAACCTTATCTGCTGGATAGAGTGATGAGAATCTGGGTCCCAGAACATATTATTAGCTCTCTGTCTACCTGTTCCAGGCTCAGATGGCTGACATGGAGCAGACGCACTCACAGAGCCTGATGGAGACGGCAGCACGCCACCGACAGGAGTTGCAGATGGAGATAGAAAGACTGCGCAGTGCCCAGATTCAGGCAGAGCGCACATTGGACGCACGAGAGAGAGCTCACCGGCAGCGAATCAAAGGGCTGGAAGAGCAGGTCGGTGCTTTAATGGCTCCCAGCAGAATTAATCATGAGTTTATTCACTAAACAGTAAATCAAGAGGAATTGAAAAACTGATTTCAAAATTTAGGGAAAATAGTGGATTTGGAAAAATTCTCCATCTAAAGTAGCACCTTGAATGTTTTAGCCATGATTTCACAATGTGCAGCTTATTCTCCATAGTCTGAATCCTTTCCCGAATAACAAACCTTGATGGACAGATTTTACAAATCACCTTCTGAATGGGCGATACGTCACAGTGGCTGATATCTGGACCTGAATGATGGGATAACGCTGTACTTAGCACAATCTTACACAATGCCCCATAGAGGCAGTTCACTACAATACGTAAAACTAATGTAAAGAAATGGGGTGATAGGGTTAATGATGACTGCCCACATGTTCCATCATTAACCCTCACACCACCAGCAATAAGAGAAACTATATATCTAGGTCCTTCCTTAAAGGAGCACTATAGGGTCAGGAACACAAACATGTATTTCTGACCCTATAGGGTTAAAACCACCATCTATCCACCCTGGTCCCCTCATACCTCCCTAAATATAGTAAAATCTTAACTTGTATTCGAGTCTGGAGCTGCTTGCTTTGTCACGGTTTCCTTTAGACCTGCCCACTGCCTGCTAACATCATCAGAAGTGGTGGCCTGATCCAATCTCAATGCTTGGCTGAGACTGACAAAGAGGCAGAGCCAGTACAAGTCAAACACAGCCCTGGCCAATCAGCATCTCTTCATAGAGATGAATTGAATCAATGAATCTCTATGAGGAAAGTTCAGTGTCTGCATGCAGAGGGTGGAGATACTGAATGTTTGGATGCATTTTAGGCAGCCATGACCCAGGAAGGATCTCTAGCAGCCATCTGAGGAGTGGCCAGTGAAGTTATCACTAGGCTGTAATGTAAACACTGCATTGTCTCTGAAAAGACAGTGTTTACAGCAAAAAGCCTGAAGGTAATGATTCTATTCACCAGAACAAATTCAATAAGCTGTAGTTGTTCTGGTGACTATAGTGTCCCTTTAATAAAATAAAGCAAATTGGGCCCCCAATATCCTATTAAGTTATTTTAGTTTAAAAATTTGCCTGCTGGCTGCCTGTACTTCCAGTGCCTAAATGTTGAATTCTGTGTTTGATAAATATTTCAAATTTAAATTTCCCAAGTGAAAATCGCTAATGTTAACACATAATAAACGTTAATTCAGTGTAAATTAGCACTGCTGGATGTGTTATTAGTAAATATGGAAATCATGGATCCAGTGGTTTTGACTGAATTTTTCTGATCTGAGCTTCATTCAAAAGTTAGTGAATAAACTATGAAGGTTGAGGTTCACTGATTGTATAACCTGCTGTGCAGCACTCGCTATGCTCTTAACAGAGGGTTAACTCTAACAACGGCTTCTAAGGTAAAACTTTGTTTTATAATCACTAAAGTGAGAATTCAGAGTGAACTTTTCATATTTAAGGCAAAAGTACGCGAACTTGAATCATCAATGACTTATTTTTTCAGTTTGGCTACTTTGGCCTCAAACTTTGAAATTCACATTGAATTTCTTGCTTTAGTGAATAACTCTTTAGAATTGATAAGGAAACTGCACATTTTTTTAGTGGGAGAATTACTCCAATTTATCCCCTGATTAATTTTCCAGAATTCTCTCTTTTAATGAATAAAGCAGTCTGCCTATTGTATTCTGTTTGTTGGTTCTACAGCCGATAGATTTATTTCTTCCTTTCCCACAGATTTCTACCCTGAAGGACCAATTGCAGCAGGAGCTCCGGCGCGGGCAGAACCTTTATTCCCAGCAACCCCTGCTCTCAGGAAAATAACCGTGTGCAGGCCTGGTCCTTCCTCTGTGCGTTTTTATTTTATAATCATATATTGGTTTAAATCACTTGACTGCAGCCCTGAGCCAGGAGGACCAATCCGTCCAAACCTCAAGCTGTGTGCGTCTCCCACATTCCAGGACCAAATGTCTCCAGTAATATGGGGACTGCTTCGTGACTTTCACACTTGCCTAGAGAACAAAAATTAAGCTTTATTTGCGTTTTTTGAATTCACAGTATTTTTGTATATATGGAAAGCACACTTTATGTAATTTGTACACTGTGAGATAACGTTCCAAACACTGACCAGCATTCCATGGGGGTCCCAGAACCCCACTGTTTGGGGGGAGGAATTCAACCACAGCACAGTAGTGTCTATTTTGATATAAGACTTTCTAGGAAGCAACGGGTTACAGTCCCCCCGTTTGGTATTAAGGAGACATTCATACTTCAATTTAAAATCACGGCATTAAAGGGCAGATTTCGAGAAGTTGAAATAAATATGTGACAGTTTCCAAACTTGCCGCCGTTGCTCTAGGACAGCAGTTCATTGCTACCCACTGACCTTGTCCTGGACTTTGCACACATATTAAATAGCTGCTGATGTGCCATTTTTTAAGAACTGCTTCAATTTCTTTAAATGATGCAAGTAAATGTTTCTCCTACCTCTTACCGCTCTTATTACCTATGATTCCCAGAGCAGTAATGGGCAGGTTTAGCAACGTTTACATAGATATCACACTTTTTATTACTAAACTATTCAGTCAGAACTACAGATAGGATACAGGGATGTAATTTAATCATGGTGACATAAAACACGTTTAGTTCCAGGCGTTTTAGGTGATATTCAGTGTTAATATCAGATCATCCACCTTTAACTGACCCCAGGTCTTGCTGCCCTAATGATACGGCAATATCATTACATCTATCAAAGGTTTAAAAACATTCGCTAGTTTAACTCACATTGAAGAAACCTATTCACTAAACAGCGAAGTGTAGCAATTCAAAAACTGAAAATTAAAGAATTCACATTATAAACTATAATCACAGCTTTCCCTTCTCTACCATTTGCTGTTCAGTGAACAATCCCTAAACTGTGTAAATCATTCTATCCCTGAGAGCCCCCCCATGCTGCGTTCCATCTCAGCTTTCATATCACTTTTTTAATCATGTTCTATGTGTCAGAACTGCTTTTATACACTGTATTTTATATATTTTATAACGGATTTGTCCTCTGTCTAATCTCCACTGCAGATGCCACAATGCCAGGGCTGTGCCTTGCACAATCTATATAATCTAAGTAACAGGGCTTACAATTTCAAGTCCTATGCCAATAGCCAGGCCTTAAAATGTACTCACCACAGCAAGTCTGGAATGTCCATGGCATGTTTACCTGGGGTGACGTTTCACTCACCAATGGCTACTTAAAATTTGGAGCCCTGATACACTACAGCACAATACGTGCATACGGAAGCAGCCTTATCATTTCCATGCACTACCTCAAGTGACCACTAGATGGAACCCTTACTAGTAGCAGTGAATTTAGCAGCATTGCTACTTCCTTGTGGATGGCTATGGCAGTGCTGTGTCATACATGAAAAGAGATGCCCTTTCACTTTATATATAGTATTTATAGGAGTGGAATCAATCACGTTGGTACCTTTTAAGAGTCCTCTCTGACTGGTCACAAATTATTCGGTATATGAATTCCACACACTGTATGGGCAGCAGTTTTCTTGTACTGCCCAACATTTTACTGAAACAATACATAGGAAAGCATAGACCCTGAACAAATGTGCTAATTAAGAACTTCTAGACGGTTACATTGTTCACAAAGTGCTCGCGTGCCATATAGGTTTCTGCCAGATCTAAAGTTAGGGAATCCCAAGTGATTGGGGCTTTACATTTATTTTATTACGAATAGACTCTCTGGCGTGTTAACTCTTTCATTGCCTTTCTAATAAAACATGTGGGCCAGTTCCTGGCAATGAGAGAGTTATAATCTGGTTTTTTTGCGGCTGTTTACGCCGCAGGCGGTGGAGTGATGGCTTCCAGCTCTGTATTGTATCTCCAGCAGTGGGAGATGTCTCGCTATGTCTTGTCTTTGCCAGGTTTTGATTACCAGTGATTTCAAGGACAAATCAACATTAAACAACTGAAAAAAAAACACTAAACAATGTCTTGAATCCATTAATTATCTCACCGCCTCCCACGCGTGGACACATTATCCTGAGCCTACAAACGCCAAGGAGATAATGGCAGCTAGTGAGAAAGGCTTGGTGCATAATCTCCGCTCTCTGGAAAGATTACCGGTCTTTGCTCAGTCTGTTACATGTAATACTTGCTTTAATAAGTACTATTTTATTTGATAGGGCGACAAGGGCAAATCTCGCAATGTCTCTGCATGCTACTATTCAGAGCAGCTTTCCAGCTCCTATAATCCTCATCCAGCTAAGGATGGTTAGAGCTGCAATGTCCATTGTGTCTTCCTGGACATGTGGTTTGCTCTTGGTCAGGAAATGAAAAGTTCTGCCTTCTACTATGTAGGATTCATAGGTTGCAGGAAGGAATCTGATTTTTAAAAAAAAAGGAGCTGCCTTAAAGGACAACTGTCTTATATATATTTTCAGTTCTTGTTTTAAAAAAAGTTTATTACATTTAATGAAACTTAAAGGAACACTATAGTCACCTAAACAACTTTAGCTTAATGAAGCAGTTTTAGTGTATAGATTATACCTCTCAGGTTTTACGGCTCAATTCTCTGCCATTTAGGAGTTAAATCACTTTTTTTTTCTGTTTATGCAGCCCTTGTCACACCTCCCCGGGCTCTGATTGACAGAGCCTGCATGAAAAAACTGGTTTCACTTTCAATCAGATGTAATTTACCTTAAACAATTTTATCTCTTGCTCTGTAAATTGAACTTTAATCACATACAGGAGGTTCTTGCAGGGTCTAGCAAGCTATTAACATAGCATGTGATAAGAAAATCTAAATTAAACACAACTTGCAATAAAGGAAAGATAAACATTAGATGACTCTTTACAGGAAGTGTTTAGGAAGGCTGTGCAAGTCACATGCAGGGAGGTGTGACTATGGTTCATAAACAAAGGGATTTAACTCCTAGATGGCAGAGAATTGAGCAGTGAGGCTGCAGGGGCATGTTCTATACACCAAATCTGCTTCATTAAGCTAAAGTTGTTTTGGTGACTATAGTGTCCCTTTAATTTTAATATTTTTTTTTAATTATGTTTATTAATTTATTTTTTTAATCTGACTGAGCAGCCATGGTGGGTCAGACTTTACGGTTATCTGACCAACTGCTACTCAACCCAACCTGTCGCTGCTGTGATTGCCTTGTGGGAACCTACAGCAGCAAGGTAGGTCAGTTAGCAGTTGGTCAGATAACAGAGTCTGACACAAGTTAATCTGACGTGCAGACATGCCAAACCCTTGTTTCTGAACCAGGTGCGATTATGTTTGCAGTAATGCTGAAAACTAAAATAATTTTCTCTTTAAATTATAATTCTGTATTGAACACATAGAAGTTGATTCTCTAAATGATGAACTTTACTGAATTAAAACTCTGACTCCAGCACAAGGTAAAAGTCTGCAATTTATTAAACGTTTGTACAAAACAAATTACAAAAAAAGTTAAATCAATTAAACCGACATCCCCTATTGACTCTGGGCACGATTGAGATTAAAGCTTTAAAAAGTGAACAATATTTATATATAGTGTGAGTGTCCGTGATCAGAGGCGGGTGCTTTGTGTACAAGACTGACAGTCTGAGAGGGTGTGACACATAGTTGTAACTTTGCCATTTTTTGTTTTATTTTTACGGGGACATCATGAAAGTGCTACCCTGCAGTATGTGATTTCACATGTTTCCGCTGTAAAACCAATAACCAGTCACGGTGGTTCCTCTGGGATCCTGGCCATCATTGATTCATTGATTGGGAGCACCACGATTTACACATTCTGCTGGGCAGCACCTCACACTTTGCACAACAGTGTGAATAATTCCAAATTGTTAAAAAAAAAATGGCAACAGTTATCAGGAAATAGAAAGTATAAAACCCATGAAAGCCATAGATACATTGCAGCAGCTACTGGAAAGTAGCTATTTCCGATAACGCAAAGAGGAGAGGGTCAATACGGGAGGTAACATGAGTACATGGCAGGCAGTATCGTAGCAGACTAGGCGTTATTTGGTGTAAAGTGGCAGGGACCACACATAGTACCTAGACATATATACAGCACGTCCTACCCTGACCTCTTATTTACTGTGGTCTAGACGTGGTTCGTTTGCGAAAGCCCTGATAATTGCTGGGGAAGCCAGTCCCCAGCGGAGAAGCAGGTTAAGATGTCAGAGCAGTGCAGTACACAGGGCTGGCTATCATATGGCAAAGACAGTGGAGATAACTGGGCAATATGCCCGTGTGCCCAAACTGGGGGCACATACAGTACAATAAGTAACATAAAGGCTAAAATAATGCTAGCACCTCCATAAATCACACTGGCTGAGGGATGTCCGCTCCCTCGTGTGGTGGGTACTCCAGGCCTACAGTACCACCCATTAACAGCCTCCGCAGCTCTTGCTGCAATGAGATCCCATGGAATTGCACATGCCACTAGACGCCATGACACCGCAGCGAGAGAACTTATCCCGGCACAGATCAGCTGCGAACAGGAGGAAAATCCGTTAAAAAAGGATGTAAAATTTACTCAGAAAAAGTCACACTCAAAAAAGGTGGAGTGTCTGCGGTGGGCATCACACACTCGGGGAAGGGCAGTGTCTGCAGTGGGAATCACACACTCAGGGAAGGGGAGTGTCTGCGGAGGGCATCACACACTCAGGGAAGGGGAGTGTCTGCAGTGCAACAAATTAGTATAGTTTAAAAAACATATACCACCGGGGGCGCCACAATCACACACGTGCAATTGTGGCGCCCCCGGTGGTATATGTTTTTTAAATTATACTAATTTGTTGGATTGTATTGTTTGGGATTGGGAGTGATCCCTAATTTGGAGCGGCTAGCCTGCACGATTTTAGCACTTTTGTTCCCACTTACTGCCCCGAGTGTCTGCAGTGGGCTTTACGTACTCAGGGGAGTGTCTGCGGTGGTCATCACACACTCGGAATGGGATTGTCTGCAGAAGGCAACACACACTCAGGTTTAGTGTCTGCAGTGGGCATCACACTCAGGAGTGTCTGTGGTGGGCATCACACACTCAGGGGAGTGTCTGCAGTGGGCATCACACACTCAGGGGAGTGTCTGCAGTGGGCATCACACACTCAGGGGAGTGTCTGCGGTGGTCATCACACACTCAGGGGAGTGTCTGCGGTGGTCATCACACACTCAGGGGAGTGTCTGCGGTGGTCATCACACACTCAGAATGGGATTGTCTGCGGAGGGCAACACACTCAGGTTTAGTGTCTGCAGTGGGCATCACACTCAGGAGTGTCTGTGGTGGGCATCACACACTCAGGGGAGTGTCTGCAGTGGGCATCACACACTCAGGGAACGGGGGTGTCTGCAGTTGGCATCACACTCAGGGAAGGGGAGTGTCTGCAGTGGGCATCACACACTCAGGGAAGGAGAGTGTCTGCAGTGGGCATCACAAACTCAGGGAAGTGTCTGGTGGGCATCACACACTCAGGGGAGTGTCTGCGGTGGGCATCACACACTCAGGGGAGTGTCTGTGGTGGGTATCACACACTCAGGGAAGGGGGGTGTCTGCGGTGGGCATCACACACTCAGGGAAGGGGAGTGTCTGCAGTGGGCATCACACATTCAGGGAAGGGGAGTGTCTGTGGTGGGCATCACACACTCAGGGGAGTGTCTGCAGTGGGCATCACACACTCAGGGAAGGGGAGTGTCTGCAGTGGACATCACACACTCAGGGAAGGGGAGTGTCTGCAGTGGACATCACACACTCAGGGAAGGGGCGTGTCTGCAGAGGGCATCACACACTCAGGGGAGTGTCTGTGGTGGGCATCACACTCAGGGGAGTGTCTGTGGTGGGCATCACACACTCAGTGAAGGGGGGTGTCTGCAGTGGGCATCACACATTCAGGGAAGGGGAGTGTCTGTGGTGGGCATCACACACTCAGGGAAGGGGAGTGTCTGCGGTGGGCATCACACACTCAGGGAAGGGGAGTGTCTGCAGTGGACATCACACACTCAGGGAAGGGGCGTGTCTGCAGAGGGCATCACACACTGAGGGGAGTGTCTGTGGTGGGCATCACACACTCAGGGGAGTGTCTGTGGTGGGCATCACACACTCAGGGGAGTGGAGTGTCTTTATTCCTCACCTCTCAGAAGTTCTTCGTGTGCACACACGGTACGTATACAGATTTCCTTATTTATTACATACATGCGCCGCAGACTGAAAAATACAAATATGCCCATTAGATTTGACAATATAAAATGGCCCCAGCTTGGAAAAGAATTACACAGGGAACTGTTTTTATACCATTTAAAGCCAGAATATTACATATTATTCATTGGCAGAATATCATATTTATTACCAGAATATTACATATTTACTGGCTGAATATTATACAATATTTATTGGCAGAATATTTTTTATTTTTTACTGGCAGAATATCATTTATTTGCAGAAAATTATGTTTTATTTACTGGCAAAATATTTCATATTATTACTGGCTGATTATTATATATTATTTATTGGCAGACTATTATATATTATTTACTGGCAGAATATTAGATATTTATTGGCAGAATATTAGATATTTACTGTCTGAATATTATATATTATTTATTGGCAGAATATTACATCATATTTACTGGCTGAATATTATATATTATTTACTGGCAGAATATTATATATTTATTGGCAGAATATTACATATTTACTGGCAGGATATCATATTATTTATTGGCAGACTATTATATATTTACTGGCTGAATATTATATATTATTTATTGGCAGACTATTATATATTTACTGGCTGAATATTATATATTATTTATTGGCAGAATATTATATATTATTTATTGGCAGAATATTATATATTTATTGGCAGAATATTACATATTTATTGGCAGACTATTATATAATATTTTTTGGCAGAATATCATATTATTTATTGGCAAGATATTGTATATTATTTATTGGCAAAATATTAAATACAAACATTTCTGAATCGGCTCCAGGCTGGTCCTTACCTGTAGAAACAGATCTCGTTCAAGCATTGCTTGCAGGGTTTGTGCACGGAGTATAATCGGGTGCAGGGATACTGCTCTTCCCGACAATCTGAAAAGATAACAGTATTCGGTCTTTTCTTGTAATTTTTAAATATAAAAGAGAACCCCCTTTCAGAACACTGTATGTTGTATTACATAGAAAAACAAAATCTCACATTTTCATTTCCTCTCAAACGTTACCAGGAAGTGGCTGAGCCAATCAAATTGGTTCTGTAAGGTTTTACGGTAGTGCTCAGCACATACTGTAAGCAAGGGCTTATGGGAGCTATAGTTTAACTTCCACTGAGCTGTAGAGCCCACAATTATTCCATATGAAAACCATGAATGGCGCTATCCAATCAAATTAATAAAAGACATGAGAATGAGTATTTTATTTGTTAAGTGCTTTTCCCCATAGTAACCATAATTGGTCAATATCCTGCTTTTACTAATATAAGTGAAATCTCTTACCTAGGGGTCCCGGTTCTGTGGGTTCTGTCTGATATAGATCTGCAAGGCAGAGGAACAAACATATATTAATAGAAGTACAGACTACGTTTCTTCCATTTCTGATCTACCTTCCTTTCTTTTAAAAACGCTGAGATCCTTAAACTCAATGCAGTGGACACACACTGATCGGCCACAACATTAAACCCACTGACAGGTGAAGTGAATAACATTGATTTTATCGTTACAATGGTTGGGGTATATTAGGCAGCAAGTGAACAGTCAGTTATTGAATTTCATGTGTTGAAAGCAAGAAAAAGGGCAATCGAAAGGATCTGAGTGGCTCTGACCAAAGTATAATGCCGCCCTCCTTCCCTCCACCTTCACCATTAATGCTGCCCTGCCACAATAATATTAAATATTCTAATACGGTATTATACAGCCCATTTCCCCTGTCCATTTAATGCAACCTATATTACTACCCTCCCCCCTGTAATACAGTATTGGGGGCATTGTACCACCCTCCCTTTTAACGCAGCTCATGTTACTACCATTACACAGTTGAGTCCATGCCCATACAATTCCTTTATCTCTATAAATTGATTCAGACTGGTAGTTTGACATCAACGCCAGAGAAGGATGGGATTGTTAGAGCTTTGGGCAATAAATCACACAGTCATCACACAGTGACGCAATACAGTGAGAGCCCCGAGACCTGCTCATGCTGCTGCAGTTACATTACACACACGTTTAAAGGGCCAGTACACTGGATCCTGAGCCCGTCTCTTACCCTGCTCCTCCATAATCCCGCCATGATCCCCCCATGATCCCTGCAGCGACGACTTGCAGATTACCTTGGTTGGGTATTGGGATTTCCTCTTGCTGAGTTTGTTGCTGTTGCTGTGGGAGGGTTTCATATTGATTCACCTCTGGTCCGTGCTGCGGGAGGGTCTGGAGATGGGGGCTTTCAGGTGGGAGGGCAGGGAAGGTCTCAATCCCTGGCACTTGGCCCCCGATGGCTTCTGCACAGAGAGGAAAAGGACACGAATTGGGGGAGATTTTTCAAAGTGTTTCTAACAGAATAGTGATACAAAGTGCTAAAAGTGGCGCAGTCCTCTCACGTGTTCTCCATTTTACATCAGAAGAATTAATACAAGTTAGGTGCCAGACAGCAAATACATTTATATTATCAATAATTAACCGTTACCCCAAATTATACAACTGTCTGAGCACTAAACCCGCTGAGGGGATTATTTACTGAACAGAGTTCTGCTTATGATTTATATATATATATATATTTAAAACATCCCCTTTTAAAAAGTCATCTACGCTCTCACCTGGATTACAGACCATCCTCTCTTTTAATAACATCGTTCTTTACTAACGTGAGATTCAGAGTGAGTTTTCACATTTTAAGCCGCGGTAGTCGAAATAAAGCGGACTTAATATTTATATGCAAGAGAATTTATCTTAATACAGTTTAAAGCTCTGTACTTGCTGTAAGGGTTATATTATATATAATGAGTAATATTTACTGTACAGTATAAGGTGTCGCTTTAAAATAATATTAAATCACTGCCGGTGGGGTACCACAAGCATTACTGTTCCAACTGTATGCACTACAAAAATAAAGAATTATAAAAAAATAAATAATAATATTAAATCTGGCCTGTATTCAGTAACCCTTCTGTGCTATAAGAACAATAACACAAGAAATGTGCAGATGTTTAATAGTTAAAGGGTTCTCTCATCTTATTTTGTAGCTTTTAATGCCTTAGTACTAGGTCCTCCACTAACAGTACTAAAAAGAAAGGATTAAACTTACCTGGAATCCAACACCGGACGAAGCTTTAAGAGAAGCATGTGATTAGACCGTTTGCCCGGCTCGGAAAACATGCGCACATTCTGAGCCGGGAGGGAGGAAAGGGGTCGACAGGCAAGAGGACAGGGGAGGGGATTTAAAAAAATCCAGGGAGGCATGAGGGAAGACCAAGTTTCCGTCTGTGGCGTTTTCCTTTCAAGAAAAAGGATGACCTTGTCTCTCGAAAGCACGCTGTGTGCACGGACGACAGACGTACATTTTGCACAGAACTGGACAGAGCTCCAGACTGCCAAAATCACATGTGCTGGGGAGTAAGAGTCCCCGGCACAAACATGCAAATATCTCTGCTTCTTGTAAAAGTTAAAGTGGTCATGGTGGCTGGAGTAACCCTTTAAGTACAGGTTTAATCACTGAATACACGTTTGGTACTTGTTGCTATAGTGTCTTCATATGTTATATATTTTTTCTTTTGTAATTTTTAATGATAATTTGTGTAAATCTAGACTGACCCTGGAGAGAAAGCTCTCTCTGATTTATCACTGACCGGTCGCTTACTTACCTTCGCCATCATATTCATAGTAAAATGGGATATCTGGGGGGAGAGAAAGACCACATGTGAGATTTACCAGGTGCTAATTTGTGTTAAACGTGCTAAATGTTGACACATTTTATTGGTTTCCATGGTGATTTTTATTAAACAATTTCTTCCCCTTCGGAGCCCTGTGTTTGGGTACAACGAGTGTTTACCTGATGGATTGTAATGTTCAACCTCGTATTGTTGTGCAAAAATCCCTGCAAGACAATAGAAACACACAGGGAGTTAATATACATAGTACTGATACAAAAACACACCCACTGCGCCAAGATTATGCCATGACATTCACGCGGCTCCTTATGGCAGAGTCTATTTCAGGGAGCTTGGCATTAGTCCTCCTTAGCCTGTTCCAAGGATGTGGATTTAACATTTCACAAACACCTACAGTGCCGAGATTAGCCATTACCTGAGACACTTTCACTTCAATAGGTATGGCCATGGGTAGGGCTGTGGTTTGGCTAGAGGGCGGGACATTTCAGAGCATTTTATGTGACCTTATTACCTGCTGTAAACGTAATTTAGAAGAAGAACAATGTATCTTATTTACACATTACTGGGAGTATTATTGCTGTGGAGCTCTGTTATACACTCAGATACATTACTGGGAGTATTATTGCTGTGGAGCTCTGTTATACACTCAGACACATTACTGGGAGTATTATTGCTGTGGAGCTCTGTTATACACTCAGACACATTACTGGGAGTATTATTGCTGTGGAGCTCTGTTATACACTCAGACACAATACTGGGAGTATTATTGCTGTGGGCTCTGTTATACACCCAGACACATTACTGGGAGTATTATTGCTGTGGAGCTCTGTTATACACTCAGACACATTTCTGGGAGTATTATTACTGGGAGTATTATTGCTGTGGAGCTCTGTTATACACTCACACACATTACTGGGAGTATTATTGCTGTGGAGCTCTGTTATACACTCTTACTGGGAGTATTATTGCTGTGGAGCTCTGTTATACACTCACACACATTACTGGGAGTATTATTGCACTCTGTTATACACTCACACACATTACTGAGAGTATTATTGCTGTGGAGCTCTGTTATACACTCACACACATTACTGGGAGTATTATTGCTGTGGAGTCTGTTATACACTCAGACACATTACTGGGAGTATTATTGCTGTGGAGCTCTGTTATACACTCAGACACATTACTGGGAGTATTATTGCTGTGGAGCTCTGTTATACACTCAGACACATTACTGGGAGTATTATTGCTGTGGAGCTCTGTTATACACTCAGACACATTACTGGGAGTATTATTGCTGTGGAGCTCTGTTATACACTTAGACACATTACTGGGAGTATTATTGCTGTGGGGCTCTGTTATACACTCAGACACATTACTGAGAGTATTATTGCTGTGGAGCTCTGTTATACACCCAGACACATTACTGGGAGTATTATTGCTGTGGAGCTCTGTTATACACTCAGACACACAAACAATATGGAGCTCTGAGAAAAGAGGAAAATTAGGATGGAAAATAAAGCCAGATGGATTTGGGCCCTAATGAGGGACACTTGGGAGGTATGAAGTGTGTAGATGATATTTTATATTTTAAAGAGCAGCGGAGAGAAGGAGAGTGTTTAAAGGGGAGTCACTCACCGTGCAAGCAGAACACAAACAGGCACACAAATTTCATGGTGACAGATAAACGGGCCCCAAAACGATTCTGGAAAAAAACAAATACACATTGTGACAAAGGTACAAATCTCGCAGACAAAAACCGTTTCCATCTCCAGACATTAGACCTGCGGGGTTATTCATTGAACTGGGAACTGGGGAGAATTGACCAGGAAATTGCCATTTTTAACATGATAAAAATGGATATTAAATCCCCAAATTTGCCTTTTTTCCCAGTTCTGCTACATTGACCTTTAATTAGCATTTTCCTTATCAGTTCTGCTCAATTCCGGGAGTTTATAATTCTTTAATAATCTTTCATTGAAGCACATTCTAAATTTTCGTAAATTACCGTTTATATTAATAAAGCTGTCATAGCAGGCAGTCATTTATTGAGAAAAACTGCATTACATGTTATCGGAGCTCATCTACCAACAGTCAGAAATAAATATTTGTTTTATAAGGAAGTACAACGTATATCATCATTCCCAGAAAAACTGACTTTAAAAGGGACACTTCACACACCATAACAACTCACATTCATTGCACGTCGATACAGTCATTTTAAAGATGATTATCGATTATACATCTTATGGAATATAATTTGATACATTATCTATATCTACCGGCACTCAGTGTCCCTTCTAAGGCTCGCTAAGCATCATGGGAAACATACTACAGAAATATGTGGGTGGGAAGGCTCGCAATCGCTGCTCCACAAAGTATTCTCAAAAAATTAACCTGTAAGTAAGATTTTCCTTTAAAAAAAAAGTTGAAATCTTAGGTTTTAAAGGGATCAGCATTTTCCTTAAGGAGAATCTTAAAAGGACCAAGCGACAAACCGGGTCCCTGCAAGATTGAATAGTAGCTTATAAATGGTGGATGCTTTGTGCTGATCATTTTTCCAGCAGGGTTTTTGTACTAAAAAAGTCAAAGCATTTCCATCAAGGTCTGGGCACAGTGGAATGCTGGGAGACATTATGCAAATCAGAGACTCGGATTGGCTGCAAACATCACATGATCTCTGCAGCCTTGCGTTTTTGATTTTTATCAGTAATGGTTACTGTGGTTTTAAAATCCTTAGTGTAATTACAAGATGGCCGCCTCCACCCTGAAACACAGGAAAGATCTCAAACCGGTGAATCCCGTTAAACCTATTTCTATTTGCAGTGCACTGTTTTAAACCTGATTTATGGGAAGATTATTTAAGGTGACAGTCACCCAAAAATAAGAGACAGAAAGTACTGGACTCACAGGAGGTGTAAAGGGCTCTTTAATGTCACATAAAGCAATGTTTCAGTTCTCACACAAGCCTTTCTCAAGTGATATTATTAAAGATTCGCGGGTCGCTATAATCTGGCTGAGTCTCTGTGACATGGTGTCCTTGAGAGTGGCATGATAGGGTTAAATAACTCCGTATGATGACAGAAAAATTAGTGTATTTAACCCCTTTCACTGGGGTAGATTACAGGCTCACAGGCAGAGTACGCTAATCCTTCAATACTGGTATGTCTAACTAGAACTCCTTGACTGTACTGCGCTGTGGAATATGTTGGCGCTTTATAATAAAATTTTACATGGGATTTCAGCTCCTTCATGGGATGTAAGATTGATGTACCTGTATAACTATTCCACGTTATAAAAAGCAGTCAGTCACTGTGTGGTTTGTTGTTGTGTGACATTGGTGAGTAGTGCGACCAGTAGTTTAACAGCAAGCAGCAATGGTGGTATTTTTCCAGATTTTATGACAGACTGGAAACGTTTACACATGACCAAAGTTGACCCGCGTTTCTGGGGCAGGAGTCATTCTCTGCGTCAGGAAGAATTCCTGCCGTGCTCCTTTTAAGTGGCCGAAACTCGCAGACCCTGCTTGAGTCAGATTGTAGCGGACAAGTCAAACCAATTCAGTCCAGTTCAGTGAACAGACCCCATTCCTCACCGAGCGTGGTGATACGTCCCTGCCGAAACCCATGACGTCATACACCGACTATTCCAAAATCTATGGGGGGGTTCATTCTTTGACTTTGCTTTTTAAACTGACATTTATTCAAAGTTTTCGTATCACTGAAGGGGTTCAGAAAACAACATACCAAACATCGTGAAATAAACATATTGCACAAATTAGCAACATAGACGATGGTTAGCAAACAAAACTGAACGAGATGAAGAAGTAGAACCATAGTGAGGAAGAAACAGACACAGAGAAGGCGACATATGTCCGGTGACTGAATGCAACATGAGATGTACTGGGAAGACTGGGACACTCTGAGCACCGGAACCATCTAAATGAAGTGGTCCGGGTGCAGTGACCCAACGTTTCCCTCCAGCTATGAGAGAAACAGCAATGATTATGTTTTTAGGACCACCTTCAAGTCAGGCTGACGGCCACTGAGGGCATGTTGAAGATCTACTTTAGAGTCTTCACATTCAGCGTGTTCGAACGGTGGCCTGAGCTGTCCCTCAGCTTGTTACTCGTGCACATGCCCAGTGCCGATTTCCGATGCTTCTCCTTAAGAAGTATCGGATTCGGTGCTTCTCATTCAATAAATAGAGTGTGGTGGATTCCACGCAGGCATGTCGGCCCACAATGAGAAGCATTCGATTGGACGAAAAGTCATCACGCTTGTAACCAACACAAGGAAAGAACTATCAACTATAACTTCCATGAATCATCTTTTTTTATTGGGCACCATGGACAGAATTCCAAATCACAAAACAAACAGTTCGGCCACTGGCCACTTCGATTGTTTTGTGATTCATTCATTTAATATTTCAGAGTTACGGAATATAGACAAATCACCCAAATATGTAGACAAATCACAGTTTGTTTGAAACAAATGAACACGATACAACTCTCTTGTAAGGGAACTGGTTGGATGCCATTGGAATTCTGTTTTTGAGGAGATAAAATGGTTCATACATGCGCGGAGATGAAGAGAAGAAATCTACCTGACATAGAGACTGGCTTAGCACTCTGGCCACCTCTGGTGTTGGGTGACTCCCGGCTGGTGAAGCATCTGTGTGATCACAGCTCATGTCTTATGAGCAGAAATGTATGTTCCTTTTTGTTTTTCACATTATGTCTTATAGTTTCTACCGAGTGGTATCACAGCTTGTTGTTATTGTTATTTGAACTTTTATAATGCGTGACCTTACCCAGAAGCTACAATTCTTATACCCTAATATTGATAAATCATACTTACCTGGATGCTCCTAGCCTGAAATGCGATGTCATAATTCCATGCTAACAGCTAAAAGTTGAAGCAGGCTCCCTTGCTCGCGGGGTCGTGGATTGTAGCTCCCCACCTGTGTTCCCTGACTCGAGTAAACCCTGATAGTGAGGCAGGCATTGGCAAGCGTATCAAACAGTAATAAAAACTTGTAACAAAGTAAATGAACCAAAACAGTGAGGATTCGGCCATTGGTTGTTCGTGTGAGCTGTGTCCAGGTAATCAGTCATGTCCCATTCCATGTTTCCTGTTGGTGTCGCAGGGTGAAGGGGACTAAGGTGGTCGGGTCCCATGTGTGGGTGCTGGCTGAGCCATCAGGAGGTGCGGATAGTCCCAGTTTCCCAAATAGGGCTGGAGCTTCCTCTGCCGAGGATAGAGTGTCCCGTTGTGGAGCACGCGGAGTGATTTTGGTGGCATCAAGCTGTATGCCATTCCAGCATTCCTGAGCCGGCTTGTCACTGGGAGCAATTTGCGCCTCCACTGTAAGGTGGACCTTGATAGGTCTTGATAAAATGACAGGCCTGAGCCCTCGAACTGGTAAGGCGTGTGGTCTCGCAGTGCCGCCAGGAGTGCCCGTTTGTCTTGTGCGGATGTGCAGTGGATGAGGATGTCGCTGACAGCCTGAGCTAGGGCCCTAGATGATTTTGGGAGGCTGAACAGACCGTCGATCATGACTTTTATGGCTTGTGTCGGAGGTAGTAACGAGGCCACTAGGCGACTCAGATAGTGGGGCAGTTCCTCCATTGTAAAAGTTTCAGATACCCACCCGATTTTTATGTTATTGCGTCTGGTGCAATCATCCAGCGTAGTAAGTTGTATGGAGAATGCTTTTTGGAATTTCTGCACTTCTTGGAGCGAGTCTCTCATGGTGGACACTGCTTGTTTCACATCTGTGATGTCTTCTTTTGTGGCACGGACCCTGTCAGTCACCATTTGCAAATCTGTCTGTATCACTGCAATATCTGCTGTCCAGGTCTGCCTAAAGTCAGGTAGAAGTGCTTTAATGTCCTGCTTAGTAGCTAGATTGGAGAAGTCAGGGTAATTTGGGGCTGCTTGCTCATAACCCTGCTGCTCAGATTGAGGCTGTGCCTCCTCCTGTGTGGGAGCCTGAGGTGAAGTGGTGGTTGTACCTGCTTCAGGCCTCGCCATCTTGCTTTGGGCCTGTTTCTGGAGCATAGATCCAATGTTTCTGGAATCTCCTGGTGTCCCGGGCACTTCTCGGCGCAGTGTTTGCAGCTGTCTTTGCTCTTGCGTCCAGTATCTGGAACGGATTCTACCACTCCTCGAGTCCAAGGCTGGGGGGAGGTAGTAGGCCGCAAGCCTTTTTTTCCACCATTTCAGCCTGGATTGCTGGGGAAAAAAGGCATATACCGTCTCCGTACGTCGCCCCCGAGGTGATTCTGCGGGTCATGGCAGTCGGATGGGCAGTGATGCCCTCGATTGTAAAGGGATTTGGCTGTGTATCTCGGTAGCCATGAGAAATGGCGTCCGCTCCGTCCTGCGGTTAAGCCCCGGCCAATCCTGAAATATTTTTACTCAACTTTGGCCCAAGAAACATAGCTATAAACTTTGCTAACAGCCATTAAATACATCTAAAAGTGGGAAGAGGCCAAGGAAAAAGAGAGTAGACCTTTCTAGTGAACAAGAAAAAAAAAGAAAAGAATGCAGTCTGGAGCTTTGTAAAAAAAAAAAAAAAATTTAAAAAAAAAAAATCACCAGACTCAAAATAGGTTAACAAATCTCTGGCGGGGAATGCAAAGAGTACGGTTATTAGAGGAAGATTTCAGGCAGCTGGGACTGTGCCAATTCCTACCCGTGGCCCCCAATCTTTACATAGAGTTCCATCAGCAGGACCGCCACACGCGCCCTCCCTCAAACAACATGGTTTGACATTTTAGTAAAGGTATTCTGTTAAGACACATTTCTCTCTTGCTAATTTTCACTGCGAAGGTTCCAAACTTTGGCCTAGATAACACTCTATCCGAAAAACCCAGTCAAAGATTATTCGACCGGTTTTGAACAATATTATCATTGAATTACGACTGGATTTAATGCTAATCGTAATTCTAGCAGAACCCAATGAACGGGTTGGCTTCTTGAGATTTGTCAGCCTTTTTTAATGACTACCTCTGTTAGTCAACTGAAAAAAATAAAAAGCGGGTGGGGGAATGTTGTTAAACAGCGAAAAGGGATTATTGGGAGCAGATAAAACATGGATCAGCCAGAATGCAATGTTTGTCTTAAACTGCCTCCCTCACAGTGATGGAAGTCCAGAGAGTGACTTTGGTAAGGAGGCTGAGAGAAGACAGCTTGATGGAGGCCCAGAGGACAGCTTGATGGAGGCCCAGAGAGAGGACAGATTGATGGAGGCCCAGAGAGAGGACAGATTGATGGAGGCCCAAAGAGAGGACAGCTCAATGGAGGCCCAAAGAGAGGACAGCACGATGGAGGCCCAGAGAGAGGACGGCTCGATGGAGGCCCAGAGAGAGGACAGCTCAATGGAGGCCCAGAGAGAGGACAGCTCAATGGAGGCCCAGAGAGAGAACAGCTCAATGGAGGCCCAAAGAGAGGACAGCTCGATAGAGGCCCAGAGAGAGGACAGCTCGATAGAGGCCCAGAGAGAGGACCGCTCGATGGAGGCCCAGAGAGAGGGCAGCTTCATGGAGGCCCAGAGAGAGGACCGCTTGATGGAGGCCCAGTGGGAGGACAGAGCGATGGAAGTACAAAGAGAGCCCTGTGTACTGGAGGCCTAGAGTGAGAACCAGGTGTTGAAGGCCCAGTGAAAGAATCTGGATATTGAAAGTCTGGAGAAAGGACTGGGTGATGTAGGTCAAGAGAGATAAAGGAGTTTTGAAGGCCCAGAGAGAGAATTCAGTTACTGGAAGGCTGGAGATGGGGTCCAGGCACAGTACCTGGTGTTGAAGGACAGTATTTTGGAGACCAGTGTTAATTTTGGCAGCACATTTCTGTTTAGTTTTAGTCATTTTCTTTTGACAAAAAAAAAAAAAAGCTGTTTTAGTTTTAGTTGTATTTTAGTCATTTGATTTGTTAGTTTTAGTCAACTAAATTAACGTTGTTGGAGACCTGATCAATCTTGTATAAAAAATAAATAAAAAAAAGAAAGTTCTAAAATAAAAAGTTCAGTATCTGCCCTGTCTCGAGTAGGGGTTGGGCAGGATCAGACAAGTCCTTCACATTCATACATAGATAGAGCTGTCGGCCCCGTTTGAAGCGAGATAACATTATAATATTTTATACATTATATTTTTTTTCTTAAGTGCACAAAGTGTTCCTTCAGGAGACATTTGCAAACATTCTCTGCGGTTACGCTGCAAACTTGATTTGGCGGATTAGAGTATCATTCAACGGAGCAACGTGACAGGCAAGTAGGAGAACAAAATGGACGCTGCTCACGATAATGACATCAACAGTTTAGTAATTATTACCACCAGTAAAGTCCTTAAAGAGGTGGATCATTAGGTCTTCACAAAGAAAATGAAAGTTCAGCAACCACGTCATTTAACAAAAGGATCTTACAAAACATATCAAAGTTTAGCTATGGACGTATTTCAGCTTATTAATGCAATGAGAAATCTGATTGAAATTTTGGAAATAAGAAAATGATTTCTCATTTGTTTTTTTGGGGGGCAAATTGGTCTTTTCACCTTCTTTTCGATTAGAAGCAGAATCAGAATTGTTTGAAAGGTTATACTACCATGTAACTAAATAAAATAAATACTACCCTGAGTCTATTATTGCGAGACTTGGCCCTGAACGCAGTGTATGATGAATGGCAATTTCCTTTGGTGAATTCGCAACACGAAAACTGCCAGACACAAAGTCAGCTTCGGTGTAAAATGAACATTACAATTTCGGGCCAAAATAACAGTTTGGAGGAAAGATGCCATTTTCTGCCATTTTGAATTAAACGTCAATGCTCTGAATCACACTGTTTAGTGAATAGGACCCTTTAGAGTTATTTCATATTATTTGTACATTAAAGTCAGACTGGGGGTAATACAAATTGTGTTTCAGTACAGCAGAGGAATTTAAGGACCCTCAGCCAAAATGGCGATCCAACGCGCTCTGCATGAAAAATATATCCAACTATCAACTGGAATTTTCTGACTGGAATTTGGGAGAGAAGCGACCATTTTTTTCTTCTTGCATGGCGGAGTTAGGTCCGTGTAAATTATAGGACGTCTCCTATATCACACAGACTGGTCACATAAAACCATAGAGCTGCTACAGAACATCTTGTTACACTGAGGTGTCAATCGTTACTCTGGAGCCCAAGACATTCTGTAGAAGCAGAGATGCTTGGTCCATCTCTGGCCGAATCCAGGAAAGGGACAACTGACAAAAAAACCCAACCTGGAGCACTAATAATAATAATACATCTGCCAGCGAACCCTTTCATAACAATTCTCTGCACCTCCAGCAGCCAGCTGTGATGTAAATCAGCTCCTCCAGCTGTAAGACTAATCACCCCCCCACCAACTAGCAGGATAGCCTGCTCTGAAGTCAATGAATCTCTTTGTTCTGCTACAAGTTTTAGCCCGGAGACCGGGATTCCTTCCTATACTGTATGGTAACATCTGGGAATCATCAGTATACCCTCCTGTTACCCAACCCTCCACCCCATCCAAAATCAGCCTTGCCTCTCACCTCCCCCCTAGGACCACTCCCATCCCCCCACTCTCTAACCCTCTTTAATAGCTTTCCAGCTTAGGGGGGGAGAAACAAAGGCAATCTGAGACAGTAAGTTTTATTTTGGCTACAGACCAAAAGTTTTAAAAAAAATGTACTCCAATTACAATGTACTTAGTTAGAGGGGGGCTGGAGGGAGGGGATATCTCCCTGTAAAGCAATGTAGCTGGCTCAGAGACCCATACTGACTGCACATCTGGAGGGGCACTAATGAGTGCCACAGTCTGCCATCCACCACATCCCTGCCAACAGACCAAACAATCGCATGCGTGGTGGCACAGTGCCTGCTGGACTGGCAGAAGTAACCCTTAAAATGCCACGGGACGGTAGCAATAATCAAGAATGGAAGGTTTAATTAGACATTTAACGTTTAATGCAGGGATTTCCATTTTTCTGTTTTAAATGCAAAATAAAATGTTACAATTATATGATTGGGAATTTATAATAAAAGAAATTAGGCTGCTGTTCAGATACGAAAAAGTCAAATCAAATCACAATTCGAAGGATGGTAAGGATCCTGAATAATTAATATTAATCCAGCTAGCTGTCCCTGTGATCCCTTCTCAATTAAACCAGAATACATACAGGATTTATGTAAAAACAGGTGATACTTATTACAACTATATAAACAACTGCGGCAGGTTTAGACCTGGATTGTATTACAGATCACTGGGGGATCATTTCCTAGTGTGAGGGGTGACTAAGCCATTCCTGTTAGTGTTTAAACAGAGTAACTACTAGACAATGAAATGTGTAACATTCTGTCTTTAGCCATGTAACATTCTATTCTGTACATTCTATAATGTAACATGTAACATTCTATTCTGTACATTCTATAATGTAACATGTAACATTCTATTCTGTACATTCTATAATGTAACATGTAACATTCTATTCTGTACATTCTATAATGTAACATGTAACATTCTATTTTGTACATTCCATAATGAAACATGTAACATTCTATTCTGTAATTCCATAATGAAACATGTAACATGCTATTCTGTACATATTATAATGAAACATGTAACATTCTATTCTGTGCATTTTATAATGAAACATGTAACATTCTATTCTGTACATTCTATAGTAAAACATGTAGCATTATATTCTGTACATTCTATAGTAAAACATGTAACATTCTATTTAGTACATTCTATAATTAAACAATAACATTCTATTGTAAATCATGTAACATTCTATTCTATACATTGTATCTTAAAACATTGTATCTATTATGTGCATTCTAAAAAAGAAAAAAGAAACATTCTATTCTATACATTCTGTCTTTAAACATGTAACATTCTAGTCTGTACATTCGGTCCTTAAACCTTTTACCATTCCATACTGTACATTCTGTTTTTAAAGCATAACATTCTATTCTGTACATTCCATAATTAAACATGTAACATTCTATTCTGTACATTTTATCTTAAAACATGCAGCTTACTATTCTGTACATTCTATAATTAAACAATAACATTCTATTGTGAAATATGTAACATTCTATTTAGTACATTCTATAATTAAACAATAACATTCTATTCTATACATTGTATCTTAAACATTGTATCTGTTATGTGCATTTGAAAAAGGAAAAAGAAACATTCTATTCTATACATTCTGTCTTTAAACATGTAACATTATAGTCGGTACATTCTGTCCTTAAACCTTTTACCATTCCATTCTGTACATTTATTTTAAAGCATAACATTCTATTGTAAACACGCTGCCTTTAAACATAACAGTTTATGATAAACATTCTGTATTGAAACATATAACACATCAGATTATAAACATTCTATTTTAACATGTAACAATTTATTCTATATGTTCTATGTGTAAATGTGACACATTTTGTAACATATATGTTAGTGCTCTATAAATGTTTATTGATCTACTCCTGATCTGTTATTAACTATAACTTTCTAACAATGATCACTGCATATACCATAGTGTCTAGACCTACCCCTGCCTTGTTACCTACCCTGGGGTAATTGTGCAGGTCACACATTACTTTTACACAGCTGCCTTCCCTTGTAAACCCCTTCCAAGACCCCTGACTGTGTGTGAGCTGCAGCCAAATTCATAGGAAAATATTTTTTCCAAGCTCTGTTCTGAATCCCCCAATTTAAGCCCTCCACAACCAGTTTCTGCAGCAGCACTCCTAAGTCCCTACCCTAGCCTGAACCCCAGGAATGTGTCAGCAGGATTAATATTATTTCTGGGGAGTCCCAGTGTGAAGCTGATTGGGGTACTCTAACATTAAATATACTTTGCTCGCCCTAATAGATGTGAGTAAATAAAGGGGCACAGAGCCTGGCTGCAATCTTACCACTTGTAGATCTTAGTCTGACTTCCAGTTCCAGTTCTCTCTGTATCTGAGGCTCTCACAAGGGGACACAGCATTAACTCCAATCCTCTGGACTTTTCCTCTGGGTCCTAAAGAAACAGGTTCACTCTGCAGGCAGCACTTGGAAGACCTGGTGAAGCTGCAACCTCTGTATTAGTGGGACTAGCAGTGGAAAGACTAAGGTGCCACTGTATTAAAGGTCACAAATAACTGTCTTTTTTAAAAACTGTCACATAGAGTTTGTTAAAACCTGATAATTGCTACAAGTCCAGAAATAAACAAAAATACTCCAAAATCAGGGCAGAAAAAAGGTAAAACCCTGAAAAATGAACCCTGTGTGATTGTAACATTTACTTTATGTCATGAAAGGGTTAAAGCTACTGTGCACATTCTGAGGTTTAACATTTCCCATTTAGATAAAATGTATAATCAGCAATGAATGAATCATAATGTGTTAGTAGAGAGAAGGCATTCATGAGGTTTATTCTATCCCTATACCTGCACAGTGACTGAGATTGCCAGGGACAGTCCTGAGTTTGATCTCCTTGGCCAGTAGTGGAGTGCAGTAGTTGTGTTTGTGGGCAGTGTATTGTAGCGGTTACAGGATAATGTAACTGAAAATTTACTTAAAGCGGATTTGTCACTATTCGGTATTTTGTAGAGATAAATTCTTCATGAAATACCGATCGATTTCACAGGAATTCCAATGCAATCCAGGAAATTGGTAGAGTCTACTTTATCTGATAAATAAACCAGAGGTTGACAAAAGCTGACAAGAGGCGGAGCTCCGCTGTTAACGTTTGTCTAATTTCAGCTGCCATGAAAAGTCGGCTGTGGAATTCAGGCATCGACCTATGGAATATTCCGCCATCTTGTTTGATCCCCCATAGATCTCCGCATTGAACTCTTGTGCTTTGTAACTGACGTGCCAGGAGCTGAAAAGAACCTGAAAAACTGAGACAGCAGCGCGCGTGAGTGACAGCTTGAGGTACCTACCTACCTCTACATCCTGCGGCCACCTCACCCAGCACATTTGGGGGACATTGGGAAATGTGCACCAAAAAAAACAACAGAAAGCGACAGATCCACTTTCATTTTTTTTCCCTCTTTCTTTTCTGTGTACTTTCATTTATGTTTATCTAAAGCGATGGCATACGGGATCCACCCTATTGCGACCGACATTATACGGCTAAGTCGCGCTTTCCACTGAATGTCGTTCCAGTTGTCCTCGTCCATTTACAGCGGCTGGGTGGTAACCTCACTCTCACGCAGCATTGTGCCCTGTCTGATGCAGTGTACAGGGCTCGGGGTGCACTCACACATGACAAGTACTTGGACGGCTCAATGAAGTGCCGGAGTAGGCACAAAATGCGTCAGAATCAATTCACCCACTTCCTTCTGTATGCTCCAGCCATAATGATAACCTTCCTTAAAAAAAAGATGACTTCCCCTTTTTTGTGCAGAGACGTTTCTTCTTCCTGGTGAAGGAAATCGGGCAGTTTAGCCTATTTTCATGGCTCAGTGGGAAGGCCTTTCCAATATGACTTGACTGGGAGGGGCTAAAGATAAAAGTCATGGAAAAATAAGGACGTAAAATAGATATTTAAACGGAGAGCTTCCTTGCACCAAAACCACTTTAATAAACTGGACTGCCCCTATGAGGGCTGTTATAATTTATTATATCTTCGTACCCTCCCTGTTCTACGCTATTTATATTAAAGGGGGATTGTCTTTTGATAGTATTTCTAAAACTATGTTTACTTATCCTTTTATTTAACAAAAATGTATTGTGAGCTACAGTGGCGTTCACATGACCCATGGGGCCCCGGTGCAAAAATTGATCCGTGCTCCCCTCCCTCCCCCCCGCTTACTCGGCGCGGGTCGGGGTCGCAACACATGGTGGCAGGCACCTGGTCGCAGGGGTTGCAGGGCTGCGACCCCGCGACCGCGGTATGCAGACACATTTAAAGGACCACTACAGACACCCAGATCACATCAGCTCAATGAAGTGGTCTGGGTGCCAGGTCCCTCTAGTTTTAACCCTGCAGCTGAAAACATAGCCGTTTCAGAGAGACGGCTATGTTTCACTGAGGGTTAATCCAGCCTCTGGTGGCTGTCTCATTGACAGCTGCTAGAGGAGCTTCCGCGATTCTCACTGTGAAAATCACAGTGAGAAGACACTGAATGTCCATAGGAAAGCATTGAGTAATGCATTTCCTATGGGCGGTTTAAATGTGTGCATGTGCATTTCGGAGCTGAGAGGCGGACACTGGGGAGTCCGACGCTGGAGAAAGGTAAATGCTGAAGACACACACACACACTCTCACGAACAGACGCATACACACTAGCTAACAGACACACACATTTACTGACAGAGACACACTCAGCGACAGACATACAGGGAGTGCAGAATTATTAGGCAAGTTGTATTTTTGAGGACTAATTTTATTATTGAACAACAACCATGTTCTCAATGAACCCAAAAAACTCATTAATATCAAAGCTGAATATTTTTGGAAGTAGTTTTTAGTTTGTTTTTAGTTATAGCTATGTTAGGGGGATATCTGTGTGTGCAGGTGACTATTACTGTGCATAATTATTAGGCAACTTAACAAAAAACAAATATATACCCATTTCAATTATTTATTATTACCAGTGAAACCAATATAACATCTCAACATTCACAAATATACATTTCTGACATTCAAAAACAAAACAAAAACAAATCAGTGACCAATATAGCCACCTTTCTTTGCAAGGACACTCAAAAGCTGTCAGTGTTTTGATCTGTTCACCATCAACATTGCGTGCAGCAGCAACCACAGCCTCCCAGACACTGTTCAGAGAGGTGTACTCTTTTCCCTCCTTGTAAATCTCACATTTGATGATGGACCACAGGTTCTCAATGGGGTTCAGATCAGGTGAACAAGGAGGCCATGTCATTAGATTTCCTTCTTTTATACCCTTTCTTGCCAGCCACGCTGTGGAGTACTTGGACGCGTGTGATGGAGCATTGTCTGCATGAAAATCATGTTTTTCTTGAAGGATGCAGACTTCTTCCTCCTGTACCACTGCTTGAAGAAGGTGTCTTCCAGGAACTGGGAGTTGAGCTTGACTCCATCCTCAACCCTCAAAAGGCCCTTACAAGCTCATCTTTGATGATACCAGCCCAACCAGTACTCCACCTCCACCTGTTGGCGCCTGAGTCAGACTGAGCCTTCTCGCCCTTTACCAATCCAGCCATAATGGGCCCATCCATCTGGCCCATCAAGACTCACTCTCATTTCATCAGTCCATAAAACCTTAGAAAATCAAGTCTTGAGATATTTCTTTTGGCCCAGTCTTGACGCTTTCAGCTTGTGTGTTCTTGTTCAGTGGTGGTCGCTCTCGCCTTTCTTACCTTGCCAGCGTCTCTGAGTAAGGTACACCTTGTGCTTTTGGGCACTCCAGTGATGTTGCAGCTCTGAAATATGGCCAAACTGGTGGCAAGTGTGGCATCGTGGCAGCTGCACGCTTGACTTTTCTCAGTTCATGGGCAGTTATTTTACGCCTTGGTTTTTCCACACGCTTCTTGCGACCCTGTTGACTATTTTGAATGAAACGTTTGATTGTTCGATGATCACGCTTCAGAAGCTTTGCAATTTTAAGAGTGCTGCATCCCTCTGCAAGATATCTCACTATTTTTGACTTTTCTGAGACTGTCAAGTCCTTCTTTTGACCCATTTTGCCAATGGAAAGGAAGTTGCCTAATAATTATGCACACCTGATATAGGGTGTTGATGTCATTAGACCACACCCCTTCTCATTACAGAGATGCACATCACCTAATATGCTTAATTGTAGTAGGCTTTCGAGCCTATACAGCTTGGAGTAAGACAACATGCATAAAGAGGATGATGTGGTCAAAATACTAATTTGCCTAATAATTCTGCACTCCCTGTACATACACACTCACTTACAAAACATACACTTTCACTGACAAACACACACTCACTAACAGACATCAAACACACTCAGTAACAGAAACACACAGTAACACACTCACTAGCAGACACACACCCAATAACAGACACATTCACTGACACACGCACTGACACACACACACACACTAACACACACTCTAACACACACACACACATATTTTTTTTCAAATTTGGAGTGCTGGGGGGATTCCCTGGGGTCCAGTGGTGGTGCTGCTGGGCTCCTGGGTGGCAGGTCACTGGGCGGCCGGCGTGCGAGGGAGCACTCTGCTCTGAGTGCTTCCTCTTCAGCTCCCTCGCGCGCCGCGTAGGGATGCCGGCGCCGGAAGATGACGTCATCTTCCGGCTCCGGCATCAGTGCGGCGCGCGAGGGAGCTGAAGAGGAAGCACTGAGTGCTCCCTCGCGCGCCCACCTGCCTGCCTGGTGTCAGCAGGGCCAGCCTCGGGGCCTGAGGTGGCCGCCTCCTGGGCCCCCCAGGGGAAGAGGCTGTCCCTGTGGGTACATACCGGGTCGCAGCGGCGGCCGGGCCCCCTGGTGGGCCGGGCCCGGTCGCAGCCGCGACCCCTGCGACCCTGGTATGAACGCCACTGGTGAGGTATGAAAAATCAAACAAAATCAGTACCTTACTATTCTGCAACTGGGCGCCTCCATCTTAGCTCCCTGACAGTCATTGTTATAAGCTCCGCCCTTTGCACCTGGCAGTCAGCATAGAGAGAGCACAGAGAGAAAAGAAGATGACGTCATCTTCCGGCTCCGGCATCAGTGCGGCGCGCGAGGGAGCTGAAGAGGAAGCACTGAGTGCTCCCTCGCGCGCCCACCTGCCTGCCTCGTCGCAGGGCCAGCCTCGGGGCCTGAGGTGGCCGCCTCCTGGGCCCCCCAGGGGAAGAGGCTGTCCCTGTGGGTACATACCGGGTCGCAGCGGCGGCCGGGCCCCCTGGTGGGCCGGGCCCGGTCGCAGCCGCGACCCCTGCGACCCTGGTATGAACGCCACTGGTGAGGTATGAAAAATCAAACAAAATCAGTACCTTACTATTCTGCAACTGGGCGCCTCCATCTTAGCTCCCTGACAGTCATTGTTATAAGCTCCGCCCTTTGCACCTGGCAGTCAGCATAGAGAGAGCACAGAGAGAAAAGAAGACATGAAACAATGTATCTGTCACTCCTCCTCCAACGTAATGTGTGCCAGGACTGAACTGGATTTTGACATCAATCGCTAGATCTTTATTGTACATTTAAATGAAAACGAAGCATCTCATGATAAAAAGGTTAATACAGGCTATAAGAGATTTTTCATGTTGTATTAAATAAAGCATTTTCCAGAGAAGTGGAGGCGCCCTTTCAAGAGTGGGTATAGTTCATCACATCTTGATTTCCCTTTTCCCAATCAGGCTTTATTTGTAGAGCTGGCCAAAGACAGTGTATGCTGGGGACATTTTTCAACACAATTTTGAAGAAATGGATATTAAGTCAACACGCACTCTGGGAATACAATCCTTGCAAATGGGAAGGAACGGGGTATATTGGTGTTAAATGGGCCTGGAAGGGGATATGGCAGACTGAGCACGGTTATTCTAAGGAAGTGACATGTGTCAGAGGTGTGAAGAAGGGCTATATCAACACTTCCATTTGTTGATCTGACAATTATCCATTTGCAGCTGTTCCCCAACTGAGGTTAGCACCTTCTATCTGTTAACAAGTGATCAGCTCACTGACAGTTTCTTCATGTGGGGAACAATGGCTGCCTGCATTTTAAGGTGTGATGGAGAGCAATAAAGATCTGCGAAACCTTTTCTTGTCCTCCAGGTAAATCAATCAGTAGAGAAGTATGGAACTAGTGTTAAAACCCACTGTAAAAAAATCCACATATAGAAAGTATTGACCCCCCAGTGTTCTAGTGAATAAAACATGACTTCCCTAATTCTAAACCCATGACAGCTCTCCTCCCAGGCACTCAGTGACATAAAGGGATGAGAGTGTAACACTATTAAAATAAACCATCCAATTAGAGAGAGACTTTAAACGCATTGCTCTCTGACCTCACTGCTGTAACCGGGTCCACACTTTAGGGGGCGAAAAGTTGCACCCCAACCCTCTTGCGTGGCTTTTGTGAAATTTCACAAGAATAAACGGATAACGTGGTGGAGGTGTATGCGGGGTTATCCACCAGACATGAAATAAAGGAGAATAAACCAATGAATTGCAAAGTGTGAGCCAAATTGCCAAAGTGGAAGAATCCTTCAAATATCCTTCATCTCCCAGCGCAGCTAGTTTAATCTTAGAATGGCGACTACCCTAATAGACGTGGGCCGTAGAGGCGCCCCCGCACAGTTAGAAAACACTATCTACAGATCACTGCCTTGACAACCAGGAGATCAGAACACGTACACCGCTTTAGTAACTATTCCCGGCAGCTGAGCCATTACTTTTTTCACATTTTCTCCCCACCTTCAATACCACCAACATATTGAGGAGCGCTGTACAGAGTCTGAAGGTGTAGGAGTTGTTGAATCATGAACCACGATATCGTTACCCCTAGATGTTGAACATTATTTAGGAAGAGGTTAAACTCGTGGACTGAAACATAAAAATGGGAAACAGAGGTCCTGCCGTGAGAGTGTAAGCTACAGAGGGCAAGGTAGGCTTGTTCAGACATGTTTAATTCTGCAGGCACTGTTATCTTACATGAACACCTCAGCTAGAAGGGAATCTGTCTCTAATGCTTTAGAAAAAAACAAACTATATTAATCCTTTTACTGTCACAGCTATAATGCCTCATTCACCCTGGCACTGAGGAGATCAAATACCAACTTCTAAGAAAAATCAGACAGCGTGCGTGTCCAATACTGGGCCAAATACAAAGAAAAAAAAAAAAACTATTCCTTCTAAAGGACTTTGCAAATTCACGTAATTCTGCTTTATTGATATTATTGCACCGAGCGGTGGTTCACACATAGATACCTATTAAACCGAAAGCTCTGGAGATAAACAGATATTCCCGTGAATATGGAAAGTACATTCACTGGGCTTTATACAAAAACTGTGATATATTTTATATTTTATATCCAAAATAGCTATACTGGAAAAACTCAGCTATTCGGCAACTTTGACCTAAATTCACTTTGAATTCCTTACAATTCACCCTTCAATTAATATTTCTAGAACCTATTCGTTCTCAGCATTAACGGTTCAACCACAAGGGCAAAACGCAGCCTGCAGCAACCTTATTGGTCTGAATTAATCTGTCAGTGGGTGTGGCTAAACGGACCGGTCCTTTAAATAGTCCACACGGTTAATATGGCGGTTCTCTCACATTACACACAAGAAAATACGTAATTAAACTTGGCCTACATTACCCAAAATCCTCCAACAGGAACATCTGCCTGAAGGTATTAGTGGTTATTTTCAACATCTGGTGGTCACTCACTTACTCCTATGATTCTGAGGTTCAGTCCAGACCGCATGTAAAGGCATGAACTGGTTATAATACTGCTGGCTGAATCGTGGAGCCATCAGTTTTAGGAGAAACGCATTTAAACAGTAAGGGTAAAGTGTATATTCTGTGCGCAGAGAGTGCCTGGCATTCTGTAATACTGCTTAGTGGATATGACTCACGGTGCTGCGGGCTTACTGTCAGCCATGTTCAGTTGGCCCGGTTAGTATCCAGGATTTATGAAAGCCCCAGGTTAGGGGCGATACAGGAACTCGCTGAGAAACTCTCTGCCGCTCTCATGTTGGGTCTTAATTTACGGATTGTCAGCTGACGGGAAAAGATTTGCTCATTCTTTCCTGTCACGTACGTTTGGTTTATTTTAGTTTGTTTTTACCTTTACATCATCCTCAAAACCCAGGGAACGAGCCTGAGGCAAAGACGAACAAATGATCTCTCTCGGACCGACTCTTTTGTGTAACGATTCCTGCCACCCCCGAGGCAATCCACACATTCCGGGAATGAGGAGCTACAAACGATGGAGTTAAAGGGTTATCACACCTGAATACGGATATCACCTGGGCAAAAAGAGGTGAAGAAACAGATTTATGTGGAGATTAAAAAATGTAATAAAACATTAATCTCTTGCCTTTGCTACAATATATTGCACAGTAGATTAAATCAGGCCTGCATGTCACCCCTCAGAGAATCTTAAAGGACCACTCTAGGCACCCAGACCACTTCAGCTTAATGAAGTGGTCTGGGTGCCAGGTCCAGCTAGGGTTAACCCATTTTTTCATAAACATAGCAGTTTCAGAGAAGAGCCGACGGGGATGAGAAGAGGAGGATCGGAGGAGGAGAGCTCCCCGCCCAGCGCTGGAAAAAAGGTAAGTTTTAACACCTTTCCCCCTTCCAGAGCCGGGCGGGAGGGGGACCCTGAGGGTGGGGGCACCCTCAGGGCACTATAGTGCCAGGAAAACGAGTATGTTTTCCTGGCACTATAGTGGTCCTTTAAGCTATTTGAATAAATAACTTGAGATTAGGCGCTAGATCTGTAAATATTTGCTAAAAGAATTTACGTATATATTTTTTTCCCCGTCAGAACTCTTTTCACATTTCACATTTGGTTTTAGTGAGAACTGTCCAATTTCAATCCAAAGTTATCCATGAAATGAATACTTAAAACACAGATTGTGTAAAGTTTACAGACAAATCTACAGTAATCTCCATTTACAAATGTGGTTTATTTCCTGTAATAATCAGAGACAGACAACTGCTTACCGCATGTGTTTTTAAAAGGCCTCAAGTCCACTTGGCTCTGCAGAAGGCTAATGCTTTATTGAATAGGTCTCTTAATGGGCTGCACAACTCGGTCATTGGATCCTGTTCTACACAATGCTAAAGTGGCATTACCAAAGAAGAAAATTATAGACACTGACACCGAAATCGCTGATGAATAAACTGTTTTTTTTAAATTGCACCTACCTTATCTTGATAATTTTTAAAATGTGTTTCATACTTTGAATACAGAGAACAGCTCCAAGCCAAGCATTGGGTTTCCTGGGGCACCGAACATCTAAACCGTTTCGAGCTCGCTAGAGCTGCTCCGCAAATTACAGTCTCTGATTGGCTGCAGACATCACATGATGATATTCAATCTTGGGGTTTTTGTTTTAATAGTAACAGAGGATTTGAAAATTATGATTCAGGTCCAAGATGGCTGCCTCTACAGGAAGCGAAAAAAACTCCATCAAGTCTTAATTACTGCAAAAATTACTATAAATTTAGATAAAAACATGAATCTATGAAGATTAGTCTAAAGTTGAGTTATGCAAAGTACATTTTTAGTGACAGCAGCATTTAGAAAGTTTTTTTTTTTTACTTTCTACATGTATTATTCCAAGGCAGGAGAGTTTTCTTTATTTAAACACCGATGCCGTACGGTTTCAAAACATTGGTATACTTGGTGATTTTGCGATCTATGTTCTTCTTTGCCTGCCTCTTTAGTTTCATGACCAGTTTCTTCTTCTCATAGTGAATTTTGGTCTTTCCCTTCTGCTTTTCTTCCAAAATTGATGTCACAGCCTGGTAATTCCATCCAACTTCATGAGCAAGACAACCCAGGAACGCACACTTACGTGCTGGCTTCAAGCAAACAACTTTCAATGCTGCAGGGACAACCATTCTCTTCCTCTTTTTGTAAGGAGGAGGAATGCCATGAAAACCTTCAGCCAATCCAGAGCTGCCTGGCCTCTCTTTGTCTTGTGGGGGGAGCATACCTCTTCCGTTCCTCCAGAAGAAGCGGCTGGGGGATCTGAAATGGTATGGCCCACATGAAGGGTTGGTGTTCATTCGTTTACAGAGGAAAGCAAGATATTTACGTTTGTTACGGTAGAAGTTTCCAGAAATGGTTATTCCTTCACATCGCACAACTGCAACCAAGCAGAGTTTGTTTAGCCACAATGGCGGTGAGTCTACTAAGGAGATGACTCCAGCCATCAATGACCAGAACCTGTTTTGCTGCCTGAGATCTGCCAACGTCCTTGTAAAAACAAGGGAGACTGACCTTGCTGGCATCGCCAAGCAGCTTCTTGGTCTGCATGTCCCCCATGTTCTCCGGCCGGATAGAAAGAGTGTGACAGCACCATTTTAAGTTGTGTTGGGATGAAGAAATTAAACGTAATATCTTGGTAGCTAATTTTCAACACAAGGAAGTGTATGATGAATAATACAGCATGCTTTTTCCCTATAGGGACCAATTATAGAATAAATCCTTTATAATCAAACTAGTCTTTATATTTCCTTTATCAAAATGGAACGTCCCACTCATTTAACAGACAGAGCTGTGTAGACCTGGCTTCCCCAAACTCCGGCCCTCCAGATGTTGCTGAACTACAACTCCCATAATTCTATGAATGAAATAGATAGGCTGAGAATCGTGGGAATTGTAGTTCAGCAACATCTGGAGGGCCGGAGTTTGGGGAAGCCTGGTGTAGACCTTCAGACGCTAAGTCAACAAGACTTCATCAGATTGTGAAAACTGTATGATTTATCAACAGAAACCCCAACACACTTTCATTTAATTCACAACAAAAACTGGCACACGCTCTAATTCTAATCAAATAATTCTCCTATTCATTCCAATGAGGACACTGGAAGATATAGAGAAATAAATTATTATGCATTGTGCTTTGCCGTAATAGAAGATCATTCTGGATTCTAAATTGCTTTTTATATATAAATATAGGCAAACGAAGAAATTATCTCTCTCGGACCGGCTCTTTTGTGTAACGATTCCTGCCACCCCCAAGGCAATCCACACATTCCGTGAATGAGGAGCTACAAACGATGGAGTTAAAGGGTTATTACCACACCTGAATACGGATATCACCTGTATATATATATATGTGTAACGGATCACCTGGCACCCCGACTGGGTACCTCCATTGAGGATTCCAAGCACTCTAGCTGACACCACAACTACCAGGCCAAACCTCTCTTCCTTCAGAGCAAAGCAGGAACAAGCTCTTAATAGAGCTTAGGAGTGATTATAGCAAGGAAATATGCAGAGCATAGCAATCCCTTGTAGCATATTCCCCCAATATGAAACGGCACTCCAAATTAAGGATTAAGTAGAACTGACTAAAACTTTATTTTACTTTGGACTAGCCCATATGGTCATTACATTAACATTGCTGTGAAAACTCAATAAAATTACAAGCAGTCAAATCATAGCAGGCAACATACAGTGACTTATTATAACATAATTACATATTTATAAATGGGTGGGAAAGACCATAATGAACACAAAATGTCTCTCCTGCATGCAGAATTAGCGATATGCAAATCTACCCGAATATGCAAATTACCAGTCTTGCTATTCAGGTAGTGCATATTACTGTTGCTACCAACAGAGGGCACTACACAAGCTCCATAGCCAAATCCACCCAGTTGGTAGCAATCCTCAGCAGTACAGGAGAGAAGGCAATACATCCCAGGGTTCATAGTCACATGGCAGGAGGCTGGCAATCAGTCTTCTCCAATGCCCAGTGGCGAGGCTGGTTCCGCCACAATATATATATATATATACACACACACACACACACATGTGGGATTCAGCTGATAGAACTAAAGAAAAATGAATAAACAGACCATAGTGTAAAACCGTTAAACAATAAAAAACACATGCTGTTTTAGATTGCACTCACAAGATGTTTGATTAAGAATTGCTCCAAAGGTGCCTCCCCCGAAGATGATAGGGGCTAATAATCCTTCTCAGGATCAGGTATCACCGTTATTCAGGAACCAAACAGGACTCTGAAAGGTAGATAGGCGTATAAAATATAGTTTATTTGATAAAAAAAAAAAGTTTAACACACGAAGCCTCACATCAGGGTACCCTACCAACCCGAAGATTCCCCCCCCCCTTTTTTTTTTTTGTCCTTTTTCTCTCGTCTTCCCCCCTCCCTCTTGCCCCCTTCCAGATCCACACGGCCAACCGACTCTAGAATCACGCTAAAATATATGCCCACCCCAACGACAACGGGGGAACATCACAAAAGAAACCCAGGACAACACACGCCGACCCTCGACTCTCACCATCACCCCCCACACCAAACTAAACAGACACGAACAGACCAAAGCCGCAAATCACCCAAAACTCCATACCCACAACGACGAGATACAGGACACCCAGACCACGAGACTAGACCTAGCCACAGAAAACCCTCAAAATATACGCAACAATTCGCTACGAGAGGGCACCCCTTCCCCCACCTCGTTAATGTCTGTACCCCACCCCAAACCCTAGAAGAAACTGGACTGCAGACTGTCACGAGAACGAAAGAGAACACCAGGCATATAGATAAGCTAAAAATGTCACTGAACAATCTCCACTTGTACGTGGATAATCAATACATTGTATACAACAACTGAATGTAATACATGCATGTACCATGAACAATACCCTCCCTACTTTCTTTCTGTACCCCCACCCCGACAATGTACTCCATCTAAAATTCAAAATAAAGAATTTATAAAAAAAAAAAGTTTAAAATATCAGTCTTATGCGTTTCGTCTCAACATTGGGACTTCCTCAGAGACCAAATTATAAATAAAAGCAGTGACAAATTACAATGCTCCCAAATGCAGCCTAATCCCACCCTCCATTGAGTCCCTTTAAATAGGGCTAGTCCCTCAAGTCCATTGGTGGTCCATTGGGGGTCTTCTTTTCTTTCCAATCCCATTTGGGGATCCACTCTCCACTTCACCTGTAAGTCAGTATGTTATAGAAACATAGAAACATAGAATGTGACGGCAGATAAGAACCATTCGGCCCATCTAGTCTGCCCAATTTTCTAAAAACTTTCATTAGTCCCTAGCCTTATCTTATAGTTAGGATAGCCTTATGCCTATCCCATGCATGCTTAAACTCCTTTACTGTGTTAACCTCTACCACTTCAGCTGGAAGGCTATTCCATGCATCCACTACCCTCTCAGTAAAGTAATACTTCCTGATATTATTTTTAAACCTTTGTCCCTCTAATTTAAGACTATGTCCTCTTGTTGTGGTAGTTTTCTTCTTTTAAATATAGTCTCCTCCTTTACTGTGTTGATTCCCTTTATATATTTAAATGTTTCTATCATATCCCCCCTGTCTCGTCTTTCCTCCAAGCTATACATGTTAAGATCCTTTAACCTTTCCTGGTAAGTTTTATCCCGCAATCCATGAACCAGTTTAGTAGCCCTTCTCTGAACCCTCTCTAAGGTATCAATATCCTTCTGAAGATACGGTCTCCAATACTGTGTACAATACTCCAAGTGAGGTCTCACCAGTGTTCTGTACAATGGCATGAGCACTTCCCTCTTTCTACTGCTAATACCTCTCCCTATACAACCAAGCATTCTGCTAGCATTTCCTGCTGCTCTATTACATTGTCTGCCTACCTTTAAGTCATCAGAAATAATCACCCCTAAATCCCTTTCCTCATATGTTGAGGTTAGGACTCTATCAAATATTCTGTACTCTGCCCTTGGGTTTTTACGTCCAAGATGCATTATCTTGCACTTATCCACATTAAATGTCAGTTGCCACAATTCTGACCATTTTTCTAGTTTACCTAAATCATTTGTCATTTGGCTTATCCCTCCTGGAACATCAACCCTGTTACATATCTTAGTATCATCAGCAAAAGACATACCTTACCATCAAGACCTTCTGCAATATCACTAATAAAAATATTAAAGAGAATGGGTCCAAGTACAGATCCCTGAGGTACCCCACTGGTGACAAGTCCAAGCTTCGAATATATTCCATTAACTACAACCCTCTGTTGCCTGTCACTCAGCCACTGCCTTACCCATTCAACAATATTGGAATCCAAACTTAAAGATTGCAGTTTATTGATAAGCCTTCTATGTGCAACAGTGTCAAAAGCCTTACTGAAATCTAGGTAAGCAATGTCTACTGCACCACCCTGATCTATAATTTTAGTTACCCAATCAAAAAAATCAATAAGATTAGTTTGGCATGATCTCCCTGAAGTAAACCCATGTTGTCTCTGATCTTGAAATCCATGTGTTTTTAGATGTTCATCAATCCTATCCTTTAACATGGTTTCCATCACTTTCCCCACTACTGAAGTAAGGCTTACTGGCCTATAGTTGCCCGACTCCTCCCTATTACCTTTCTTGTAAATGGGCACAACATTCGCTAACTTCCAATCTTCTGGGACTACACCTGTTAACAATGATTGGTTAAATAAATCTGTTAATGGTTTTGCTAGTACACCACTAAGCTCTTTTAATAGCTTTGGGTGTATTCCATCAGGTCCCATTGACTTATTTGTCTTTACTTTTGACAGTTGAAATAGAACCTCTTCCTCTGTAAACTCACGTGTAATAAATGACTCATTTATCCTTTTTCTCAACTGAGGTCCCTTTCCTTCATTTTCATCTGTAAATACAGAACAAAAATATTCATTGAGGCAGTCAGCTAGACCTTTATCCTCTTCTACATACCTTCCTTCTTTTGTTTTTAATCTAACTAATCCTTGTTTTACTTTTCTTTTCTCATTTATGTATCTAAAAATGTTTTATCCCCCTTTTTTACTGTCTGTGCTATTTTCTCTTCTGTGTGTGATTTGGAAGCTCTTATAACTTGCTTAGCCTCTTTCTGCCTAATCTTATAGATCATTTTGTCTTCCTCACTCTGGGTTTTTTTATAATTCCTAAATGCTAACTTTTTGTTTTAACTATTTTGGCCACATCTGCGGAGTACCACAGTGGTTTCTTGAATTTTTTGCTTTTACTGACAAGCCTAATGCAATTTTCTGTTGCCTTCAATAGTGCAACTTTTAAATAATCCCATTTTCTTGGACTCCATTTAAATTGCTCCAGTCTGATAATGACTCCTCTACCCATATTCTAATTTTAGAAAAGTCTGTTTTTCTAAAGTCTAAAACTTTTGTTTTTGTGTGGTGTGACTCAGTCACTGTTCTTATATTAAACCACACTGACTGATGATCACTGGATCCTAAACTTTCACCTACAGTAACATCTGATACTAAATCTCCATTTGTTAACACTAAATCTAGTATGGCCTCTTTACGAGTTGGCTCCTCAACAACTTGTTTTAGAGACAATCCCAGTAGGGAGTTTAGAATATGTGTGCTCCTGGCACAAGTAGCTAATTTTGTTTTCCAATTTACATCAGGAAGATTAAAGTCACCCATGATGATAACTTCCCCTTCATTGTCATTTTAGCTATTTCCTCAACTAGTAGATTATCTAACTCTTCAATTTGTCCTGGGGGCCTATAAATCACACCTACACGAGTTACTGTGTGATTACCAAATTCTAACGTAACCCAAACGGACTCTATGTTTGCCTCACTAACTTTTATTAGGCTAGATTTTATGCTATCCTTCACATACAAGGCCACCCCTCCCCCTTTCTTGCCTTCCCTATCTTTCCTATATAAAGAGTACCCTGGTATTGCTATGTCCCAGTCATTTTTCTCATTGCACCATGTCTCAGTAACAGCGACTAAATCTACACTATCAGTTGCCATTATTGCCACAAGTTCATGGATCTTATTTCCTAAACTGCGAGCATTTGTAGACATGACTCTAAGCTTATCATTTTTTAACACACTTGCTACAGGCACCTTCTGTCCTTGTTTTGGGGACAATTGGATTGATGTTTTATCACCCTTTTGCCCCCCCCTCCTAGTTTAAATACATCCTAGCAAAACCTCTGAACTGCTCACTGAGAACATTTGTTCCTTTTTGAGAAAGATGCAAACCATCTTTTTTGTACAGCTTATCTCCATTCCAAACAGAGCTACCATGAGAAATAAAGCCAAATCCTTGCTCCCGACACCATTCACCAAGCCACAAATTAAAGTCCCTAATGCGCATCCGCCTGTCGTTCTGAGTGTTATGCACAGGCAGAACTTCAGAGAATGACAGTGTGGAAGCAACCTGCCGTATATCATTGGCAAAACACTAAAAACTTCCTTAACCTCTGAAACCTCATTGCAAGCCAAGTCATTTGTCCCTAGATGGACAAGTACATCCAATTCCCCTTCCTGCTTTGCTTGCTTAACAATATTACAGATACGTCTCCTGTCTCTGTGAGCAGTAGCTCCAGGAAGACACCTCACAAGACCACCATTGTCCATCTCCACACCTCTTATAATGGAATCACCCAACAACAACTGCTTTCTATTAGGCCTCACCATAGTCTATAATGAGCATCTCCTCTCTCAGCTGATTTAGATTCATCGGATTGGCAGAAACCGGAAGTGACGTTAGAAACGTTATTCTGTGTATTCCAACGAGCACTTTTGTGCCTTCCAACTGGTCTAGTGATCCAAAATGGCTGTGCGTTCCACCGTTGGTCCGGGAAAGTGATATGCTTTCCCCCTGTAATTTTCTTCAATTAGATACATAAATTGTCCTTTAGCTATTCCCCTTAGCCAGGGTTGATGAATACAACTGTTCCTATGAACATATCCATTCCCTTCTATAGGTTTAGAGAAACGTTTGGTTTTGATATACCGTGTTTCTCCGAAAATAAGACCGGGTCTTATATTAATTTTAGTCACAAAAAACTCACTAGGGCTTATTTTCAGGGTAGGGCTTATTTATTTACGGTACCGGTATGTACATTGAACCCCCCCTTTAATTAATCCACCCCCCTCTAATTAATCCACCCCCTCTAATTAATCCACCTCCTCTAATTAATCCAGCCCACCCTTTAATTAATTCACCCCCTCTAATTAATCCAGTCCACCCTTTAATTAATTCACCCCCTTTAATTAATTCACCCCCTCTAATTAATCCAGCCCACCCTTTAATTAATTCACCACCCCTTTAATTAATTCACCCCCTCTAATTAATCCAGTCCACCCTTTAATTAATTCACCCCACTCTAATTAATCCAGCCCACCCTTTAATTAATTCACCACCCCTTTAATTAATTCACCCCCTCTAATTAATCCAGCCCACCCTTTAATTAATTCACCACCCTCTAATTAATCCAGCCCACCCTTTAATTCACCACCCCTTTAATTAATTCACCCCTCTAATTAATCCAGCCCACCCTTTAATTAATTCACCACCCCTTTAATTCACCCCCTCTAATTAATCCAGCCCACCCTTTAATTAATTCACCACCCCTTTAATTAATTCACCCCCCTCTAATTAATCCAGCCCACCCTTTAATTAATTCACCCCCTTTAATTAATTCACCCCCCTCTAATTAATCCAGCCCACCCTTTAATTAATTCACCACCCCTTTAATTAATTCACCCCCTCTAATTAATCCAGTCCACCCTTTAATTAATTCACCCTCCTCTAATTAATCCAGACCACCCTTTAATTAATTCACCACCCCTTTAATTAATTCACCCTCCTCTAATTAATCCAGCC